AAACCAGATGAACTGTTTGGCTAAAAATACCCACATGTCATATCCCACTATCATGCTTCGTCAATATCCCTTATTGTTCCCACAAATTATCAGCCAATCATTCAATTTTTGGTTACGCCATGTTACACCGAAGTGGCAGTTCTCTCAAACTGGAAATTCTGGATTTCCAAAGCCCCAAACCACCTGGTAATGATTGACTGGTTGGCCCATTGTCACCAGATGGGGTTCTATGGGACATAGACCAAAATGGCAATAAACACCACTAAACAATGGCAACGAACACCAATGAACATCAACAAACCATGAGTTTTTGGGGTACCCAATGTTCAAACAACTCACAATCTAGTTATAGCCTTAAAGGACGCTGAACTCAGGCCCCTCGTGCGCCACGCGGATATGTTTGTTTCGCTTGTATATCCCCTTATGCCCCCATTAGAAATATATGTATACTATGTATATCATATGTGAAAACTAACATATCATGAAAACATCACCAAATATATGTATATCTCCCCCACTATATTAGAAATATCATGTATGCAAATATGTGCAAATATCAACAGGGTGGTGCCCTCCAGTTACAAGTTGGTGTATCACCGTATCAACCCCCATTAAACGCTTCGATGTATCTACCATTAACCGGACACTTCTCAGAGCTATAAACCAACTTAGCCAACAAGCTTCAGTTGATCGGCGTCTTTGAAATCCATTGGTTATTTCCTCATATTGGTGTTCAGATGGTTCAGTTCCAACCTATTGAAAAGGAATCATTCGAATCCAAAAAATTGGAATAACTATGTTCACAAAACCAGAAACAATGTTGGGTTAATCACCATGTTTTCTGGTTTTAAACACCATGTTGGGTATCATAATAGGTTGATGATTGGTTTTAAACCAGAGGCTATTCCATCATTGTTTTAAACTATGTTCGCAATGTTGGGTTCAATCACCATGTTTTCTGAGTTACCCTCTGGTAAACATACAAAAAGCTATTGAAAATGGCCATAGAATTAGTGAGTTTTCCCATTGAAAATGGTGGATCTTTCCATAGTTTTTTGTATGTTTACCAGAGGGTATATATATACACTGTATACTATATATATATATACATTGACATGTTGATATATGTTGTTACGCCCTGATGTTTACTGCAAAGCTCCCAGTTGTTTTCAGTGTTCGACTGCAAGGTCAACAGCTTTGCACCCAGCGGTTCCTCGGTGGTACCTTGGAAGCAACCAGATGAATTGTTGGATGTTTACCAACTGCAGGGGCCCCTGCTACGTTATGTTGGTTGGTTTATAACCCCATCTGGCTATGAATCAATACCTATTAATACCATTTTTGGCTCTATTTTTAAACCAAATCATAAGATTACCCTCTGGTAAACATACAAAAAACTATGGAAATTCACCATGTTTAATGGGTAAATCCACTATTTCAATGGCCAATTTCAATAGCTATGTTAAATTACCAGAGGGTAACCCCATCGAACTATGGTTAGAACTGATAGAAAAACCCAAACGTGAAATTGTAGTTATGTTCACCAACTGAACGCTATCGACTGGGGGCCCCACATTGTACCAACTGCAATATTATAATTGATGATGGAGGTAATTGTAAGAATAATATTAAGATAATAAATAATTGCAACATACCAACTATAACAATTAATAATCCAACTATTGGTAATATCAGATATATCAGTATGCAATTTTATAATCTGGAGGTTTCTTACAATGGAATTATAGCCCTTTATCGCTGGATGATTTATAATGGAAAATCCCATTGAAATCAATAAATTGGGGCCACCCCCGTGACTTCAGACATCACCGGAGACGTATTCACATGTCATTGGTGCATATTTATCTGCACATGCATGCATATGGATATGCATAGGATTGCACCCAATTTCTTGAACCGTCGCCAAAATCGCCATAAATGGATATAAATGGATCGTATTTCAATCATCCCCTAAATGGCAGTCGTTTGTGCCATTGAGCTTCCCACATGTAATGTACTTTGGCCCACGGTCATTTTCAGGAGTTTTCCGAGTGCAAAATGATAATTTGCTCAGCCTTCGTGGGAATGTATGGGATACTGTATACTTCGTTGTCTGAAAATGAGGGAATTGACCACCAAGTTATGACCATTTTACTTGGAGCATGATGTTCTAATCATCTAATCCGCTGATTTTTGGGGTACAGATTATACATGATGAAAAGAGTATCGCTCAAAGATGACACCAGTTTGGGATGGTTAAATCGAAAGATGTGCGCCCCTTCCTATCTCATGTTTGAGCCATACACATATTGCCACTCCTCATGCTGACCAGCTTTGTGATGCCCTGTCAAGTTGTGAAGGTTGAAATGCATCCCGTACAAAACAACAAAAGAAGAAACTCAAGTTGACCCAGCATATGCAAGCATTGGCATCCTCCTTGCCAGGCTTGTCTACAAAGGGTCATAGAAGGGAAAACCTTCCTTTTACTATGCACATTTGCTTCCAGTGTAGCACGGTGCATTATGCGGGTGGGAGACAGTAGCATGCTAGGTCTTGATGTCCCAGTGGTATATGTGCCAGTTGAGAATGAGACTTGCTAAGAAGCGGTTTTTGGCTTGATTCGTTCTGAGTTCTGGCTCTGCAAATGCAAGCATTGGCATTTTCCTTGCCAGCTTTGTCGACAAAGGGTCATGGAAGAGCCGTCCTTTTCGGTGCGAAATCGCTTCCAGTGTAGCACTGCGCATTATGTGGGTTGGAAACAGTCCCGTATGTTTGCCATGGCCCAGTGGCAAAATTCCGAGTCAAAAGTGGTTAGGTGCAATTTTGGCCCAGCATATGCAAGCATTGGCATCCTCCTTGCCAGGCTTGTCTACAAAGGGTCATAGAAGGGAAAACCTTCCTTTTACTATGCACATTTGCTTCCAGTGTAGCACGGTGCATTATGCGGGTGGGACACAGTAGCATGCTAGGTCTTGATGTCCCAGTGGTATATGTGCCAGTTGAGAATGAGAATTGCTAAGAAGCGGTTTTTGGCTTGATTCGTTCTGAGTTCTGGCTCTGCAAATGCAAGCATTGGCATGTTTCTTGCCAGCTTTGTCGACAAAGGGTCATAGAAAGGAAGAGCCGTCCTTTTCGGTGCGAAATCGCTTCCAGTGTAGCACTGCGCATTATGTGGGTTGGAAACAGTCCCCTATGTTTGCCATGGCCCAGTGGCAAAATTCCGAGTCAAAAGTGGTTAGGTGCAATTTTGGCCCAGCATATGCAAGCATTGGCATCCTCCTTGCCAGGCTTGTCTACAAAGGGTCATAGAAGGGAAAACCTTCCTTTTACTATGCACATTTGCTTCCAGTGTAGCACGGTGCATTATGCGGGTGGGAGACAGTAGCATGCTAGGTCTTGATGTCCCAGTGGTATATGTGCCAGTTGAGAATGAGAATTGCTAAGAAGCGGTTTTTGGCTTGATTCGTTCTGAGTTCTGGCTCTGCAAATGCAAGCATTGGCATTTTCCTTGCCAGCTTTGTCGACAAAGGGTCATGGAAGAGCCGTCCTTTTCGGTGCGAAATCGCTTCCAGTGTAGCACTGCGCATTATGTGGGTTGGAAACAGTCCCCTATGTTTGCCATGGCCCAGTGGCAAAATTCCGAGTCAAAAGTGGTTAGGTGCAATTTTGGCCCAGCATATGCAAGCATTGGCATCCTCCTTGCCAGGCTTGTCTACAAAGGGTCATAGAAGGGAAAACCTTCCTTTTACTATGCACATTTGCTTCCAGTGTAGCACGGTGCATTATGCGGGTGGGAGACAGTAGCATGCTAGGTCTTGATGTCCCAGTGGTATATGTGCCAGTTGAGAATGAGAATTGCTAAGAAGCGGTTTTTGGCTTGATTCGTTCTGAGTTCTGGCTCTGCAAATGCAAGCATTGGCATGTTTCTTGCCAGCTTTGTCGACAAAGGGTCATAGAAAGGAAGAGCCGTCCTTTTCGGTGCGAAATCGCTTCCAGTGTAGCACTGCGCATTATGTGGGTTGGAAACAGTCCCCTATGTTTGCCATGGCCCAGTGGCAAGATTCCGAGTCAAAAGTGGTTAGGTGCAATTTTGGCCCAGCATATGCAAGCATTGGCATCCTCCTTGCCAGGCTTGTCTACAAAGGGTCATAGAAGGGAAAGCCTTCCTTTTACTATGCACATTTGCTTCCAGTGTAGCACGGTGCATTATGCGGTGCATCATGCGGGTGGGAGACAGTAGCATGGCTGAACACTTGGAAGAGAGATGCCTCGACCTTTATGGGTTAAACTCCTACAGTCCATGTCCAAAGCATGGGTCTTTTTGTTGCAAGTTCTTCCTTTTGGCAATCCCTGGATGCTGATCCAAAGCCCGGAACTATGGCATGGTCGGAAAACATCAACCATGGCATGGTATCTTAAGATGTTCCATGTATGTCATACCAACAACTCTCCGTATCCCATGGAGAAACGTGGACCAGTTGTTGCAAATATAAAGCACACGATAGCACACGTGGAGTATGCGGCTATATGCGTGTCTAGTTTCGTTCAATCATGTGCTGCATGTAATGAAGATCAATTATAGTTACAGTATCAGGTATTCTGTGTTGTCATTGATTCGTATATGGCAGTGTGTCAAAACCGTGTACCCCTGGTGAACATCAAAATAGCTGGTAAATGGATGTTCATTCCCCTAAAAATGGTATGTATAGGTATTGATCCATACCCATATGAAAATAAGAGAGACTTATTAATACCTAATATATCTGGATGAATCCTAGTGACCTCTTCTAGTGACGTCACTAGAATGATGCTTGGTGGGAACTATCCCATTTGATGGGCATTGATCCTTCTCTCAGGTTTGTGGAGTACTATAATTTACACAGATATAGAGGTGTCCTAAAATATAGGTACCCTCAGATCATCCATTTTAGTAGGATTTTCCATCATAAACCATCCATTTTTGGGCAGCCCCCATTTATGGAAACCCCCACATATCGATCATGGGATACCCTGCTGTTTCCTCCAAGATTCGCGCTGGCTTGCGCCGGTTTCCTCCACGATCCACTCGCAACATCCAGCAGATCTTGGGCGCGAGGCCCGACGGTGGAGTCTGATGGAAGGGGTGATCTTATCTTGGTTAAAAGATGCTTAAACATGGGGAATTACGGGCCAGAAAGATAGAAGATAGTCCGGTCGAAAAGCATCAGAATTGCATTTACAATGAATGGGCACACAATGTGATTTATAGCCAACAGTATGGTATTTGGGTAGGGAAAATGTTGATTAATGCTCCATAACCATGGACTTTGGGGCTGTCCCAATTCTCAGATGAAGCCATCTGAGATGGTAAGCCTGGTAAGCCTCTGGATGGGAGGCGTCTGAACATTTTGCTTCACCAACTTTCATTTTTTGTCAGCAATGAAAGAACTGGTTGGTGGTTCGGAACATGTGTTTTTTCCATATATTTGGAATAGTAACCCCAACTGACTAGTATTTTTCAGAAGGGGTTGAAACCACCAACCAGAGAAGGGTTGGGTATGTTTCCTTGACCTTTTTTACACTCTGAGCCGAAGCTCTTCTGATTTATTTGGGCTTGTCCAGCGGAAGTCCATAGAAAACCAGATTATTTCATATTATTTCCATGTTTCATGCCTCTCTGATGTGTACAGCAGGAAAAAGGAGTCCTTATAAAGTCCTCATATGTTTCCTGCTTGGGAGTTGTCAGGCCACTTGAAATTGTGGACTAGAATCCATCAAACTTGCAAGATCTTTCTCCTTGTTGAGGGGTTACCCTCTGGTAATTTTTTACATAGCTATTGAAAATGGCCATAGAATGAGTGAGTTTTCCCATTAAAAATGGTGATTTTCCATAGCTATGTTAGTTTACCAGAGGGTACTGGTGGGTGCATCTTTGTTGCCGTCAGCTGCTGAACTGAAAATGGAGAACTTGGAGTGGCAGTCATCCGGTCAGATTTGTCTGTCATTGTTGACATCATGCCCAGCAGTGTGGCGGCATGACCATCTACATGAGGTCAAAAGCATTCAAAAACGATGTTCTACTTGGGCAATCAGAGTCATCTGCCAAGTAGTGATCCTTGGCCACTTTCACCATGAAGATCATAGCATGTCATAGCCTAGCCATGTGGCCACCCGGTACTATGTTTGATCTTCCACCCCCAACCCCCGGTAATACTAGGGTTATTACACAGATTTGCAATATTACTAGTACCCGTAAGGATTAAAAAAGCAAGGTTACCAAATGTACCACAAAAAAATGAAAAAAAGGATGGGTTTATATTGCTTTCCATTGTATTTGGTACATTCCAATTCCAATTGAAGAGTAAATCAATGATTGAAACTTCTGGCTTTACCACCTTGCGTGGCCACTTGTGGTGTTTGCCAAAACGATGGGGGCCGCCTGTCGTCGCGCGCGCTTTCGCGAAGCACGCGAGCCGTTGGTGGCAGGACGGTATAGGGTGCTGCATGGATGAGGCTCCGTCTAAAACGCGGGGATTGGTCCAAACATGGACCATTTTATGATGAAAGATCATTGGAAAATGATCATTGACCATCGGATTTTAGAGCTATATAGATGTATAATATGTAGTATATAATTATTCTATTTCTTGTTTCTCATTAGCACCCTGCGGGACTCAGCGTCCATGGGTTGAGCTCCTCTTGGTTTCAAGCATTTTTTCCATGCCAGGCTGAAAAGTCATGTGTGAAAAGATACATATCCATAAATAAATATACTATGCGTATGATATCGTATGATATACCCTCTGGTAATCTAACATAGCTATTGAAAATGACCATAGAAATAGTGGATTTACCCATTAGAAATGGTGATTTTCCATTGTTTTTTTGTATGTTTACCAGAGGGTACAAGTGATATTTGATACCTGCACAGGTATCACCCGCCTTTTCGGCCAGGAGATCACTCCAGCGATGAGTCCGTGGGTTGTTTCGAGCGATGCTTGAAACGGCGACGCACCTTGGCGGGTTTGTCCGGTGGACGCAATTGGTAGACTTTAAGATAGGGGTTTTCCATAGTGAACCAAAAAAATAGGAATTATAGAACTACACCAAATTAGGTCTTAAATAGGGTTATAGTATGTTATAGTTATATAGTTATAGAATACTATATAATAGGGGAAAGATCGGGATGTTTGTAGTCCTTGAACTGAGAACCCCAGTAAACCATAGTAAACCAACCAATTTTTCATCGGATACCAATTTATAAGGGGGAATGTCACTTGGAGTTCACAGACCCACCTCATCAATGGGTATGGTTATGCATCAAGTCTTTATAGGGTGGCCCCCTTGGGACCCACTTTTCTCTGAAAGGCTCTGAAAAATTGGTGTATTTTGATCCATCCCCTGGTGACCTCTGTTTTTTTTGCTGATTTCCTGGTGACTTGGCTCAGCCCAGCACTGGTGTTTTCCCAGGAGCCAACCCAGAGGAAAATGTGGGTTTCAGTGCAACGGAGCCGGCGGAGCGCTGGGTCGTGTGGGTTTCCATCGATCCTCGCAGCGGGCAGATCTTCCCATATCCCAAGGAGGCAGGGCTTTAGAAAAAGAACCGAAATGCGAAATTTGGATAAATTTTGGATTATTGTGACAGTTTGTGTCACCTACTATGGAAACTCCGATAATCATTGCCTATCATCTTTGCAGCTGCCGTTTTTCGATGTTTTTCGATTGTTGAATATTGTTGGGCTGAACAAAACAAGTGAAGATGCTCATCGCATGAAACAGAAGCGTGTTGGTTGACCGCGAAAAGGCTCCCGATCTTCAAAGCACCCTAAACCGCTGGCGGTTTCATAATGTTTCATATGTCAGAACAAGAATCAGGGATACAGTATGATACAGTGTCGGACAGAATTGTGAGCCAGCAGCAACATTTTCTTCAGACACTCAATGTGAACTGTACCCCAAAAAACATCCGCACAGAAGGGGGATCACCGATACGGGATTCTTATACACCCAGCAGGTTCGCCCCAATCTATGGTATAACTCATCCAAAAACAATTAAAGGCTAATTTGAGATGGTGAAATTGACAATTGTTACCATAGCTTACCAATGTTTTACCACAGTTTTACCTTTTTGTTGTCCTCTCGTAAACTGACATGGCAAGATGGCTCTGGAAAATCTTTTGAATAGGTAAATCAACGAACTAACTGGCCATTTTCAATAGAAAACTGACAGATGATCAGAGGGTAACCCCAGCTAGTAAGTCTAGATGTCTAGTAAGTCCCCAGTGTAGATATCCCAAAAGTGGGTCAACTAACCCTCTATATGTCGCCATGGCACAGGTGAGCCAACTCCTGGAACTCGGGCTGAAGCGCGGCGACGCAGCTGTCAGTCTGGGTGACAGGCGCGGCGGCTTAGGGCAGTAACGTGGGCAAGGACCATAGTCTAAACGTATAGGACCAGAGTCGTTTAATGTCTTTTATGATGTATGTATGTGTATATATATATATATATACACATTAAATTATGTATATATATATATCATAATATAATATGATATAATATAATATGATGTATTAAAATATATCATATATTATATATTATATATAAAATATAATCTATAATATATATATATAATATTTATAATATATAACATATAACATATAACATGTACCATGTAACATGTAACATATATCATATAACATATAACATAAAACATAATATGATATATATATATATATTATCATACAATATTATATATAATATAATATATAATTTAATATATAGTATATGATATCATTTAATACACTATATGATATTATATTATTGTAACATATAATATATAAAACCTATAACATATAACATATAACATATAACATATAACATATAACATATAACATAATATGTAATTATATAATATATAACATATATAGTATATGATATCATAATACATTATATAGTATCATATTCTTATATTATTATATTATATATATATATACATATTACAGTATATATACTGTATGTTTTTATCATACAGAGAAAGACGAGTGATATATACAAACCACCTACGAACTGGGGCCCGCACATCTAGATAGAGATGATGCAGTCACGGCACTGCGCAGGATCCATCAAACGATGCTTGACTTACCAAATTCAAAAGGACTTGGATCCACTAGAAGCCCTCATTTAGTGACTAAATTAGCCATCATTTTTGGGGGGCTCTCTATGATGGGCTTACCAATTGAGAACTCGCAGAAGCCAGTCCTAAAGGATAAGCCTGCAGGAGGATGTCGCCAGAAAATGATACCCAGCGGTAGTCACACAAGCTTTGAAATCCCCTTAAAAATGGGCATTGAAAGAGGAAAAACATCTTAAAATAGTATAGATAGATTAAGATTAGATTAGATCAGACTAGACCAGACTAGATCAGACGTAGATTAGATTGGATTGAACTGGCTTAGATTAGATTAGATTCGATAGATGGATAGATAGATATACCAATGAATCTATCCGTAGACAGACCATCAAAATCCTCATCCCTTGTCCATCAATGGGAAATTCAGGATCCATCAGGATGGAGCTGCTGTGCCCCAATTTGGGGCTGCAGTTCCATTTATAAGTGGTCTTTTAACCATATCCCAGAAAAAAAAACAACAACATGGGTAACATAGATACCCATTTATGTAACTGGGGATATCCCATTCAAAAAAAATACCTCAGAAACTAAGGATATCCCCAGTTCCATCGCTGGCCCCATAACTCACCGATGGGTCCTTGGTGCGGCTCAGTTTCTTCGGCGCCACCGTTGAACTCAGCGACGGAAACTTTCAGCAGCGCACTGCGCGCGGTGGCCGCGATGTGCAACGCTTGCTGTTGCGCCGCCCAGAGGAGACGGTGACGCTGTGGGTGAGGCGATGGGAAAGGGGGGGGATTAGAATCCAAGCATCTGTAATGGGATTATATTCACTGTATAATGAAAAATCATGAAAAATCCATATATGGATGTTTCCTAAGTCATGGTACTGTACCCCCCAAATCATCCAGTCATGGATGCCCATGACTTCGTATTAAAACAAGCATGGTTTTGTTGGGGATCCCCCATCTTGATCAACCATAGTAAACCCAAACTCCTGGCATAATTGGAATTGCAGGGGTAACTGGCACATGAATAAGCCACATTTCAGAAATAATTTGTAATCGAATCTATGGGAAATGATATGCCAACAAGATACTGGATAATTTAATTGAAAAGCCATCCAAATTTGGTTTTTGCTATGAAAAATGGGAGGTAGTAGAGAAGAAGGATTGCGATAATTGGGATTGGACATAGGGTAATCTGCAAATTGCGGTTATCTCCAAAGTCGGAAATTCGAAATGGGGTGGTTTAGAAACTCGCTTTCTATATTTCAAAGGCAGCAAAAATGGGTCGTGGGTAACCCAAATTTTAGAGACAAAAGAATTTTTCGTATTCTGGTGAAGCCAAAAGTTAGTAAACACAGGTAAAGACCATGTATAAACGTGCCTAAATTTTGTCCATTGTGGTTCCGGAGAATGGAACTGGATGGCCCTTTCCAGCGGGAAAATCGTTGGAAATTCAGCTTACCCAGTGGATAATGGAGATTCTCATCATCCACTGGGAATCCCGTTCTTAAGCCACCAGTGGAATGACAGTTTGGGTTCGAACACTGCTCATCGTAACAAATGTATTTTTGAGATTTTTTGGAGAGCGGAAGTATGGCTCTGGGTTAGAATTTTTCAGGCCCTACAAAAGACATAAAATGCTGATCCGCAAGACCATGATTCCTGGTGGCAACAGTCCTCCGGACAAGGACATGGGCCATTGGTGATTTGAATGATTGACCCATGAAGATATTTACATATGGTAGTTATATTATATATACCCTGTGGTTATTTAACGTAGCTATGGAAAATGTCCCATTTATAGATGTTTTATGATGATTTACCTATTAAAAGTGGTGATTTTCCATAGTTATGTTAGTTTACCAGAGGGTATATATCATGGTTTTACCAGTTTTGATGGAGCTGCAGATGAATTTAAGATTCCAAGAAGTGATGAATTTCATGGACGGTGCCCATACACTTCGATGTCTAGATTTGTGGAGGGAAAAAAGATTGGTAAACAATTCAGGGGTAGTTACCAAGATGTGTGGTGCTGACAATTGAGTGGAGATGTTTACATATGTTTACCATTCACCAGCACCAGGCACCATGCACCGGCATAGATTTGTCATGATTTGGAGGTTTCCTACAATGGGGGTACCCCATGGTACCCCCTAATCACCCATGTTTATCAGGTTTTCCATGAAATGAACCGTCCAGCTATTGGGGTACCCCCATTTTACTGGGTAAATTTGATCACGACCTCACTGTTCTCCCTCACTGGAAATCATGGTTAGTAAGGGGAATCATCCCCAAATGGCCCAACAATTCAGGTTAGTGAATTATTATAATTTGCCCAGATTTTAGGAAGCTCTTTATTCAGGAAGTCAACAAACGACCAGCACCCCTGGAGGCAAGGTCGTTATCGCTGGAGTGTCGTGGATGCAGGCACTGCTGGAAGCCAGGCGCCCCGGGAAACTGGCAAAAACGGCGGTGACGCATGGTGACGCGGTGTTTACCCAATAATAAACCATCCCCAATTGAGGTTCATTTATATCATTTATTGGATATGTAATGGTATGATATGGTATGTATGACCCTGTTTGGGATGTTGCAAAATGACTCCAAGTGATTGGTTAACGGTTTATTTTTGAGTTTACCACCGAGTTGGGTCTGAACATGGTTGAACAATGGTACCCTCTGGTAAACATACAAAAAGCTATTGAAAATGGCCCAGTCGAAATAGTGGATTTACCCATGAAAAATAGTGATTTTCCATAGTTTTTTGTATGTTTAGCAGGCCGGGTAGGTGAAACATGGTGAAACTGCAAAATTTCTAGTTGCGGGTCCGATTCGGGTCAGACGGAGCCCGTATGGAGAACCATTGCAAAATGCGCTTACCCTCTGGTAAACAGCCACATAGCTATGGAAAATCACTATTTTTAATGGGTAAATCCATTATTTCAATGGCCATTTTCAATAGCTTTTTGTATGTTTACCAGAGGGTATCTTACTGGTGCGTTTTATGTAGGGAATGGATGGGTTGCTGGGGGTTGCCGGGATGATGACATTACGAATGTGATGACTGGGATCATTCCCGAAAATCCCCTGCGGAAAACGCACCAGTAAGTTATTGTTATTACATGTGGGTATGGATCAATACCTATTAATGCAATTTTTAGGGGAATGAACATCCATTTACCAGCTATTTTGATGTTCACCAGGGGTACAAGGTTTTGACACACTGCCATGTTATTACGACCATTATTATCATTATCCTTATAATTATTGGTGGTGAATGGTGATGGTGCTAGCAGTGGTAGTGACTGGTAGTGGTGATATGATTCTTAGCAAAATGTACGTGGCCCCTTGATTTGACAATTTGACATTCACCCTTTTTGTGGAGCTTGGCGCGGTGCCCTCGTTTTCGCCATCAACTTTTGGGTGGCCTCTCAAGCACTGACGTAGAGACAATTTGTCCCTTATAATATCTATGAATATGAATCAAAACCTCGGGCCAGGGGAACAGAGATTCGGGTCATTCTGGAGATTTTGGGGTACCACAAAATGGATAACCAAAATGGATATCCCCAAAACCGCCTACAGCCCGGCTCAGTTGGTGGATTTGGCGGTGTATAATCATATGTCTATATATACACATAATTATATACTAATATAATTACTGTATATAATTATAATTACATTATGTAATTATATAATTACATATATATATATACATATATATATACATATATATATACATATATATATATCTAGTTTGTTGTTTAGAACATGTTTGTTTTCAATCAAAATTTCCCACATCAAGTTCGATATGTTTGTGCTGGGCTCACCGTGAATCAGGAACGTGTTGCATCCATGCCGGAGGAAGCAGTGGATTTGAGCAAATTGGAGGTTCCTTGGGCAGAAAACCCTTGGATTCTCCCCCAAGGATTTGGTTATGGATTTAGTTTGGTTAGCTAAGGATTTGGCAATTACCTCCCAATTGGATTTAGTTATGGATTTGGTTAGCTGCAGCTAAAAGATGCTAAAAGCCTGGTTTTTTTGGTAGCAAAGCTGCAAAATTTACCCTTGTGAAAACGGTTTTAGCTCTAGGATTTGGTGTCAACCACTAAAAACTTCTAACTCACCTCTTATGATAGTCAACTAGTCAACTTAATTTCATTTTTATGAGAGGAAACTTAGGAACCAATCATCATCAATCAGCCTTGTGGTTTTTTTATGTACACTGAAATTCAATGGCAGCCCAGCCCTGAATTTTTTCTAACTCACCGGCACCGGCTACGGCTACCTGGCAGGAACAAAGGGAGCGAGAGCCACCTCCACCTGATGATAGGCTGGGCCGTGCTGGGCATAGCTCATCCTTAGCCTCTGGTAATTTGTTACATAGCTATTGAAAATCACCATGCTATCAATGGGTAAATCCACTATAAATATTTATAAATCACCATTTTCAATAGCTATGTAACAAATTACCAGAGGGTAAACATTGCCACGGCAGATTTCGCCATTGCTGGGTTTCCATCGCCATACTGGGCACGGCACCATGGCACCATGGCACCATGGCGCCACAACGTGGCGACGACACCGACAGGGAAGGCGTCGCGTTGTGGCAATGGTGCCACGAACTGCATGTGACGCCAGCGCAAGCAGAGCATTTGGAGGAGCCATGGCAGCCATGGCGGAGTTTTTCTGAGTTTCTATACAGATTAATGATATAGGACGTTGTTTTACTCGTTTATATGGTGTTTTGTTTTGTTGGCGATATGTTGAATGAAATTTGGCAATATTCTATTCTGCTGCCATTGCCTACTTGGGTGGTTTGAACTGGTGGTAAAAAAAAAAACTGTCGGTGATGTTGTTGCAAGTAGAAGAACTGCCTGTCAAAATAATATAGTCGGTGCTCCAGTTTTTCAAAAGATATTGAACAGGACTGTGTGAAGTTTAGATGTTTGGTCACGTCTGGTCAGCAAAGTTTGATCCAAGAATCGCATGGCACAGGTCACGTTTTGCTGTTTGTAAGGCCAAGTCTTCAGAAGCTCCAGTGTCCAGTTTTTGATGGCTAGCATTTCACATCCTGACAGGATCCAGGTTTTGGAAAATTCGACTGAGAGATAAAAATTAAATGATTCCCACTTTTTTCCCCCCCAGAATGACACGCGCAACATCTGTCAAGATTTTTTCGCCTCACGGGCTCCGTGGCAGGACTGTTTCTGGGGAATCTACACGGAGCAGCAGAACAGTCAAATCGAAGAAGCCTATCAGGGCGCTGAGCGGCAGGTGGAGATCACGGTGGGTGTGCGACGCTCGAGTTTTACAAAGTGGTTTCGTTGGGCTGCAGGGCGGTGGGGTTCATGAATGCCATTTTTACAACTTCCATTTTGAAATGGTTGAAAGACCACCCTATGGTAATATTGGGGATTTAGGGATAGTTTATTATTGGGTAGTTTTTCATTGAGTAACTATAGTTGTTGATTTAATCCAGTAGTTTGCCATTACGGAATATTACAGGTGCATCTAAGCATTTATTTTATTGTTGATAAGATTATAAATTACTATGGTATATTTGTTGTTCAAGTCATAACTCATAAGTCCAATCATTAACTGTCCATTGCTTGAATTCTGGATCGCAAGTTGCTCTTTCAAGCGATATATGGTGACAGCCGATCCATACCCCGTCATCGAAAAAAAGGAATCCATAATTCAGTCTATGATCAAAGATGGCCATCTGAGATTTGGGTTTGGAATTCAATAATCTGTTACGTGATTGATGTTTCAGGATGTTTCATTTTCCCAAATGTTACAGATTGCAGCGGGATGATGAAATATCATAAAATTCCAAAGTATGCCAAAGTTATCTGGTAATTTAACGTAGCTATTTTTCAAATGGTGAATATTTCCATCGTTTTTGTTATGTTTACCAGAGGTCCTTGGTCCTTGGAATTTCAGCGACGTGACGTCCCCGGTATCCAAGGGCAATACCAAGTGGTCTTTGGGCCAATTCCTGGCTTTGCTCGTCAGGAGGTTTCAGGGACGTCCTGTCTTCCCCGATTTACACAGCATGGCTAATGGATAGATGTTTTTCTGTGGACTTACAGGTATAATTTGAATATAGTTGACTCATTCCATCCTGAAAAGCTGACTGAGGACATACCCTTTTCATAGCCTTTTCATCATTTTTCATCCCTTGGGGCTACCGACCCTACCAGGATCAACGCCTTCGAAAGCGACGTCTCATGCGTCGACGATGGGTGTCGGAGGAGGACTTCCGCAGGCGGATGACACAGGACCCGTGGCGGGACCCGTGGCGGGACCCGAAGGGCCGCCCGGAGGATGCCGCGCCGGTGACAGCCGGGATGGTTTCTCCAGGATCCATTCCACTTATATAGATATCATTAGATATCTATAGTTATAGATATAACTAATACCAGTAGTACCCGCACGAGGCGGGGCGGAAGTTGCCTTAAAGATATATATGAGACCTTTCTCATCTATAGAACTTGCATGCGCCGTGCGCCAGCCAAGCCGGTGCGTGCGTGCACTCTGCGAAACTGGTGTCTTGTTTCACATGTCACTTTTGAAGCTCCACTTCGCACTTCGCACTTCTCGGTGCAGTCTTCACACTACACACTTCGCACTCCACACTTCACACTGCACTCTTCACACTGCACCCTTCGCAATCAACACTTCACTTCACACTGTACTCTTAAGACTCCACACTTCACACTTCACACTCCACACTTCACACTCCACACTTCACACTGCACTCTTCGCACTCCAAACTTCACACTTCACACTCCACACTTCACACTTCACAGTCCACACTTCACACTTCTCACTGCTTCCTTCACACTCCAAACTTCACACTTCACACTGCACTCTTCACAATCCACACTTCACACTGCACTCTTCACACTCCACACTTCATCTCAGCTGAGCTCTTCTCACCTTATCCCAGCTGATCTCTTCTCATCTCATCTCTTCTCATATGTCGTCTAAGCTTTCAGGAATCACTTCCCAGTACTACTACTAATCACTGTCGCAGCCTTGATGCAGCCACTCCAATACGATTTACGAGATCAAGCTGCAAAAGACAATAGTATTACGCATGCAGCCGCAGCACGAAGGAACCTTGACGCAGCCATTACAATGCGATCTGCAGAGACTGAGTTGCAAAACACAATAGAACTACGCGCAACGGCGTCGGAAACTGCAGCTCCAAAACCGGGATCTCGACGCCAAAGCGAAAAAAAGACGATTTTGCAGCACTTTTTAAAAGGATTTTTAAAAGGAAAATCACGAGCGCCAAAATGGAGAAAATCTGCTGACAAATCACTATCGCAACCTTGATGCATGCATTCCAATACGATTTACGCTCTTCAGCTGCAAAAGACAATAGTACTACGCATGCAGCCACAGCACGCAGCAACCTTGACGCAGCCATTACAATGCGATCAGACTGAGTTGCAAAACGCAATAGAATTACACGCAACGGCGTCGGAAACTGCAGCTCCAAAACCGGATCTCGACGCCAAAGCGAAAAAAAGACGATTTTGCAGCACTTTTAAAAAGGATTTTTAAAAGGAAAATCACGAGCGCCAAAATGGAGAAAATCTGCTGACAAATCACTATCGCAACCTTGATGCATGCATTCCAATACGATTTACGCTCTTCAGCTGCAAAAGACAATAGTATTACGCATGCAGCCGCTGCAGCCACTTTACACGGAAAAACACAAGGTTTCGTGCTCCGGCTTCCTCCCCAAAACAGAGCCCTTGCAACATCATGCAGCCATTCCAATGCGATCTGCAAGCACAGATTCCAAAACACCCTATAACTACGCACACACAAGCACACCCAAAGCAGCTTGAAGCCACCGTTACAATGCGGCAAAAAAAAAGAAACCGACCGCAGCCGCAACCGCCGCACAGACGAGGTACCTTTCATCGCCGGCTGCAGCCACTTTACACGGAAAAACACAAGGTTTCGTGCTCCGGCTTCCTCCCCAAAACAGAGCCCTTGCAACATCATGCAGCCATTCCAATGCGATCTGCAAGCACAGATTCCAAAACACCCTATAACTACGCACACACAAGCACACCCAAAGCAGCTTGAAGCCACCGTTACAATGCGGCAAAAAAAAACGATAAACCGACCCCAGCCGCAACCGCCGCACAGACGAGGTACCTTTCATCGCCGGCTGCAGCCACTTTACACGGAAAAACGCAAGGATTCGTGCTCCGGCTTCCTCCCCAAAACACAGCCCTTGCAACATCATGCAGCCATTCCAATTCGATCTGCAAGCACAGATTCCAAAACACCCTATAACTACGCACACACAAGCACACCCAAAGCAGCGTGAAGCCACCGTTACACTGCGGCAAAAAAAAACGATAAACCGACCCCAGCCGCAACCGCCGCACAGACGAGGTACCTTTCATCGCCGGCTGCAGCCACTTTACACGGAAAAACGCAAGGATTCGTGCTCCGGCTTCCTCCCCAAAACAGAGCCCTTGCAACATCATGCAGCCATTCCAATGCGATCTGCAAGCACAGATTCCAAAACACCCTATAACTACGCACACACAAGCACACCCAAAGCAGCTTGAAGCCACCGTTACAATGCGGCAAAAAAAAACGATAAACCGACCCCAGCCGCAACCGCCGCACAGACGAGGTACCTTTCATCGCCGGCTGCAGCCACTTTACACGGAAAAACACAAGGATTCGTGCTCCGGCTTCCTCCCAAAACACAGCCCTTGCAACATCATGCAGCCATTCCAATGCGATCTGCAAGCACAGATTCCAAAACACCCTATAACTACGCACACACAAGCACACCCAAAGCAGCGTGAAGCCACCGTTACACTGCGGCAAAACTTCCCATCGTCACCACTTCCCTTCGTCACCACTTCCCTTCGTCACCACTTCCCTTCGTCACCACTTCCCTTCGTCACCACTTCCCTTCGTCACCACTTCCCTTCGTCACCACTTCCCTTCGTCACCACTCCCCTTCATCATCACTTCCCTTCGTCACCACTTCCCATCGTCACCACTTCCCTTCGTCACCACTTCCCTTCGTCACCACTTCCCATCGTCACCACTTCCCTTCGTCCACTTCCCATCGTCACCACTTCCCTTCGTCACCACTTCCCTTCGTCACCACTTCCCTTCGTCACCACTTCCCATCGTCACCACTTCCCTTCGTCACCACTTCCCTTCGTCACCACTTCCCTTCTTCACCACTTCCCTTCGTCACCACTTCCCTTCGTCACCACTTCCCTTCGTCACCACTTCCCTTCGTCACCACTTCCCATCGTCGTTCCCTTCGTCACCACTTCCCATCGTCACACTTCCCTTCGTCACCACTTCCCTTCGTCACCACTTCCCTGTCAAGTCTCACACCACCCTTCATCAAGGTCAAGTCTCAATGTGATGTATTGTTATGTCATGTAAAGTCTCACACCACCCTTCATCAAGGTCAAGTCTCAATCGCGCACCACCCTTCATCATTTCAAGTCTCAGAATTCTATTTGTCCGTAACACGGAAGTATTGCTTCCCAACTTCCTTTGATTAAATATCTATATGCTATATTATATATATAATTCATGTAAATCATGTTGCAATCCATTCCACTTCAGGAAGGCAGTTGAGGATTTTAAGCGGCTGATTTTATGGGTATTCCATAACTATGGTGATAGCCTCCATACGTTGGGATTTGGGGCCCGTATACCCTCTGGTAATTTAACGCAGCTATGGAAAATCACCATTTTTGATGGGAAAACTGGCCATTTTCAATAGCTATGTTAAATTACCAGAGGGTAACATTCAACTATGGTTATATATTCAAATACAACAGGAACTGCACCCCAAAGTACCAGTTGTGGTAGTCAAACGCGGCCATCAAAAACTTCCAGTTCTAGATGATGGTCCCATTTAAATGATTTAAAAGAACCATTTATAGGCGTTTCTTGATGTTTCACAATACCAAGGCTGTTTCTTTGGCAGGTCCGGATAGGACTATTTGAAAGTATCGACTATATAAAATTATATAAAAGGATATAAAAAGCGAGACGCTAAACGAGGCGATCAGTTCGACACCTGGTTCATAGATGCAACTCCCTCATGGTACAAGGGTTTTAAAAAATCAGTATAGCGTCATTTTGTGACAATTTTTGAGCGTCTTGTATTGAAAAGCGGGTGCAATCTTTAACATATTTTAATATCGTCAATTGACCACTCTTAAGTTGGATGTTGCTGTTCTATCTGTTGGGGGGTTGCTAAAACACCCACTGTTCAACCCACGATCTTTCTGGGCGCAGGATCTACCGGCGTCAACTGAACGCGAGCAGGAGGAATGCATCCCGGCCAGAATATGCTTGGAAAACAAAAAAAGCACCTGCAAGGCGCACTTTATGGATCTTTATGGTGTTTCCGGGCTTAAATATAATTGCGCAATTATCGAAGGAAGTTTAGAAGTCAAACTTCCGACTCATGAACGCAGCAACAGTGGTGAATGCAGTCAGAGAAGAGAAAGAGTCAGAAGTCAGGAGAGAAAGAGCGCGAAAAGGTGGGAAAGTTGCGAAACACTGTGTTTTTCCAATGTGTTGTGGCTCCGGAGGCTCGAAAAGTAGGCTCGCTAAAGCGGCGGGTGCGGAGACATCTGGTCAGATGAGAGATGAAAAATTGCACGCCGTTGTGGCGGGAAGCACATTTCGAAGTCAAAAGAATTACTAAAAACACCACAGGGTTCGGACCACTTTTGGACGTTGAGATGTCGAAAAAGCGCACGCTATCGCGGCACGAAGCATATTTCGAAGTCAAATTCCAAGACACACCATGTTTGGAGCACGTTTGGAAGCACAGACGTCGAAAAATTGTACGCCGTTGTGGTGCGAAGCGCGTTGAAAAGTGCTGACGGTCTCGGACCACTTTTGGCATTGTGATTTCTTCGTGCAATTTTTCGTGCTCTTTTGGTGATTTCTTCGTGCAATTTTTCGTGCTCTCTTTGTGATTTCTTCGTGCAACTTGTCATGTTTTTTTTGTGATATTGTGCGCTGTGTATTTGTTTAGTGATTTTAGTACTTGAAAACCCTAGACTCTAAACCGACAACCTCGAGAGAGAGAGAGAGAAAGATAAAAAAAAACCTAAACCCTAAACTCTAAGCCAATTTCGTTATATATATATGAGTCTAAACCCTAAACAGGCGAGAGCGCCGCTGACCATATACATGGGCGCTCGAGCCTTCAGGCTCGAGGCTCTGCCTCGACGCCACTGCGAACCTAAGGGCCTGCTAGGGTCAAGCCTAGCAGGACAACGGCGGCGCCAGCCGACCACGCCTGAAGGCTACTACCCTCTGACGTATGTCAGTAAAGGATAACCCCAAATCCTGAGGTGGTGGCCTTACAGAGGTCCCATCTTGGCTATATGCTTAAAAACGCCTTTTGGAGCTAGCTAAGCCTTTCTCAGTCTTTCCTGGCTCTAAAACAGTGCGTTTAGCCTTTATTTGACCTTCAAAAAGTTGTATTTTTTTCGCTTCCTGCGCCTTCTCATCCAAGCCGAAATTTGCTTCCAAAAGGCTCCCGGCCAGGATTTGGCCCAAAAGGGTCGTTTCCCAATGGTCCCAGAAGGGGATTTTAATTGCTGGCCCAAAGGCCCTCAAATTGCAGAAATTTGCTTCCAGAAGGCTCCAGGCCAGGATTTGGTCCAAAACGGCCACTTCCCAATGGTCCCAGAAGGGCATTTCAAGTGCCGGCCGAAAAACCCTCCAACTTGCCGAAATTTGCTTCCAAACGGCTCCCGGCCAGGCTTTGGCCCAAAAGGGCCGTTTCCGAATGGTCCCGAAAAGGGGGCCCATGGGCGTGCCATCGGCGGCTCTCCCGACCTTCGGCTCGACAAACCCGCCGAGCCAGGGCGGTCAGCCCCCCCTCTTCTGAGGGGATGCTGCCGGGGTGCCCCAAGTCCCGGCCCCCGCCTGGTCCTCGAAGTCCACAAAGTCCACGACGTCGACGAAGTCCACGGTCCGCGCTGTCGTACCTGGCAAGAGCGCAACGAAGGAATGGAAGGAAGCGCGCGGGCCAACAGCAACGCGCTAAACACTGCAATGCAACAAGTTGTTCAAACATGGCCAACGGCAAACGAGGCGGCGCACAAGGCACAAGTGACTGTTTGAGCCAACGTAGCTGCAGAACAGGTGCGCAAGTAGCGAAAGGCTTGAGCATTGCAGCACCGTGTTTCCCGGCTGGGCCGCCACATGGTGCACAGCAAGTCAGGAAGCAAGCGCGCTGATGCGTTTGCGCGCGGGCTTTTGCTGTTCGCAGGGCTTGTTGTCTTTCTGCTTCGCCCTGTTTCGGCCACAGCTGTGCAACAGCTCTGCTGTGCTTGCTGTTTCTGTGACGCGAAAACAGATACTTCTCATTCTACCTGGCTCGTGAAGGTTGATCTCTTACTGCGCCGGCATGAAGTGCCTGGGGCACACCTTGCCCGCAATCATGTAGTCCGCATCCGTGGCCACTCTTGACAAAGCAACATAGGCAGCTGCCCTGCAGCCGGCTGAGTCCAACCACGCCGTCACGTGGGGTAAGGTCATGCCCTGCACCTTGGGGATTGTGCAGGCGTAGCCCAAACGCAAAGGAAAGCAGCTCACCTTGCGCCCGTCATCGAGTTCGCTGCAGACCATGTGTACGGCCAACCTGTGCCCAGTGCGGGTCTCGACCTCGAGGCATTTGCTGCGCGGGTCGTACGCCTTGACGGTGGCAGCCATCCCATTCACGAAGTCGTGCTCCTTGTCGAGATTTTTTGTCAAGAAGACCCGCATGTCCTGGTAGATGTGCGTTGGCGCGCCGAGCAACCGACCGGATTTCAATTTGTTGTTCTCGTCGAAGTTCTCCAGGTTTGCCTCATAATCAAACAGACCTTCACCCAGTGGCTGCTTGTGGCGGTGCTCGAAGAAAGCTTCCACTGCCAGCAGGTTTGCCTTGGCGCATGCCTTCCGGCTGCAGGTGACGACAGTTGTCTCCGGCTGCTTCCGGAAGAGGTCCAAGATGTCGTAGGCGGTCGGCTCGTTGCTCTTCCAGGCGCGGTGGTCCCGCAGCAGTTTCTTCAACTGCTTCATGCTCGGCTGCGCGGTGCGCAAGATGTTCAGTTTCTTCTGCAGCTTCGGGTCCTTGCACCGGACCTGCTCCCTGAAGGGAATGGTCTGCACGTGGCCTTGCCATGCCTGGCTTTCATCGCAGCGGGAGGCCGTAGGGTCCACCACCGGAAGCTGCCAGAAGTCCCCTAGCAGTACCAAGCACGGGAGCTGGTCCGCGTACTTCCACATGGCCAAGATGTGCTCGAAGTGTTCTGCCGTCAGCATAGACACCTGCAGAGGGGGCGGAACGAGGGACGTCTCTATCTGTATTTCTGTTTCGGCATCTTTATTTGCAAATACATAACAATCTAGCTATCTATCTGTATACATATATATACAACTGTCTCTCTCTCTCTCTCTCGCTCTCTCTCCTCTTCTTTTCTATCTTGTATTGCGTGCGCACCGCAGAACGTATCCCTAATGAAATTCTTTTCGCTTTGATACCTAACAACACCTAAAAGCAACTTCTGTCCGAAGCAGGTGTCCACCTCATCGATGATGACCAGCTCGTATTGCGTCAGCAGCGCGGCCGCCTCTTGCAGGGACTTGTGGAGCAAGAAGGCGCTGTGACACGTGTCCACGTCCACATCCGGGTGTACGCTGCGGATCTCGGAGGCCAGCTGGCCTGTGGGGGCAATGCGAAGAGGATTCTGGCGCCTGCCCGCTTCCAACGCCGGATCTGCTCATGGATCACATGGGTTTTTCCGGTCCCTGGGGGCCCGCTTGCAAACAGGATCTTGTTGTCCATCGCCTTGGCCTGGCAAGCTTCCAGGGCTTCATCGCTTTCTGCCTGATTTGCCGCCATGGCTGTCTCCATGTTCTTCGTCATGGCCTTGGCAAGGCGCTTCTGAGAGCGCGTCAGCTTCTTCTTCTCCACCTTCCCATCTGCTCGGACAGCGCTTGCTGCCGAATCGACTGAACTCTCCACCTCCTCCTCCGGTTGCAGCTCCCCGTTGAGGTAGCGCTGCACGATGTGGCAGTGTGCCTTGGCTTTGCAGAGGATTGTCTCCACGAAGGCCTTGTTGTGCGCTTCCAGCTCCATCATTTCTTGGATCGCGGCTTCGTTGGTCCAAAACTTTGGCGCGTGGTGCAGGCACAAGGCAAAATTGCGGTACTTCACGTTGACCTTCTCCATGATTTCCGGGGCTTGCTCCTGAAAATCTTCCAATCTGCGAAACGGTTTGTTGAGAACAAGCCACTGCGCGTAGTACTTGTCGTTCAGCATGGAATTTGTTGTTGCTGCGATCATCTTCTCGCCTCGCGTCTGGTACTCATTGGCGAAATGCTCCAGCTGCGTCAAGCCCAGCAACCCCTCTTTCTCTTCGAGGAAGTCGGTCAACGGCAGCCAAACTTCTTTGCGCCTCTTATGAAATTTCACATGCCGGCTCCATGCAGAGAGCAGCTGCTTCCGGTGCTTGGCAAAAGACCTGTCGTCTTCCTCGGTCAAAAGCCGCACTTCCTCCATCACCAAAACTTTGTGGGCCTCCCGGATGTACTTCACGATGTCGCCGTCCTTGTTGCTCTTGCGCAGGAACTCCAAGAGATTCATGTCTTCGCGACGCCACTCGCAGGCTTCGTAGATCTGCAGGAACTTCGGCTTGTTGTCGACTGCTTCGAAGCTGGGCGCCATGATGTCGACGAGGGTGCCCTTGAACTGAACCTGGGGAAAGCGTTCCTGCCCAAGCGTCAGCCACATTTCGGGTTCCATCACCCGATTCCGCCGCAGCACGCCAACGGCTGTACTGTAGTCGGATCCTTCGCCGCTCAACCATTCCCGGTCCATGGAGCTGCTGAACTTCATGTTGTAGGTGGCGACATAGCGGATCGTGGCGCCGTTGCGGCTGTTGCTTCCACCACCTTGCTGGACATCTTCATGGCACTTCGTGATCTCCATGGTGGGCTTGAGGTAGGCGCGGACGTTGGCCGCCTTGTCGTCTTCTCTGTGCTGCAGCCCCACCGTGTTGGTCTCCGGGTCCCAGGCAGATGGCTCCTCCCGTAGCGGCATCTTGGAATCCTTGTAATCCTGCTGCGAGTCGAGGACCAACCCATGCAGGAAAGGCTCCGTCTCCTTGGGCGGGATGGTCGCCTGCAACTTTTTGTCCAGGCCGATGGCACCCACGTCCCTCAAGAAATCTAAGGAGTGGCTGTGTGTGGTGCCGCGGCCGTGGTATCGCTGCGAAGCTTGCTTTCGCTTGCCGTCCTGGAACTCCAGCCGGGTCACGTGGGCCACATAGGTGCGGATCTTGCTTTCCTCGTCCTCGGGGCCCAAGACGTGGCCTTTCCAATTCTGCCACGGCTTTGTGCTGTTGTACCTGGCGCTGCAGATGTAGCCCTGGTCCAGCTGGAGCAACACATGAGCCATATGAAGCGTCTCAGCACCCGCCAAGTGCAATCTGGGACGGCCCAAGACGGACTGCTCATGCATCACCCAGGTGTGGTACGGAAAGGAACGCTCATAAGGAGCCCTTGTTCTGAAAAGGTTCGCATTCCCACACTGCCTCTGCAAGTCGATGACCGCGTGGTGGCGGACCCGCCAGTATTGCGGGGTCCACGGGGAGTTCTTGAGGAGGTGGCGAAGGGCCACGCCCGTGCGGGCTGCCAAGTTCTTCTTTGTGCCGATGGTGGTCCACATCGACAAGTCGTAGACAAAATGCAGCAGGTCATAGTCTGCACCGTAGCCGATGACAGGAGAAAGGACCTTCCGCATGAAAAGGCGTTTGATGCGGCCCTGCTCTGCCTCCAAGATCTTGACGCCGGCGTCCTGTTCCAAGTTGTCCTCATCGGCTTCCTCGTCTTCCCCTGGCGCGCCTGCTTCGCCCTCCTCGCTGCTGGTGTCTGCGACCCTGCGGCCGGGCGCTGCCCGCTTCCGGTTTCTGCGCGCGTCATGGGAGGCGCGCGCCACCGTTTCGCACAAGTTGCGGTGCCAGTACAGATGGGGCCACAAAGCACATTCCAAGCCTTCCTGTTCGATGAAGCGAAGAGGCCGCCGCCGCTTTTTCTCGTTGGCGTTCCGGCCGTGCTTCTCCAAGAAGTCCATGTGCTCTCCAAAGAAGTGCTCGTAGCTGCTGTCCGAGGCGGCGAGCAAATACTCCAAGGCGGCTTTTGCGGCCCTGCGGTCTTTCCTCTTTGGCAGCGCTTCGATTTGGGTGACCACATCCTTCGCCTTCCAGGCAAAGGCGATCATACAGTTGTGCTCTCGGTAGCCGTTGGGTGCACGGGCCACGGCACCAGTGTCAATCTCCAGGGGGCGCAGGGCTTCGATGACCCGAGGCTTGAGGTTGCGCAGGGGCTCCGGGACGTGCTCTGGCTGCGGCACGTATTCACCATGCTTGCAGGCAGTGCAAGCGTTGGCAGTCACCGTTGCTTTCCGGACCCTTCGCAGATCCACCGGCTCCAGCGGCCGGGGGCACATGCTGTGACATTTCTCACACATGCCCCAGGAACCTTGCTTGCACCAAGCCTCCACAAAGCGTCCTTTTGCATCGGAAGGCAGAGGCAGGTCAGTGTCATTGTCTGCCAAGTGTCCAACCGCTCCACATGCTTCCACCACCGCTGCCTTCTCAGCAGCTTCTGCAGCTTCCCCCGCGCGGGCCATCATCTTCTCCGGGAAGAAGAACTTGCGGCGGGCGACCCTCTGGTCCCGACGCGCCAAGGCCTCGTACTCTTCACGCTGCTTGGGCTTCAAAGCTGCGCCCACATGCTGTCTGTGTGCAAAGCAGGCTTGCCAGGTTGGGGCGTCTTCTCTTTCCTTCTGCTTTGGCTCCACCTTGTTGCGATACTTCTTGGCCGCATCCACGCCCAGGAAAAGCCGCACTCGTGCAAGGGCTGCCTCGTAGACCCCGCGGTTCTGTGATGCAAACTTCCGCAAAGCTGCGGTAATCCGATTGGCGCGCGTTACGGCATTGGCTTCGCGCATGCGCGCAGCATTGCAAAAGACGCAGTGGCGGATGCCTCTTGCCGGCTGCGTCCGGGCTGGCTGCCCTGGGTCTTGCGGGTTGAATTTGCAGGCTTGACCTTGGTATCCGTGGCAAAGTTCATGCTTCTTGCGAGGCTGTCGGCCTGCTGGCCGCTTCAGCATGCCGGGCCGCTTCAGCACATGGATTGGCTTCGGCGCGGCAGGCACCTGCAACCATGCACCTCGCGGCGGCTGCTTGCCTACCAGGCGCCTCCTCACTGGAGCGGGCACTGCGGCTGCGTTTGGGGCAGGTTCTGGGTCGACGCGCCAGCGTTTGGGCACTGCTTCAAGCTCCTCTCCCTGCGCGTCTGCATCCATCTCCTCATCGCTACTGTCCGCTGCAGGCACAGATGCCACGACCTCGGGCTCTTCCTCGGGCATGGGTTGCTGTACCTCTTCTTTGTCCGTGGGGCTGTCGAGCTGGCTGTCCAAGTGATCCAACTCGGCCCTGCCGCAATGCCTCTCTCCTTCTGCCGGGACCTCAGTGTCAAAGCGGTGGACGTCGAGCTCCTCGTCGCTGTTGTCCGACTCAAGCTCCACATCGGTCAGCTCCCCATCAGCCGCCTGGCTGCAATTTTGCCCAGAAACATCTCAGTCCACCGCTTTTTGATGTAACGAAAAAAGCATGTCGCATCTACTAACAATAGCGAAGCTGCATACGATGTTTTGAAAACTATGTATATATATATATATGTTTGTATAAATCACGCTCGTCTACATATACATATACATCTACCTTCTTTGGGTGGATCACTTACCGTCAACATTCTGGCTGCAGCTACCTCCCCGAAGAACCCTGCAGCTACGGCCTCTGCGGGCAAGTCCTCGTCACTGGAAACTTCCTCCTCTCCCGCCGCGTCATTGGCCACCGGTTCGACCTGACAGGGCAAGGGTACAAAGAGCAGAAAAACAAACAAACTTTGAACGCAAACTGCTTCTGCCAAAATGGTCTGTCTAATTAACTGCCCCGTCGCCTCTGGAGCCAACGCCGGGGCTGCCGACGCCGGCTTCTTTCTCGCAGCTACAGCCGGCTCCGCAGCAGCTGGTCTTGCCATCCGCTTGGGCAGCGCCGCGGCTGCGGCTGGGCCCGCCTGTCCTTCTGCGGGCCGTGTTGCCTTGAGCAGTTGTGAGATTCTGCCGGCTTTGTAGCCGTCTTTCTTCAGCTGTGCACGCACCTCCTGCTCCGTCCCAAGTCGAAGGCGCAACTCAGCAACATAGTCCTGTGCTGACTTGTTGCCAATACCGCCTTTTCCTTTTGGAGCCATGGCGAAACCGGTCTAGGATTGGATGTCCTGCCGCTGTTTACACTACCTCGGAAACGGCTGCGGAAAGTGAAAGAAGAATTGGGCCGTGCAATGAGATGAGACAACAAAAGGGATCCAAACATGTCACCCATGCGAAACAGCTGCCGCAACGGAATTGCCCTTGCATTCAACTTTTCAAACCTGTGGGGTCCTTGGCTTAGCCCCCTGCCATCGAAGACACCGACAACAGCAGAACTATTCCGGCGCTGCGGGGTTCTTGGCTTAGCCCCATGCCATGCCAAAGAGATGTTGGTGGATCCGTTTGACGCTGCGGCATCTTTTTGTCACCACGCTGTTGGTACCTCAGTGCTCTGAAAGACCCTGTGGTGTATAAAGTTGAACAATTCCTGCAGGGTCGTTCTATCTACAGCAGCAAGTATCTATCATGCTAAAGACCTGTGTGTCATGTCTGTCACAATATTTGATCGACAACATGTTCACGCACATCGTATATTGTTTTGACTTCCGTCCTGCTGCTGAAAACGCTGTGCTACTTTGATGCCTCTGTACAGAATGGCATCGCAAAAGACTGTACGCGAATTGCCCTCACCACGAGGCTCAGTCTCCACCGGCACAGTCGGAAAGCTCCTGCTGCTGTCCCGATCTCCGGCTGGAGTTGCTTCAGCAGTGATTGCATTACCTCAGACAGTCAGGGCATGTTGGCTCGTGCTGCCTTTAGCCTAACGCTTTCCCACAGACAGCTACATACATGTGCATCCATGTACATACATACGCACATACATACGTACATACGTACATACATACATACATACGTGCGTACATAAATACACACATACATGCATACATACATCCATACACACATACATACATACAAACATACATCCATACATGCAGACATACATACAAACATACATACATACATACAGACATACATGCATACGTACATACATACATGGCGCTGAAGTCTTGCCCAGTGTCTCATCCCGACCACCGCCCCCTAGACATTAGGGACCTGTTGTCTTGAGGGGTTACAAAGCGCCATTGCGGCGCGACCCGCCGGAGGTGAAGAAAGGGGAGCCCGAAAAGGAAACCCAAAACTTTTGGCGGGCCGGCGCCGCCGGGCGGCATACTATGTGTAAAGTGACTAATCCCGGCCCCCGCCGCACCCCCACTATATATAGGGCGGTTTCCCCTTGACGTCGGGGCTCCGGTCCTTCGGCTCTCGGTCGGGTCGGCAGGCGCGCCTCCGCTTGGCGCCCGCGGGCTTCCTACTATATAGGGTTCCTTCTCCTGCCCTTCGGTGCTTTCCTCGGCGGCGTCCGCGGGCAGCTGCCCGCAGGAGCTCCCCGGGACCCTTCCCGGGAAGCAACTTTTAAAGGGAAAACCCCCCCGGGGTACCGTCCATTTTGTCAAAACGGACGGTACCCCCGCAAAACGGACGGTACCCCCGCAAAATGGACGGTGCCCCCCCCTTTTGGACCCCTTTTGCCCGTAGCCCTTTGGAGCTGCTTCTTTGCAGGGTCCCGGGCTCAATCCCCCCCTGTGGCCCCGCATCTCTGCTGGCACCTGCTTTTGCCTCATTTTTCCTCTTCGTTTCCTCTTCGGGGCTTGTTTTTCGACCCCTTTGCGCGTAGCCCTTTACACACACATACATACATACATACATACATACATACATACATACATACCTACATACGTACATACGTACATACATACATACATACATACATACACAAAAACATACATACATACATACATGCATGCATGCATGCATGCATGCATACATGTACATACATAGACATACATACGTATATACACACGTACATCCATACATACATGACGTTGTTGGCATTCACATTTATGTGCATTGCATACATGTATCAAGATAACTAGGTACAGACGTTTCCAAATAGACACATCCAGGTTTGGCTCGACACATAGTCGCGTCCGCGTCTTCTTAGCATCACTGAAATTCAAACAGTGGCGTGGTGGTTGAATGAGAACAATCAGAAGGGTAACCCAGGTTGCTTCTACCAAGCTTGCTCCTGCCATACTTTTCATCTACCATGGTGCTTCGACGTGCTTGCCCGTTTCCTTGGTTCTTGTGGATAAAATACACCCGCTGGAACCTTCAAGGGTTTCACTTAGAATGAAACCCTAAACCCTAATAGTTTTTAACCTGGGTGGCTGGGGTGGGTTAACTCAGCAGAGCGAGCGCGCTTCGAGCGGGGGGCGTGCCAGCAGATTGACAGCCCCCCGCCCACGCGCGACTACTTTTGCACACCCTAAACCCTAAACTCTGAACTCACAACCTGGAGAAGAAAAAAAAAACTAAACCCTAAACTCTTAACCAATTTCCCAAAAAATTGCACGATTTTGGTGCTGTGCCTATCCAAGTTTCCCGGTCTTCCCATAGCAATTATCTAATTTGACCAGATTTCATCGTGCATTTTTTTGTGCTATTTTTCGTGCTTTTTCTTTATTACCCTTTTTAAAAAAAGCACCATTTATAGCACAAAAAATTGCACCCCCAAATCTTGCCAAAATTCATTAGGTTATCCCAGGGCCATCCCAGACTACTGAATTAATTTATACAATTTTTTTTTGTATTTTTTGCGTGCGTTTCTTCGTGCAATTTCTCGTGCTCTCTTTGTGATTTCTTCGTGCAATTCTTCGTGCTTTTTTGTCTGACTTTTTGTCCATCCTTCGCGCAATTTTTCGTGCTCTTTTGTCGATTTCTTCGTGTATATTTTTGTGCTCTCTTTGTGTTTTCTTCGTGCAATTTTTCGTGCTCTCTTTGCGATTTCTTCGTGCAATTTTTCGTGCTCCTTTTGCAATTTCTTCGTGCAACTTATCGTGCTCTTTTTGTGTTTTTTTCCTATTTTGTTCGTGCTTTAGGTATTGTTTTTCAGCCAGTAAAACCCGAAAAATTAGAAAGTCATCATTTTAAATTAGTTTTAATTGCCCAGACATCCCTACCGTCCAGCTCCAGAGCCAGACAGCTCAAAGCTATCCCACCCAAAGCCTTTCCCAAGTCAAGGATGCAGCCCCAGGTCAACAGCCAAACCGTCTCTAGCTTGCCATCCCAACCAGCCTTTTAGGCTCAATCTCTTTTGGATTTTGGTTTGGGCTCTTCTGAGTGGCCTTCTTTGCTTGTTCCATGGCAAGCCTTCCAGACACTCAGCCAGAAGGTCGCGACACCTTTTGGGACATGCCTATGAGTTCTGTTACTTGTCAGTATTTCAGTAGCATCAGCATATCAGTGGTTCATTACCCAAATGGTTGAACCCGCACTGTCGGCGAAAGGAGCGCCGTGACAGTGTTGGGTCTAGTTGTAACCGGATGGTTAGCAGGTATTTTGGGTTGTAGGGATGGTGAGGAATGTTTTTGCCTGTGTATAAGGCTCGAGTTTCCAATCCCAGCGCTTACATGGTTCATCGGGCCTAGATTCGAAGTACCGAGCGGAGTTGTGATTGGTCCGTATCATAATTGTAGTATAACTGGGGGTGTCGGCGAAAGGACCGCCGTGGCAGTCTCAGGCATTAGCTTAAATGCATGCAGTGACACAACAGCTGGAGTGCACATCTAGTGGATAGAACCCATTTCTCAGGGCTGCGTATTATGTAGTTGTAGCAGTACGCATCTAATGGAAGCAAATTTCAAGACGTGTCTCTGGCATCAGTCCTTTTTCACTTCGAGCTTCGCTGCACCCATGGCTGTTCCAGATGAAGACGGAGCAGTTAAAGCTTTGCTGCCCCGTCTTGTGGAGGAGTTCGGACAGGACTGGGGCAAAAACCTAGAGTACCAATGGGTGTACACGGCACTCGGCCTGAACCGTGGCCGCAAGTTTCCGTCGGCATCTGTTCGCAGCTTGACAAACGTTCTGGTGGACAAACTCCAAGAGCAGTACCCTGGCACCTCATGGGAAGATGTGGTGCCAGGAAATGCTGCTCCTGCCACTTCTGCTTCCTCTGGGTCTGCTACAGCACTTCTCCCGTCGAAAAGCACTGACATCCAGCATGGATGGGCGGAGCTGATTGGAAACGATTTTTCTTCTGCGCAAGAGGAAGTGCAACCTCAAGGCATTTGGGGCGATGTCCTGATGAGATATCCCGCTCGTGTAGCCCAGGGTAAAGCGGCCACCCTGGGCCTGGGGACCAAGCCAGAGTGCAAATGCATGCTGGTTCTGACGAGCCTGGAGGACCTGTGACTTTTGTGAAATTTCCGAATGTAGGCTGTTATAGTAGCAGAACCTGCACTGTCGGCGAAAGGACCGCCGTGACAGTGTTGGGACTAGTTGTTACCGGATGGTTAGGCTTGGTTCTACAGTTATATAGGGACGGTGAGGAATGCTTTTGTGGATAGAAGTGGGCTTTGTGGGTTTAGGGTTTAAGAAGTTAAGGGCTCGGAGTCGGGAGTTTATACATTATAGGTTAGGATGTATCTCTAACAGGTTTTCTTTAGGCCTGCCAAGGGTATAATTTAACTCTTATTTTTTAACTTTTAACTATGTTTTTTTTAAAATGTTGACGCTTATTTTTTAACTTTTAACTCCTTTTATTTTTAAATTTTAAATCTATTTTTTAAAACTTTTAACTCTTATATTTTAACTTTTAACTCATATTTTTCAACTTTTAACTCTTATTTTTTTACTTTTAACTCTTATTTTTTTACTTTTAACTCGTATTTTTTTAACTTTTAACTCTTATTTTTTAACTTTTAACTCGTATTTTTTTACTTTTAGCTCTTATTTTTAACTTTTAACTCGTATATTTTTAACTTTTAACTCTTATTTTTTTAAACTTTTAACTCTTTTTTTAACTTTTAAATCGCATTTTTTTTAAAACTTTTGACTCTTATTTTTTAACTTTTAACTCGTATTTTTTAACTTTTAACTCTTATTTTTTACCTTTTAACTCGTATTTTTTGACTTTTAACTTGTGTTTTTTGACTTTTAACTTTTATGATTGGCAAGGGTCATCATTGAATGATTGCACACACATATTTACAACTTACTCCTACATCCTACATGTAAACGTCACACAGACATTAAAACAATGAAACAAACCAAAAGTTAAGAGTCAAATAGTTTTATGATACATTAGTGTTTGCTAATGTGTTTTAATATGATATGTTTCGATGATCCAATTGAGATTATTGGATAATGATGTATTCAATTATCAGATCGGTAAGCTCGAACACGTAGTGTTGATAACATCAATGAACTTTATGTGAAATCCAAAAGCAAACAACAACTCCAAGATCATGAAATATAGATTTCAAATGGCAACAACAAAGCCGGAACAAAATAGATTGAAAGGGAATGAATCTGAGTTCTGAGATAGCAGAAATGATGGACACATTTTTCAGAAGATCATAAAATAGAAGTTAACCTCAAGAAAACCATTAAAAGAAGTATTGCTACACAACATAAAGTCCAAAAGTTGTACAAATTTTAAAAGAACAATTTTATTTTAAAGTATTGTTTTTGAATAACATCTGCAAAAAGGGGTTCAGTGAAGCGTTAATTTTGAAAAAACATGTTAATTTTTAACCCCTGGCAAGAGTTAAAAATTAAATTTTCCAGGGTTAAACAATTTAATTTTTAACCCCGGGCAAGAGTTAAAAATTAAATTTTCCAGGATTAAAAAAATTAATTTGTAACCCCGGGCGAGAGTTAAAAATTAAATTTTCCCAGAGTTAAATTTCGGATTAAATCACCTATTTTGTTGCAAAAAACGAAAGTTAAATTTTCCAGGTAGCCTATTTTGTTGCAAAAACCAAATTTAACTCTAGCTTTTTAGCGTTTTTTGCAACAAAATAGGTGATTTAACCGGAAATTTAACTCTGGGAAAATTTAATTTTTAACTCTTGCCCGGGGTTAAAAATATTTTTTTTAAACCCTGGAAAATTTAATTTTTAACTCTTGCCCGGGGTTAAAAATTAAATTGTTTAACTCTGGAAAATTTATTTTTTTACTCTTGCCCGGGGTTATTTTTTTTTCCCTGGAAAATTTAACTTTTAACTCTTGCCCGGGGTTTAAAAAAAAACTTTGAACCATCAGCTAGGAATTTAAAAGAATGACCTTTGACTTGACATGAACATTTCCCAAATTACTGTAACTCTTAGCTAAGAGATCTTTGTTTTCAGATTTTCATCAAAACAGTTCTTGTAAACTTAAATGAATTATTCTCAAAACGTGTTTGACTTTTTTCACTTCAACTTTTAGACTTTGTTTGTTCTTTTGTTTTTTCATGTGGTTACTTTTTTTTGGGAATCTGGATTGTGTTTCTAATCTTTGGAGAATAGTAATTTTAAGTTGTTTATTGGTCATTCTTTGTTTGAATAGTTGTGCATTAACCAACAACATCAACTTTCTTTGGGTTAAAGGATTTTTATGTTGGGGCAGCAATAGCAACGGCTTTGGATTGAGTTGATTGAATTATAGATACAATTTGGGTACAGATACAGTTTTTTTTTGCGGCTTTCATTGTTTAATTTAAATCATTTATATTATTTAACATAAAATAATTATTATATAATTAATGTATATATAACTTATATAATATATAGTAATTTAGGAATAATATATTATATAAATTATATGAAATTTTAGAATATATCATTTTAATAACTTAAACATTTCAATCGTGTGAATAGAATGAACTGATATCATTCAATTGATAGTTGTTTAAAACCAAATTGAACTGAAATGAAATTGAGAGTTAAATTTAGGCAAAAATGAGAGTTAAATTTAGGCAAAAATAATGGTTAAATTTAGGCAAAAATATGAGTTAAATTTGGCAAAAATAAGAGTTAAATTTGGCAAAAATAGGAATTAAATTTAGGCAAACATAAGAGTTAAATTTGGCAAAAATAAGAGTTAAATTTAGCAAAAATAAGAGTTAAATTTGGCAAAAATAAGAGTTAAATTTAGCAAAAATAAGAGTTAAATTTGGCAAAAATAAGAGTTAAATTTGGCAAGAAGAAGAGTTAAATTTAGCAAAAATAAGAGTTAAATTTGGCAATTATAAGAGTTAAATGTTGCAAAAAACATAGTTAGATATGACTCCCATATACCCCTCAAGTATACCCTAAAGAACCCCTCCAAAAACGTGTTAGAGCAACATGCTAAATTATAGGGCTTACGTGCAGGTTTAAGGAGGTGGTGTGTTGTAGTTGTTACTGGATGGTGAGCAGGTAGTTTGGGATACAAGTGGGCTTATGGGTTTACGGTTTACAATGATAAGGGCTGGGCTTATGGAGTTTATGAATTATGGGGTTTACATACAGAGTTTAGGGAGGTTGTGCGTTTCAACGCCAAGCAGCAGAATCTGCACTGTCGGTGAAAGGACTGCCGTGACAGTGTTGGGTCCAGTTGTTACCTGATGGTTAGGGTTGCTTCAGGGGTTATAGGGACGGTCAGGGATGCTTTTCCTTTACAAGTTCTGGCAGGACGAACCCCAGCGTCTGAACCGATGTGCATATGTGCACAGACCGCAGGGATGTCGCCAGGGAGCGGCCTGCCGATTCTGCCATATTCATCCGGTCTCTGATGCGGACTACAAGAAGCGAACAGGGCGAGGCTGGGGTAAGAAGGAATCAGCGGAGCAGAAGAAGGACCGGCTGGCGGCTCACGAAGCAAAGAAAGCGATTGGCCAAGAGCGAAGGCTGGCCAAAGCAGATCTTCAGGGCTATTTGCGCTATGGCAAGGTATTGAAATGTGGCAGTCAAAATGTGAAAAAACACCACGTTCGGACAACTTTTGGACGTTGAGCTGTTGAAAAAGAGGGAGAGAGATAGAGAGAGAGAGAGAGACAGAGACAGAGACAGAGAGAGAGAGAGAGGGGAATAGGTAGATAGATAGATGGATGGATAGATAGATAGATAGACAGCTAGATAGCTACTGTAGATAGATAGATAGATAGATAGATAGACAGATAGACAGATAGACAGATAGACAGATAGACAGATAGACAGATAGACAGATAGATAGATAGATAGATAGGTAGGTAGGTAGGTAGTAGGTAGATAGAGAGAAAGATATATATATATACACACATGCGTCGTTATATATGTATATATAGTCTGGCATAAGAATAGAAGTATAAATCTAGTTGTGACCAGATAGGTAGCCATCTCTCTAAGAAAACTGGCGTTAAAGCTGCGCAGAAATTGTGTTCTTGGGAAGATAGTTATGACATGTTTATCAACTTTATCTCCGTTGAAAACCTTTCAAAGTGGCCAGCTTATCTGAGGCATGCAGAAAAAATCGATGGCTAAAATCCAGGAGGTCCATGGTTTCATAAGATTCACAGATAAAACATGTATGTCCTAAATATTCACAACATGCCCAAAATATTTTGAGGGGCCTGACCTTTGATCATTTTTGAACGTCCAAAATGCTCCAAAGTATTGGTTCCCTTGTCCAAGTTGAGTGTTAGCAAAAATGTTTGGTTTACGAATGCTAGACTTGGGCCCCTAGATTTTATCCATTCAGAAATGCTCAAAAGGGGTATGGGGGGGTCAGGCCCCTCTGGAAAACAGCCACTGGGGTCTACTATTTCAGGGGCTGGACCCCCCTAGGAGCAACCAACCCCGTTAGATAGGTAGCTAGATAGCTAGATAGATAGGTAGATAGATAGGAAGAGAATGTAGATAAAGGGATTGACTGTTAGATTGTTAGACAGACAGGTAGACAGAAAGAAAGAAAGATAGATAGATAGATAGGTAGATAGATATATAGATAGACAACATGGATGGACAGGCAGTCAGATAAACAACTAGATGGATAATGGATGAATACGTGAATTCATCAAGAAGATCAACTGAACGTGGCAGTCAAACATCGACACTCCAAAAGCCCGTCATTCCGTCATCGACACTCCAACAATTAACCTAATTATAGTGCTCCTATCTTTGAAACTTCCGCCACCGCCTTGTGCGATCCTACTGGTATACTTATGATTTTATGTTATTCCATACCGTTCCTTTTTCCGCCAAGAAAACAATCACCACATGTGTGGGAATCCGAGGGTCCAAGTAAGTCATATTTTGTTGAGTTTGGTCTTTGTTTGAAACTCATAGGCACCCAGTCATTCTGCTTGAGATCCTTCAACGGATCTCTAGTTGAGAGGCCATGAAAGTCAAAACGATTTCTTGGAAAACATTATTTTTCCTACATTGTTTTTTTGCAGATTTCCAAATACTCGTTTCATTTTTGTTTTAGTTTGATTTTTATCCGGTGACATCCTCTTATCCTCTGGTAAACTAGCGTAGTTGTGGTAAATATTTTTTTTTGATATAAATCACGTGTTTTCTAAGTCTAATACAAGGTGGTGCCCCCAAGATAGCTAAGTTGGTTTATAACTCCAATAACTATGGTTTATGGTACTTATAACTATAGTTAATGGGGTTTATAAACCAACTTATAACTGGGGGGCCCCACCTTGTAGGTAATATAGATAAACTATGTTCCATGCTATGTTTACTGGAAAGTCAATGTACATCCGGGTGAATCTCCAGATTCACGGTGGCGAGGCATTCTATGCCTTTGTGACTTTGCCGAGACTGCGCACATGCCAGTGGCTCGTCTTTTTGTGGCATATGGGTCACATGGGAATGCAATTTTCAGCAACCACAAAGGTGATATTTCTGGGGATTATGTGGCTATTATTAGAATAGTTGGCTAATGGATGTTTATTCACCCAAATGTGGTAACTGTGAGGTTTTGAATGGTTTTGACCAATCCCCATGTAGTTTACTGTTTTGACTTGATGAATGGTAATTGACGTGTTGCGTTGATGTGAGATTTATGTGGGAATTACGGGAACATTTGCCATTTAACGGCCGAGGTAGTGGAACTTCCAGAGTGCAAGCACGTCTTCCATCGCGCCTGTGCCCTGCCTGGTAGCCGGTTCAAAAAGTCACAGAGTTTGGGAATTCCCGGAGCATCTGGGAAAAAACCATTAAAAATTGTCAGTCTATGATTAAGCAAAGTTTACAGTAACAATTGTATAACCATACCGAATACCCATGAATACACCAGCTATTAAATCTTTGGCGGCTTGTTGAAACCCATGGTGTTAATCTTGTTTGCCATTGCACCTGGGTTTCCCGGTCAGGGCCCAGGCGGCCGAGCTTAGGTGCACAACAATTGGTGGATGCCCGTGGGAGGCGCTGTGCTTTTCGTAGGTCATCAAGACAGGGTCCGGAGGTTTCCGTTTTGTCATGGATACCAAATCATCCAGTCCTCATGGATGCCGAACCATGGTGACTTGTTGGGCATCCCTCCATTTTAAGAAACCCACTATTTTGGGTGGACTGAAATATGTCGAATGGTAGATTTCACACTCCCGCTCCAGCTCAAAGGTACGTGTCTCCCTCAAAAAAAATGTTTTGCCCTAGATTTAGTATATTATATGGTTGGGATTGCATAGGTATATATATATGATGAAGCTCAAAGCTACCTTGCTGGCTCACTGCCTCCTTGCTAGCTCAAAGCTCAAAGCTACCTTGCTGGCTCAGTGCCACGTAGCTGGCTCAGTGCCACGTAGCTGGCTCAATGCCACGTAGCTGGCTCAGCGCCTCGTGGCTGGCTCAGCGCCACGTAGCTGGCTCAATTTTTTTAGCGAAAAAAAAAATAAAAAAATAATATAAAAAACTCGCAGAAATTGAGCCGGCTACATGCCCTTGAGCCGGCTCGCCAATGCGTCATGAACCCGGCCAATTCATAGTTAGTATTCGTTTTGATGCTCTCACATTCGTCCGCCAGCTCAACGTGACGTAGCTGGCTCAATTTTTTTGGCGTTTTTTTTTTCGTTGAAAAAATTGAGCCAGCTCGATGCCATTGAGCTAGCTCGATGCCCCTGAGCTAGAGCGATGTGTTTGAGCGAGCTCGATGGTGCTGAGCCAGCTCGTTGCAGTTGAGCGAGCTCGCAGAAACTTCCCAATGTGTTAAATTGCCAGGTTCAGTCCCCACTGATTACTTTAGTACTAGATATGGTACCTCTGAAGCCCAAGGTGACTGTCAAAACATACCCCTGATGAAATTGAGCCAGCTACATGTTTTGAGCTAGCTCGAGAAAATGGAAGATTGTGGATTCCACCATTCAAATATGCTATTTTGGGTGGACTGAAATATGGATGTGGCATGTTGTGGCTCAAAAGTCTAGAAAAAGATATTGATACCCCACTATTTTCAACCATTAGGATGTATTCTGTCAGCCGGTGCTTCTGTACCAACTCTTTGTATCCAAAACTGGAGACATTTACCCTGCTGCCCTTGAGATAGGTCTCTTCATATGCGGTAGCTGCCCTATCCAAAAAGTTGACAGAGTGACACCGTTGGAAAACGAGCTCAGCACCAGAAGCATTTTTCTTGGAATACAACAAAAGGTGTAAATGATGTAGGGGACTCCTTTGATCTTCTTTCCTTCCCGCATGTACCAAATCAAAGTGGTCCCTGTTTGAACAATTTGCAGGGTTCCTGGATGTTGCAACATCCCCACATCCTGCAAGTCCACCGGCAATGCCCAATAAAAGATATCAACGCCTCATAGAGTCCACCGGTGGTTTCTCGTTGCCCAAAACTTCATCAAGAAACACCCTGCCCTTCTTTTGGAGAAGGGAAACCATTTTGTTTTGCTGAAACCTCTACTGGCCCCCTGAGATCGTAGGTGTCCTTGCTGTCGAGCCGAAGTGGATTGGCCTCGAACTTAGTGTTATCCTGGATTGATCAGGTCAGTCTGAAAACAGTGGCTGGTGTCCAAACCAAAACATAATAAATACACATAATGTACATGTTTATCATGTGTTTATCTATCTATATATATATATATTTATTATACATGTGTATATATATATGTATATGTATGTATAGAATTGTAATTATATATATATGTATATATATACATGTCTGAAAATGGGGTATACCCTCAAAAAACAAATCTAGTGTAGTATAATTTTTGTTTGGGCTTCCATATGTTCAGATCTATATGACGTGCATGTATATGGGTTTGTCTGAAAATGAGATACCACCCAAGTCCGTTTGGTTTTCAGCATTTGTGTGTTCCATTTTATAGAGGTTATTTTCTGGTATACCCTACTTTGGGACAAAGCCATAGCCATTTTTGTCCCAATGGGGATAGTGTCCAACCCTTTTGTGCATCCAAACGAGCTGTTAGCTGTCAGGAGCTCACCCTGTTCTAGCCTGTGGTTGGGAAACTATGGCTGAAACCCATACCCTCTGGTAAACTAACATAGCTATGGAAAACCACCATTTTTCATGGGTAAATCCACTATAAATGGCCATTTTCAATAGCTATGTTAAATTACCAGAGGGTAGATTCCATGCCCAAAGAACCACCGTTGTTTTTTTTGGGGGTTTTTCCCATCCCGGTCCCGCGAGACGCAGGGCGTTCTTAGCGACCTGAGTGCGACGTAAAAAGCGGAGTAGGCAGTGAAGCCCAAGTCATAGCTGGGATTTTGGGATGGAAATGGATGTTCATCCCACTCAAATTGATAATATGTGTGTTGGAATTTTTGTTGGCATCGGGCAGAAAATCGGGCATTTCATATGGGAATGTCATGGAATCACGTTATACACGTTGAAAAAAGGCAGCTGAGTCAGCTGGGAAAGTCATCGAACAAAATGGGGACTTTTCCAGCCAGCCATGTTTGATTGTGGGTAGTCGTTTCTGACTTGCTGAGTTACCTAATGAGCGAATATTGGAAACACATGGCGAATATATGCGAATATGCCATCTTCTCTTGCTCTCACTACTCACTCCAAGTTCCACCAACAACCGGGTCCGGAATCTATCTGATCGTAGATCATGATCCGCGATGCCCGTTCTTCAGAGTTGTACAGACCACCTGGTCCCCCCACTGCAGTAGCGAGCTGCTACTCATCGCAGATGTACAGAGATGAACTGGCCAAAAGACGAGTGGAGCGATGTGGCCATAATGTGTGTGTCTGAAAATGGGGTATACCCTCTGGTAATTTAACATAGCTATTGAAAATTGCCATTTATAGTGGATTTTCCCATTAAAAATGATGATTTTCCATAGTTATGTTAGTTTACCAGAGGGTAATGGTGATGTTCAATATCAACATTGGATTTTGAGGTACCCTATCTTCAGACCCATTTTTTGTGAAAGTCGGCAGATTTGGGGGTCTCATAATATCTGGGGAAATTATAACAACCTCACTACGACCTCACTGGAATCATGGTTAATAAGGGGAATCATTCCCAACTAGCCTTAATTCAGGTTAGTGAATTATTCTAATTTACCCAGATAGTTCAACAAAAAGGCTGGCTGAGCAGACATGGGGAGACTAATTATGTGCAGTCCAATGAGGTACCAAGGAGAATGGGATCAGAATGTATGGTCTGATCATGTTCTGATCATGTTTGATCTATGATCTTACTAGAGAATTTTATACCGTGATACAAATGAAAACCAATAGAGTAATACCCGATCAGGGCGGGGGGCATATCTTTCATTGAGACCTCCAGTAGGAAGATAATTCCCTCTCATTTGGGTATGCCTACAATTGAGGTATGCCACCCAAATGTCCATTTTATTGGTGAAAATATGGGGAAAATACCATCTGGTCATTTAACATAGCCATGGAAAATGGCCCATTTAATAGATGGTTTACCTATTAAAAATGGTGATTTTCCACGGCTATGTTAAATAATTAACCAGATGGTATATATGTGTATAATCCTTCGGTGCGAATTTTTGAGCCAGTCATGACATATAGTTCGTTATATCCCCCGTAGACCAGACGTGATAAAACCTGCTTTACATTGTTGCATGCTTTACTCAAAACCTCTTAGTCCAGTCCGTAGCATGTCTTCGCCATGACGGTGGTGTTTTATCGTCACAGGCACCCGGCCAACATTCGACTCCTTCGACGCCTGAAGCGTTTGGAAAAAAAGATGGAGGTGCCACAGGGACGGCGGAAGGGCTTTGGCCATCAACAGGGCAATTCTTCATCAGCAAGCATTCGTTTCATATCAAATCATATCAAATCATATCAAATCAATCAAATCATATCAAATCATATCAAATCATATCAAATCATATCAAATCATATCAAATCAATCAAATCATATCAAATCATATCAAATCATATCAAATCATATCAAATCATATCAAATCAATCAAATCAATCAAATCAATCAAATCAATTCAAATCATATCAAATCATATCAAATCAATCAAATCAATCAAATCGTATCAAATCATATCAAATCATATCAAATCAATCAAATCAATCAAATCATATCAAATCATATCAAATCATATCAAATCAATCAAATCATTTCAAATCATATCAAATCAATCAAATCAATCAAATCATATCAAATCATATCAAATCATATCAAATCAATCAAATCAATCAAATCATATCAAATCATATCAAATCAATCAAATCAATCAAATCATTTTAAATCATATCAAATCATATCAAATCATATCAAATCATAACAAATCAATCAAATCATATCCAATCAATCAAATCAATCAAATCATATGAAATCATATCAAATCATATCAAATCAATCAAATCAATCAAATCAATTCAAATCATATCAAATCAATCAAATCAATCAAATCATATCAAATCATATCAAATCATATCAAATCATATCAAATCATATCAAATCTATCAAATCAATCAAATCAATCAAATCATATCAAATCATATCAAATCATATCAAATCATATCAAATCAATCAAATCATATCAAATCATATCAAATCATATCAAATCATATCAAATCAATCAAATCAATCAAATCAATTCAAATCATATCAAATCATATCAAATCAATCAAATCGTATCAAATCGTATCAAATCGTATCAAATCATATCAAATCATATCAAATCAATCAAATCAATCAAATCATATCAAATCAATCAAATCATATCAAATCATATCAAATCATATCAATAGCAAGTGATAGAGAACTGAGATTTATTCATCTGGGTAGAGCAGGGACCTCGTTTTGGAGCTTTGCAGCAAATAGCCAGGGCATCGCAAAGATTCGCAAAGTGGGTATGGTAAAGCCAACACATCTGGGTTTTTTTAGGAGCCAATAAAAGAGAATAAAAGTGTAAATTGAATGATCCAACTTATGAAAAACCCTGCAATTCGAGGTGGTAGCAAAATGACCAAATGGTTGTGGTCCTATTGGCATTTGCCTACTGTGTTCCGCTCATGTAAGTACTTCAACTCTTCGAAATGTGTTGATATAGATTAGGATTTATATCGTTTTGCTGTAGTTTGAAGAACCACCTTGGATGGTATAGTGAAATATGTTTCATATTGTTCCATCTTTGAATGTTGCACGTTCTACGGGCACATGACCGGGTACTTGTTCCGCTTATGTACCTTGATTTATGACACAGACATCGTTTGTATTGTCCGCGGCAGTTGCGAGCTCAGCAGCGTGCTGTCATATCATATACATAGATAATATATCTATATACATAGATAATATATCTATATACGTATATATATATTGTGTTGTATTGTATTGTATTATATTATATTATATCATAATACATATATATATTATGAATATATATATATATATATTTATATTTATTATGAATATAGTCCACAAGCGGAACTTAGAATGTGGTTTTGGAAACCGCCGCCCCACCGGAGAAGCCAAAACTCACGTTTTGGGCACCTTCTACTTTTGAAATAATCTTCCCACCACGCTATGTGCGAACGGTTTGACACTTAGAATGATGCAAAAACATCATCAAGAAATTCTGCACCGGTCAATTTTTTTAATTTACTGATATTTAGAAGGTTTTCAACACTTAGAATGTGGTTTACCTCCTTGTTCTATTTAGCAACTCTTGCGCAGCTATTTAGAAGCTATTTAGCAGTTATTTATTCAGCAGCTATTTAGCAGCAATTTAGTAACTATTTGGCATCTATTTAGCAAATACTTACTAGCTATTTAGCAGCTATTTTGTGAATATCCTATTTAGAAAGGAGTTAGCAGTTATTCAGCAGCTATTTTTCAGCTATGTAGCAGCTGTTGAATAGTTTTCTGGCAGCTGTTTAGCAGCTGTTTAGCAGCTATTTAGCAACTATTCAGCATCTATTTAGAAGCTATTTAGCAGCTATTAGAAACTTTTCAGCAACTATTTAGCAGCTATTTAGCAGCTATTTAGCAACTATTTGGCAACTATTTAGCAGCTTTTTAGCAGCTATTTAACAGCTATTCAGCAACTATTTAGTAACTATTGAGCAGCTATTTAGAAACTATTTAGCAGCTATTTGGCAGCTATTTAGCAATTATTTACAACTCTTTAGCAGCTATTCAGCAGCTATTTAGCGGCTGTTCAGCAGCTATTCAGCAGCTATTTAGTGACTATTTGGCAGCCATTAGTAGCTATTTAGGAGCTATTCAAATCTATTTAATCATTATTTGATTTCTATTTGGCAGCTATTTGGCATGTATTCAGCAACTGTTCAGCAGCTTTTTACCAGCTATTTAGAACATATTTAGCGGCGACTTGGCACGTATTTAGCAGCTATGGAGCAACTATTGTGCAACTACTTAATAACAACTTGACAGCTAGTAGTTAGCAGCTATTTAGAAAGTATTTGGCAGCTATTTAGGAACTTAGAATATAGTTTTGGAAGCCGCCGCCCCACCGGAGAAGCCAAAACTCACGTTTTGGGCACCTTACACTTTTGAAATAATCTTCCCACCACGCTATGTGCGAACGGTTTGACACTTAGAATGATGCAAAAACATCATCAAAAAATTCTGCACCGGTCAATTTTTTTAATTTACTGATATTTAGAAGGTTTTCAACACTTAGAATGTGGTTTACCTCCTTGTTCTATTTAGCAACTCTTGCGCAGCTATTTAGAAGCTATTTAGCAGTTATTTATTCAGCAGCTATTTAGCAGCAATTTAGTAACTATTTGGCATCTATTTAGCAAATACTTACTAGCTATTTAGCAGCTATTTTGTGAATATCCTATTTAGAAAGGAGTTAGCAGTTATTCAGCAGCTATTTTTCAGCTATGTAGCAGCTGTTGAATAGTTTTCTGGCAGCTGTTTAGCAGCTGTTTAGCAGCTATTTAGCAACTATTCAGCATCTATTTAGAAGCTATTTAGCAGCTATTAGAAACTTTTCAGCAACTATTTAGCAGCTATTTAGCAGCTATTTAGCAACTATTTGGCAACTATTTAGCAGCTTTTTAGCAGCTATTTAACAGCTATTCAGCAACTATTTAGTAACTATTGAGCATCTATTTAGAAACTATTTAGCAGCTATTTGGCAGCTATTTAGCAATTATTTACAACTCTTTAGCAGCTATTCAGCAGCTATTTAGCGGCTGTTCAACAGCTATTCAGCAGCTATTTAGTGACTATTTGGCAGCCATTAGTAGCTATTTAGGAGCTATTCAAATCTATTTAATCATTATTTGATTTCTATTTGGCAGCTATTTGGCATGTATTCAGCAACTGTTCAGCAGCTTTTTACCAGCTATTTAGAACATATTTAGCGGCGACTTGGCACGTATTTAGCAGCTATGGAGCAACTATTGTGCAACTACTTAATAACAACTTGACAGCTAGTAGTTAGCAGCTATTTAGAAAGTATTTGGCAGCTATTTAGGAACTTAGAATATAGTTTTGGAAGCCGCCGCACCACCAGATAAGCCAAAACTCACGTTTTGGGCACCTTACACTTTTGAAATCATCTTCCCACCACGCTATGTGCGAACGGTTTGACACTTAGAATGATGCAAAAACATCATCAAAAAATTCTGCACCGGTCAATTTTTTTAATTTACTGATATTTAGAAGGTTTTCAACACTTAGAATGTGGTTTACCTCCTTGTTCTATTTAGCAGCTCTTGAGCAGCTATTTAGAAGCTATTTAGCATTGATTCAGCAGCTGTTTAGCAGCTATTTAGTAACTATTTGGCATCTATTTAAAACATATTTAGTAGCTATTTAGCAGCAATTTTGTAACTATTTAGCGGCTATTTAGAAAGGAGTTAGCAGTTATTCAGCAGCCATTTTTCACCTATTTAGCATCTATTTAATAGCTTTTTAGCAGCTATTTAGAATCTGTTTAGCAACTATGCAGCAGCTATTTTTCACTTATTTAGCAGCTATTGAATAGATTTTTGGCAGCTGTTTAGCAGCTATTTATCAGCTATTTAGCAGCTATTTAGCAGCTATTTAGCAACTATTTGGCAGCTATTTAGCAGCTATTTAGCAGCTATTTAACAGCTATTCAGCAACTATTTACTAACTATTGAGCAGCTATTTGAAAACTATTTAGCAGCTATTTAGCAGTTACTTACAACTCTTTAGCAGCTATTTAGCAGCTATTCAGCAGCTATTTAGCTGCTGTTCAACAGCTATTCAGCAGCTATTTAGTGACTATTTGGCAGCCATTAGTAGCTATTTAGGAGCTATTCAAATCTATTTAATCATTATTTGATTTCTATTTGGCAGCTATTTGGCATGTATTCAGCAACTGTTCAGTAACTATGTACCAGCTATTTAGAAAATATTTAGCGGCTACTTGGCACGTATTTAGCAGCCATTTAAACTTTTTTACCAGCTATTGCGAACCTATTTAATAGGAATTTTGCAGCTATGTAGCAGCTATTTAGCAGCTATGGAGCAACTATTGTGCAACTACTTAATAACAATTTGACAGCTAGTTAGCAGCTATTTAGAACGTATTTGGCAGCTATTTAGGAACGTAGAATATAGTTTTGGAAGCCGCCGCACCACCGGATAAGCCAAAACTCACGTTTTGGGCACCTTACACTTTTGAAATCATCTTCCCACCACGCTATGTGCGAACGGTTTGACACTTAGAATGATGCAAAAACATAATCAAAAGATCAGGCACCCGGTGTTTTTTTGAATTTACTGATATTTAGAAGGTTTTCAACACTTAGAATGTGGTTTACCTCCTTGTTCTATTTAGCAGCTCTTGAGCAGCTATTTAGACTTGGCATCTATTTAGAAAATATTTAGTAGCTATTTAGCAGCAATTTTGTAACTATTTAGCAGCTATTTAGAAAGGAGTTAGCAGTTATTCAGCAAATATTTCAGAGATTTAGCAGCTATTTGACAGCTTTTTAGCAGCTATTTAGCAACTATGCAACAACTATTTAGCAGCTATTTAAGAGCTATTTAGCAACTACTCAGCAGCTGTTTAGCAGCTATTTAACAGCTATTTAGCAGCTATTTAGTCACTATTGAGCAGCTATTTAGAAACTATTTAGCAGCTATGTGCACGCTATTTAGCAGTTATTTACAACTCTTTAGCAGCTATTTAGCAGCTATTCAGCAGCTCTTTAGCAGCTGTTCAAATGCTATTTAGCAGCTATTTAGTGACTATTTGGTAGCTATTAGTAGCTATTTAGGAGCTATTCAAATCTATTTAATCATTGTTTGGTTTCTATTTGGCAGTTATTTAGCATGTATTCAGCAACTGTTTAGCAACTATTTACAAGCTATTTAGAAAATATTTAGCAGCTACTTAGCACGTATTTAGCAGCTATTTAAATGTTTTTTAGCAGCTATGGAGCAGCTGTTGTGCAACTACTTAATAACAATTTGACAGCTAGTTAGGAACTATTTAGAAGGCATTTGGCAGCTATTTAGGAAATATTTAGCAGCTATTGCGTAGCTACTTAGTCACAATGTGGCAGCTATGTAGAAACTATTTAGCAGCTATTTAGCACTGATTCAGCAGCTATTCAGCAGCTATTTAGCAACTATTCTGCAACTATTGAGCAACTATTCAGCAAATATTTAGCAAATATTTGGCAGCTATTTAGCAGCTATTGAATAGAGATTTAGCAGCTGTTCAACAGCTATTTAGCAGCTATTGAGCAACTATTTAGCTGCTACTTAGCAGCTATTCAGCAGCTATTTAGAAGCTATTTAGCATCTATTTAGCAGCTATTTAGCAGCTATTTAACAGCTATTTAGCCTCTACTTATCATCTACTTAGCAATCATTTAGCAGCTATTTAGCAGCTATGTAGTAACCATTTGGCAGCTGTTTAGTGGCTACCTAGCAGCTATTCAGCTATTATTCAGCAACTATTTAGAAACAATTTAGCATCTATTTCGAAACTATTTAGCAGTTATTCAGCAACTACTCTGCAACTATTCAGCGCCTATTTAGCAAATATATGCAAATATTTAGCAGCTAAAGGGTCAGCACTTTCAGCGTTACAAGCATATAACCAGTTCCCATAAATATATCTTGTAGAGACAGTTGGAACCACTTTTTTGGGGCTGCAAAAGTGTTGCAAGTCAATTTATGTGTGTTTTTGCAGGTTTCATACACTTAGCATGACCCTCGAAAGGGTATTAAGTGGATGAACAAAAAAGTGAGAATAATCTGGAAGGGTCATCAATTTTGGGTTTCGATAGTCGTTTTTTGGGAAAATGTCATCAAAAAGCAGTGAAATCTAGAATTTTAAATTCTGTGTATTTTTGCAGGTTTCAAACACTTAGCATGCCCACGAAACCGAGTCATTCTAAGTGTCTAAGATTATCGTTTTGGAAACCTGGACGTCATTCTAAGTTTCACTTGTCGCCTATAGATATTATGAATATATATTGTATTACAATATATATATATATATTGTATTAATATATTGTATTAATTTGTATTAATATTATATATAGTGTTTATGTTTACATACATACATACATATACATAATATTTTTCTATATATACAACCAGAATTGTGTTCCTAGTTTGCGGCAGATGTTCTCACAATGATTTCTTTTTACAGATGATAGTGTCAACAGCAGACTAAAAAATGTCGTCCAGTCCAGGTCGGTTGGTTCACGAACAAAAACCTGAGGCTGTTGGCATGGGAGGTCAAGATGGCATATACTCCAATCTTTAATGATTTAGTGTCCCAGCAATTAGCCAATCTACGGGTACTGTTGCAGGTCAGGTCAGATCTTCTTTGGCCCGCCGTCGCCAGGGTTTGGATTGAGGTTTGCTTCCATGAAGCTATGCACTTCCCTGCTAAAGATTAATCTTCTTTGCTGGGTATTTCAGGGGTTTTGGCTTGGGCATGTGAAGCAAGCCATTTTTCGCAATGCGCAAAATTCCCCCTGATTGGTAGTTCGGGTCACGGGGTTCAATCCAAACTGATTCACCGAACTGAACTGGAGGAAAAGGATTCAATCCCATGATGCAGCGGATCATCTGATATTCGCTATACATCATACTGTATCATGTGATGGTTGTTTCATATACCCTTGTTTGTTTGGCATGTTGGTTTTTTTGTCCAGAACTGGCCTTCTTCAAGAAACGTTCACTGGCCTTGAAGAAATCATTGCTGGCTAGCGGTTGGATGCATTTAGGGAATCATAGTCATAGTGTCTATGCATATTACATACATACATATATATATATACACAGTAATCCCCAAAAAGATCGAAAAGTAAAATCCCAGAACACTACAATTGTGACAAATTGGTCCTTTTCTATCTTTTTGGGGATTACTATATGTCATAGTCATAGTCTAGGGCCCCAAGGCCAGGACTCCCTTTTCCGCGACGGTCCTGCCAGTTGCTTGGTGCTACTTCCATGCCCTTCACCGAGACGCGCCTTGAACGCTGCCTTTATTTCGCCTGGCTGGTGGGAGATTATTGGGATTCACATATGGGGATGGGTCAAAACCCTGGTACCCCTGGTGAACATCAAAATAGCTGGTAAATGGATGTTCATCCCCCTAAAAATGGTATTAATAGGTTTTGATCCATAGCTATATAATCCTATATATACCCAAAAAAATGGAGAGAGGGATGCCACCAGGGCCCCATTTTTACGTATGTGTTTTAGGCATTTTTATGTGCTTCTATCAGTATGTGTTGTTCAACTCTAGTCAGATCATGTTTGGTAGGCGATGATGATTACTGATCTTTGGATAGAGTTTTAATTACATTCTTGATACAATGTGGGGCCCCCAAGATAGCTAAGTTGGTTTATAACTACAATAACTAGGGTTTATGGTAGTTATAACCATAGTTAGATGGGGTTATAAACCAACTTATAACTGGGGGGCCCCACCTTGTATATATTTCTAATCAAAAGTTATCCTTATCCTCACTATCACAAGCTGCATGTGTATCCACATAAATAAGAATAAAGTATCTATATATATATAATGCAGAAAAAAATCTGCCCATATCTTGAGTTTGAACTAAGTCATGAACTAGCTTACTAATTAGTAGGGTTGCTCAAGGCTCCTGTATATATAGAGATATTTATATATATATAAATAGTTAATACAATAGTAGTTATATATCTTAAAGACTACAGCAAGGTTTTATGATGTTTTACGATGATTACATATATATATGGATTGCTTTATTTAAATATATATATATACACGATGTGGTTCCTTAATGATTTCTTACACAAAAATTATATGTCCTTCTCCTTATCTATGTAATATCAGTACTGGCTTAAGTACCTTTCTAATGTGATTATCATTTACTCTTTAATATATGTGATTATCCTGAGCCTGAAACTCCTCGTTGTCCACATCGAACCTGGCCTGGGGCTGTTGTTGAGACAAACTTAATTGTCATGGCCACCAATGTCAGACTTTTTCTCGATCTCGCATGTTTAGCATATATTTCAATCATTCTAAAGTGAAACTGTTCACTTGACAAAGATATAGTCAGACTATGACATTAAACATTGGTAACATAGAGTACTCAGAGAAATTAAAACGGATACACGTATGTATAACTTTTTTCCCTCTGCGACAGTCTGTGGATCAAGAGGGAGGGTGGGAAGTCATAACAATTCAGGTTTGTCACTGAGGCGCATATACTCAATATGACTTACTTATGAATATAACTTACCTGGTTGGTGGTTTGGAACATGAATTTTATGAATTTTATGAAATTCTATTCAGTTGGGAATTTCATCATCCCAACTGATGAACTCTATCATTTTCAGAGGGGTAGGGCTCAACCACCACCAGATATATACCCTCTGGTAAACTAACATAGCTATTGAAAATTGCCATAGAAATAGTTGATTTGCCCATTAAAAATGGTGATTTTCCATAGTTTTTTGTATGTTTACCAGATATTTCATCTGATTCATTGCACCAAAAAAACCACTTAGCTTCAGTCCATCGTCCCCATGCGGATCCCTCCACGACGGGATGCGCGAATCTTTGTTCGTAGAAAACCGAAGAATCGAATCCGAGTGGTATGAAACTTAAAGCTTTCCAGTTAGCATAGAAATCACCATAGAAATCACATGAAATCACCATAGAAATTACCATTAATCACCAATATTAATCTATATATATATATATGATGATACAATACACAAACCTCTAGATGCAGATCCTGATGTATCATTTTGTGAAAAACTTCGTCCAACGCTTTGAAGAATCTCACGTATGTGACTGTTTTCAGTCACAAGCTTTGAAGAATACACTGTTTTGAATGAGGTTTTCAGTCATGCCCTGCAGTGTAAACTCATAACTATACTTGGCTTCTAATGATCCTGAATTCCATTCTAGGGCCATTCAAGGGGAGCACCTCCTTATTTCACCCTCCAGCTTCTCAGACCGTGGCGGGGGGTTCTGCTTCTGGAACGCGACCGATCACGTCGATAGCATGACTGTCTGGTCTCGATGGATTTCTTTCTCCGCTTGGACTAGACATCAAAGCCCGCTCAAGGATAACCCAAGGAGGTAAAGGTCCCATGGCGGTAACAGGCCAATACGATGACAAAGGTTTCCCAGTGAGCGTGTTCTGATCTAAGCCAAAAAACTGCAAAACCATGGGAGAATCCAAGCCTTGCAGCATCGTTGTCATCGGTCACGTTCCAGAAAACCCTTCAGCAAATCCACCAAACCGTGTAGTAACTCTTGCAACACATAGGCATTGCACACACAGACATACCGATGGATAATTATATAAATCAAAGTTGAATTTCAAAATATAGGGTTAGAAATGGACTTCAGCATACAAGTTGGAAGTGGATCGCTGAGGTCCACATTGCAATCTCTTGGAACATGGAACTCTTAAATCTATTTTTTAAAAGCAATATAACTCAGCTATTACCAAGTCTATAGTAACTATATGTAACTATTAAACCATTTCTCCCATACAACAATACTAAAGAGTTACAGGTTCAGCATCTCCACAACACCACACAAATCCATCTCCCCGCGTCAACTTATTCAGCCAAGTAGCAACTAATTGACCATGATCTTCTCCAGGAAAGCTTGATGATGGATGCTGGGATTACTAATGAAAAGTAAAGGTATATGTATATTTTAGACTTTGTTACATTCTGAAATGATTTTTGTTTTTCACTATATATGCAGTATAAGGGAAGGCTTCGAGAAAAAAAATGAATATATATAGTCCAAGGGAGGGTTTCGAAAAAAGAAAATGTATATAAATATATTATATATAGTCTAAGAAAATGTCTCAAAAAAGTATATGTATAGACTAAGAGATGGTTCTGAAGCTTCAGACTTTCCAATACGCTCTATATAATCAATCAAATTTATTCTTTGTTCAAAACAACAAACGATACCTTTTTGGATACTCAATGAGAAAGCTGTAAAGCAAACATATTTTTCTTCTAAATGTGTGTTTTTTAACACCTCAGAACGCTGCATTTCTAGAAACGTGGTAAACTGGGGCCCTCCTGACGTCCTTTTCTGAAATGAGGCTAATAGATGGGGTTTATCCATATTTATCCATGAAACATGGAGATTTCACATGATCTCACCATGATTTTTTTGTGGTCGAAGGGGATAGAATGGGATTTCATGCTGGATTTTGCTGGATATGAAGCCCATCCCGTTTAAAAAAGTGGTGCCGTTCGGAGGCGCCGGAGAAAGCGTACGTGGTATGCTGCCGCCGCCCCAGGTACACGGCAGAAGGCGACCCATGCGGACCCGTTAAAAAGGATCATGGCTAACAGGTGGTTATAGAAAATGAGCCATTTATAGAAAATGACCCATAAAAATGTCTGATTTACTAAAATTGCTGTGTTCCCATGAATTTCACAGTCTTGCGAATTGGAAAATCACCATTGATAATGGGTAAATCATATGGACAATCAACTGTTTCTACTAATTTCTACAGGCCATCTAGAAGTACAACAAATTGCCAGAAGGTACATGTTGAAATAGAATTCAAAATAGGAACTAGTCATTGAAACGCATTGAATTTTAAGCTGCCCATTCTTGGGGTGAACATGTTTTTCTTCCTGAGGTATCTAGACTTGAATGGCATCTCCATCATAATCACATCCGTAGCTCCGTAGCTCCTGAGCTCCTTCCCAACCACCGGATTTGGCCACGCCAAGTTCAACTTTCAACCCCCTGTGCCAGGGGCCCTCGCAGAATACCGTCGGGTGGCCCAGTTGTTGCTGCAAGTCTTGAAGTGCAAACCAAACATGAGGACATAGGAATTATTCTCTCACCCCAACCAGACATTAGTGCCTCCAGTGCTCAAACATGGCTCGGAAATCCACTATACCCAGAGGAGCCCAGAGGTTTATACCCTCTGGTAAACTAACATAGCTATTGAAAATGGCCATTTATAGTGGATTTACCCATTAAAAATTGTGTTTTTCCATGGTTATGTTAGTTTACCAGGGGTTTATAACTGGGAAAATCATAGAACAAAATGACTAAATGGTGGATTTTCCAGCGAGCCATGTGACGGATTTCCGGAGGTCCCGGAGGTTTCAAGGTTGCCTCTGCTTTGTGCTGCACCAGTTTGTCCAGAGGTTGAAACTCAACACGCACTGCTGTTGAGAACAGTTGGATTTGTTTGGGGTACTCAAAAATCCACGAGCTTCTGGCTGATCATCACTGTTCTGTTCAATGCCCAATCTGGGGACAGTTTCCTGAATCAAAAAAAGTCTACCCTCTGGTAATTTACCAGTTTGTTAGGGATTGATCATCGAACTAAATGGGCCATCTATAGCATATGTAATAACTTGCCAGAGGGTACCTAGTACCAAACAGGTGTCGATTGATCAATGAATGAAAATATACTAGATACATATATATATAGATAGATATTTGATGTGGTAAAACCATGTAAAACCAAGAACAAACCATCCTTAAAATCATCACAAATGAGTGCTATAAACCATCCCCAAATAGTTTATGACATTGGGTTTTCCACATGATTCCAGTTCTCCATTCTTCATGATTGGTGATAAATCATGATATATCCGTTAACCATTCTTCAGCACCATTCTTATAGCCATCATTTGAAGCCATTTGAGCAGTGGCTGCTAAACCCCGGTTGGTTGATGATCAGAAGGGATTATACAACCCAATATATTGGCTGGTTGGTGGTTTGGAACAGTTTTTATTTTCCCATATATCCGGAATTTCATCATCCCAACTGACTAGACTAATATTTTTCAGAGGGGTAGAGGCTCAAGCACCAACCAGCAAAGGTTTCCCTTCATATATTGTGGATGATTTCATAATCCAAGAACGGGGAATCCCTATACCCTCTGGTAAACTAACATAGCTATGGAAAATGGCCCATTTATAGTTATTTTTCCCATGAAAAATTGTGATTTTCCATAGTTATGTTAGTTTACCAGAGGGTAGACGGGTAGACCAATCAGAGGCAGCCCCTCCCAGATCTCGCTCTCAGATAGACCTCATGGAGCAGAAAGCCCAACTCTGGCGTCGCCTACGGAGGTGTCGGTTCTCGGTCGGTTCGAGAGGTCGGTTTTGACGCAAGCCATGGCCTACTTGGTGCAGTTGGAGTGATTTTGATGGGACCATATGGATAGTTCATAATTTCATATAATTTCTAGAAGTGGGGATATGGGGAACGATGCTTAAAAATATCCATTGCTTTTATATCCATATACCCTCTGGTAAACAGCCACATAACTATGGAAAATCACCATTTTCAATGGGAAAATCCACTATAAATGGCCATTTTCAATAGCTACGTAACAAATTACCAGAGGGTAATCCCAGGATGTCTGATGTCTGCCAGGTATCGCCTGGGAGGCTTCGAAGCTCACCTGGTTCAGGGAAGCTTCGCCCGAGGTGCACGGCATTATGCCCTGGTGATGGGCCGGGGTTCACCATGAAAAATGGTGATTTTTCATGGGATTTCATGGGGCTATAAAAAATGGGATATAACATGATATAACATGATATAACCTGGTGGTGCGGTTGGGGTGATTTTTATGGATATTACTATGTTGTTAGTCTCCAGAAGTTGGTATATCGTGCCTCTATAACTCCATCGCAAGGTGACCGAACTGTTCAGGGTGGTGAATCAGTATACCGTGTATATATATATACACCACGTGGTACTCCCCCAGTGACGTTTTTAGCTTACAACCCCCATCAACTTACAGTGGATATGTACTGTAATGATATATCTACCATAAACTCCATAAACCCTCGTTTAATATACTGTATATATTGTACACAATGTATATATGTGATGTCGTTATAAAGCATTATAAAGACCTATGGGGCGTGACCATGTAATTTATCCAGACCCGTGTGAAACCTACATGAAACAACTTTGGAAGTGGGGGCAGTCGGCAGTGACTCTTGTGCTGTGCAGGTGAGACGTCGAGCCCTTCGAGCCAGGCTGGCGGAAGGGGTGAAAATCATCACTGATCATTGGTCAGGCTGGGCACCAAATGAACCGTTGAAAATCTTCCCATTGATCAGTTAGTGTAGTGGGTTATACCCTCTGGTAATTTAACATAGCTATTGAAAATGGCAATTTATAGTGAGTTTCCCCATTAAGAATTGTGATTTTCCATAGTTATGTTAGTTTACCAGAGGGTAGTAATTGGGGATAACTATCGTTGATTTCATAGGGATACCTATCAACCAACCAGTATGATGGGATAGGAGTATTTTGCGTGGCTCAAACGGGGCAGCGAGAGAATGGAGATCAATTTTGAGCGCAAAAGATGTGGGGGACAACATATATCAACATGTCAATGTGTATATATATATATACCCTCTGGTAAACTAACATAACTATGGAAAATTACCTGTTCAATTGGTAAATCAACGATTTCTATGGCCATTTTCAATAGCTATGTAACAAATTACCATAGGGTAATCATAGATGCACTCAGTTGGTTGGAAATCTACAGGAAAGATCGTGGTTTTCCCTAACCAGTTTGGAGTTTGCTGGATAAATGTTCCCTTGTTTATCAATCCATTGATAGATGGTTCCAAAGCCAAATACTTGCTGGTGCTAAACGTAGGGAATGGATGGGTTGCTGGGGTGACTGGGGGTTGCTGGGATGATTATTACTAGTGATTATGGATCATTCCCTCATTCCCTGCTAAGCACCAGTAAGAATATGCCTCTGAGTGACTCAAATTTGGCCAAGTCTGGCCTAAGTTTGATCGAGTTCCAGAACTCCATTTCTTGGTTTGTTTGAAAATAGGGTACCCCAAAAACATCAGCCATGTGTTAAAACCTCATTCCCCATTGAAACTGCCATTTAAGTTTAATCAATTGTATGTTTATCCTCATTTTCAGACACCCAAATATCAACTGGTTGCCTACATATCCCATTCATAGCACCTGTTGTAGTTGGTTTCCAGATTTGATCCATTCTTCACCAACTACAATGATGGATATAAATGGACCATCCGGTGAAAAATGATGGATCTATTCACCAAGTACAATACCATTACCCTCTGGTAAACTGTTACATAACTATGGAAAGATCCACCATTTTTCATGGGAAAATCCACTATTTCTATGGCCATTTTCAATAGCTATGTTAGTTTACCAGAGGGTAATACATATTAATACCAATCTCCCTAGTCGTGGATCAATGGGGGGAAGAAACGCTATCTCCACCGGGGCGGTTCAGGCTGCCAACAGCCCAGTGCTAAGCCTGGATCAATCGGTGGTCCGAGCCCCATGAAGGGGACCATCCTTCAATGGATTGGAAAAATGTCCAGGAAACCAACAAAAACCATGCTTTCTTGATGTGGGTCTGTCTGAAAATGATGTGTACTCCCAAAATGACTATTTTAATCTATTTTACTTTCTCGGGAATATGATAATCAAACACTAGCACTGGGTTTGGGGGTAACCTATTTTCAGACAAACCCATGTTTCTTGCCATTTCAAAATGGTCATTTTCAAGTAAGTGCCATTTTCTTTGCAAGTGGTTGGTGGTTTGGAAGATTTTGGAACATGAATGTTATTTTCCATGTCATGTATGAGATGTCATCCTTCCCATTGACTTTCATATTTTTTAGAGGGTAGGGCTCAACCACCAACCAGAAGTGTCACACTCCAGGTCCAACAGGTCGCTGAAAGCGTGGCAACGTTGAGAAAAACTCTGCATTGAAAGTCAGTAAGCCAACATCTATGATTATACATAATATTCAAATGATATAATTAACTATACATTTATATTTATACTGGTTGGTGGTTTGGAACATGAATTTCATTTTTCCATGATATAATGTTCCATAAGTATACATCTATACATGTACATCTATAGCCAATGTTGGTTTGGGAGTAGCTTTTGAACGGGATATGGACCAGGCTCTGGCGGCGGCGCTGCAGATGGCACCGCACATCCCAGGCAGTGACGGAATCCTATCTTAATGGAGTTCCATAATAGATAGGTAGGTAGATAGGTAGATAATTAGATAGATAATTAGATAGATAATTAGATAGATAATTAGATAGATAGATTAGATAGAATAGATAGGATAGATAGGATGGATAGGATAGATAGGATAGATAGGATAGATAGGATAGATAGGTAGATAGATAGATGGATGGATACTATAGATTGGATTAATTGGACAGGTTGGACAGGTTGGATAGGATAGATAGGCTAGATAGGCTGGCTAGCTAGCTAGCTAGATAGCTAGATAGCTAGATAGCTAGATAGATAGATGGCCAGATGGCCAGATGGCCAGATGGCCAGATGGATCGATGGATCGATGGATCGATGGATAGATCGATAGATAGATAGATAGATAGGTAGATAGGTAGATAGGTAGATAGGTAGATAGGTAGATAGGTAGATAGATAGATAGATAGGCAGATAGGCAGATAGGCAGATAGGGAGATAGGGAGATAGGGAGATTGGTAGAGATGTAGATAGGTAGATAGGTAGATAGGTAGATAGGTAGACAGACAGATAGATAGGTAGATAGGTAGATAGGTAGGCAGGTAGGCAGGTAGATAGGTAGATAGATAGATAGATAGGTAGGTAGATAGGTAGATAGATAGATCATTAAAGCTATCCATTATGTATTATATATATATATACTGTCTATGTATATGTGATAGTTCCTTTAACGGATTATCGGATTATCAATGAATCAGTAGGGAATGGGCATCCATAGGACAGGAATTCTGGATCCAGAATGATGGGTTAAGTCGTCGGTGCAACAGGTCGCATGGCGCTCTTGCAGCAGCTAGGCGGGGGTCAGAAAGGAATGGGCACTGCATGTGAAGATGTGAGCCCCTGACCTCACCATGATGCAAATTGGATTGGGGAAATCATCCAAAAAAAACAAAATCATCTGGTAAATGGCCTGGAATTTTCGAATGAGTGAATGCGTCTAGAGTCCAAACGCTTAAAATTGAGCTCTGGTGATGCATGAGGCGTGGAGGATAGTTGTTCAAGTAGAGTATATAGATCGAAATAGTGTGAATACGTCCACAGTTTTGTAGAGTCCGTGCCCTGTCACCAGACAGATGAACAAAGCTATCACTGTTGATAGGCAAAAGGGTTAACTTGATTTGAAGATCGTCATTTTGCTACAGGCTGCTGTGGCTCATGTGGTTTTGGGATGTTTGGGGTTAAATTGTAAAAGATGATAGCTGGATGTTGTTTCATTTGAACATATTACAGTAAGATATACTAAAATCATTCATTAGCCAATGTGAAAATTGGACATCTCTGGATGCACATGGATCATGGAAGAAATCTGAATCTTGACATATCTTAACATAGCCCCAAAAAATTTGAATCAACGTTGCCAATTCATGGCCAATTCATGGCCATCCAAGCAAAGGTGACCATGGAGCCAAGATAGCTGGGCAGATGAAGAGCTTGGAACAACAGAGGTTGGCCGTGGCCGTTGCGAGTTCCGGCTGCTTGGTGAAGCTCTGGTCAACATACAAAAAACTGTTGATTATTGCCATAGAAATAGTAGACTTACCTATTAAAAATGCTGATTTTCCATAGTTATGTAAACGTTTATCATAGGGTAGTTGAGTTTTTCACATAATTGTGGAGTTCCTGAAAGGTGAGACTTTGCAATGCGATGCTCAAAAAATGAAGTAGATCAAGGAGGTCCGTCGCAGCCACGTCCCCACAATTCTGGCAATTCGATCCTGGCAAGAACCATTCAATCAATATGGGCCATCGTCTTCAACTGGAGGACTCCAAACAAACCATAGCTTCGCTATCAAGACAGACCAATCTCGCAGATTATTGGGTCCCCCATGTTTGGAGACAATTGACGTTAGAAGAGTTGGACTAGCTCAAAATCTCAATCCACGGCATGTTTGGTATATTAGATTATATGGATGTGGGTCAAAATGGAAGACCGATGTGGGACCACAGATGTGAATGTCTAGTTTAGTATTAACCATCCATAATTTTGGGGTACCTAATTTTGACCCATACCCATATCAGTATATATTAGTGTAATTTAGTGTATATCATTATGTCACATGAATGTCCCCAATCCCTCATATTGGATGTCATCACATGACCATGGGTTTTTCGTGACACGAATTCCAGGTGCTTAGTGGCCACGAGTTGCCTCAGCAGCACGTTGGCATCGATGCACTTGCCCAGCCCAAAGATGCTGGAAACCTTGGAGGTTGGGGAAAAAATCCGCCGAAAATTGGTCCATCTTGGCTGGATGTGTGAAAAAAATGGATGGGAAGATCTACAATTGACGTCGGATCTTCCATTTTGATTAGAAATAGTAGAAATATTACGACCCCCATTACCCCCCACTGCAAAGAAGTCTACGTAGTTCCTTCCACACTGTAGCTATTAGACTAAGAATGCCTATAGTATGGTACAGTCATGCCTATAGAAATTGCCGTAAACATCATAGAAAATCCGGAAAATCTCCCAGATGGTTGCAAGTTCCTCATTTTCGGTCATGTGTTTCAGGCCCTGAGCGAAAGGCCCTTAGAGGCGAGAGCTTCACCTCGGATTCGGTGGGGAGGCCCAGATGCCTGGGGACAGGTTGATTTGACTGCTGAGTTTGAGGTATGTTTATCTGGTTGGTGGTGACTGGAACCATGGAATTTTATGACTTTCCCATCATATTGGGAATAATAATCCCAACTGACGAACTCATATATAGTAGATCAACTATTTGGTATTGAGGTACCTGCTGAGTCGAAGGCTTGAAGCCTGCCAACATGGTGTGGAAGATGGGAAGGACCTGCTGGTCAACCGTGAGGTGATCCACGGAACATGACTGGCAGTGCATGGCAGTGCCTCGCGCCAGCGAAAAGGAGATGATCTACCCTCTGGTAATTTAACATAGCTATTGAAAATGGCCATTTATAGTTGATTTACCCATTAAAAATGGTGATTTTCAACAGTTACGTTAGTTTACCAGAGGGTACCTTTCATGGCTTAACTACATTCAATTACCCAAAATGGGAATTTGCTGCACTTCACCATGGAAAAAGATGGGCCCAGCCATAGTTACCATAGTTACCATAGCTCCACGATTTCTCTATTGAAAGGCAGTGCAATGCAGTGCATGCCAAGGTCGCCAAGATCGACTTTGGGATTACCCTGTGTGGTTTTTGTTCACATATATGATATATAATATTAATGGTTGAGACATGTTAAGACTTATAATGTAATAAGTCTTTTTCGTTTTCACTTTTTGATTATTTCAGTTGTGTTCAGACTTCAGTTTTGTTTACTTTTAGTTCATTTTCGGTCATATCTCACTCGAGGTCAATGTTGTTGAAGGGTTCTTTATGATTAGCCATCCAAGGGGATATCGGGATATCCCCTTTTCTATTTTGGTTGTGCCTCAATTTACAGTATCCCAAGTTTTGTTGGTCATTTTTCCCAGAGTTGTTAGGACTAGAGTTGTACTTCCATTCTCGTGGGTTCCGTCGGTTCATTTTCCGGTTGGGTATAGGGAAACAACTGCCGTGTTTCGTGTTTCCGACTGGTAACATCCGTCTCTCCCACTGCAAATCCATGGAGATCAGGTTTTATTTGTATGGAATATCCATGAATATCCGATATCCTCAGTAAATTTTCACCACCTTCCAGATCGATTTGGCCCTCTTCAACTACTCAAAAAAAGCGGGTTGCTGGTAATTTGGGCATCCCCGGAGGTGAATGATCCGAATGGACGACGAAATCGATGTGTTTTGCCGTTCACATCGCATTGAAACAATGATTTCTAGGGGATATTTGATGACTCATCATGAGGGGGCCCAGTCATGTTGGGTATTTAATATGATTGGGGCATAGGTCAAATTTGGGCATAGGTCAAATTTGGGAATTACAGTATTTTCACCAGAATTTTCACCAGATTTATAGATGTTTCCCATCACAAATCCAATTGTTCCTCATGATTTATGGGTGTTTTCCAGCCGGCTTGTTGGCCAACCATTTTGAACTTTTCATAGAACTGGATGATGGGAAAATTTACAGGAAAGCCCTATATTTGAAGGTAAAAACCATGGTTTCCTGTAGATTTTCCCTTAAACCAATCCATTGAACTTTCGGATGTCTTGCCAGTCTTTTTTCGAGACGCCGAGGCCTCGCAGTTTTTTGTCCTACCTTCGCCTTAGCCTCGCAGGCCACCTTTTAAAGTGAGGTCACCAGGGGTTTTTTGGGGGTTTTTAACGATCTCCTTGCGAATTGAATGCGAATTGATTTATCAACCATCTTGTAGAATTGGGAAAAATATGGAAAAACCATAAAAACTCTCGATATCAGGCTAATTCCCACTTGGATAATTGGTCAACTCATAAATACGAACTCATAGGAATGATCTGATTTATGATTTATGAAGTGTAGTCTCAAGCAGTGCAAAGCACGGGTGAACTGGCCAAACTTCTTAGGCCGGTGATTTTTTGAGCGAAAAAGCGTCAGCAAAACGACTCAGAAGAGCCACAAAGAGAAGGCTTCGACCAGCCCAAAAAGCACAGCTACTCATAAGATATTAAAATGAGGTACATGTGCCTGGCTAAATTATAACGACCTCACTGTTCTCCCTCACTGGAAATCATGGTTAATAGGGGAAATCATCCCCAAATGGCTTTAATTCAGGTTGGTGAAATATTATAATTTGCCCAGATGTGCCCCCTATACAATATGGCCAACGACAAGGTCGCTGTGCGATGAAAATGGAGATATTGCATGACCATTGGGAGATATGATCAACAAACATCAGTATGCAATTTCGGCAAAACTGGATATAAGCCAAGAAGATTGCTAAGTCTTCAAACTTGAGCTCTCAATAGGATCACTCACAAATGCATATCGTACATTGGACTGTTCTATGTCTATATTTACAGATCATTAATATATAACATATATATATATATTGTGCATTCTATACAGACATTCAAGTATGTATGATGGATGTATAAATATACATGTTATTGTCGATACAGACATATCCATGGTCCATGTAGAGATTTTGACATGAGACCCCCGCGAAAAATAAAGGTGGTGTCCGTGAAAAATTCGAGAAAGTAATTGTTTTATTCGAGAAGAATTGCCGTTTGCAGATAAAGGAATTTAGATCAACCGCCATATATATATAATAGATATAGATATTCTGTGCAGTTATTTTTTACAATATCTAGCATAAACATATATCTATTGACACTGCACTGTATACATATGGACATGTATCTATGTATAGAGTGTATACTTACATAGATAAAATATATATATATATACATAGATGCCATATATGGATATAAGAATGTATATACACTCTATTCATAGATATATATATACATATTCTTCATGAAGCCATATATACTTACACAGATATCATATGTATATATATATACATAGACTCACAAGATATAATATGTATATATTTGAAGCGTCTTCACAGTGTTCTTGTTTAAGCAGCTTCAGGAAAAGAGTCAGGAGTCTCGGAGATCTCGGAGCAAAGTCAGCAGGCCATCAACCGCCAGCCACTGGGCCACTGATTTCGGTCGGTAGGGTCCGGTAGGGGTGACGTGGTGACGTTTCTGTTGGTTGAATTCAGGTCAAAATAACATGGCCAGTTTTTTTTGAGTCATCCTGATTTTATAAAGTGGTATTTAAACAACAAGAAGTTCAAGAAGGTATCCTCAGTTTGACCAGAAATGGGTACTAACCACCAAAAATGATGTTTCGTTATTGGACCTAGGCTGTTATCAACATAAACCAGCCATAAAAGTGGGTAGTTGGCCTACTACCATTCAAAGAAAAAATTGCTTTCTGGTGATGAAATGTAATTTTTAAAAAGAAGTAGTTTCCAGTTGTGATGCAAGAGGGGAAGCGGCGGAAAACGAAGAAGCGAGCGTTCAGAGAAGCTCCAGAGTTCAGGGCTTCGGGTGAAAGGTACCACCGAGGATTGATGGGCATGGGATCATTTCTGTGCAGCTGCATGGCTGCATGGCTGCATGTGTACAGTTGGTATCGCAGTGTGTCAAGCTCCTTGAGCGCTTTCCAACTCACTTGCCGCTCAAATGGGAAGTGTGGTGCAGTGACGGTTCACCGGAGGAGCTGGAAACACAATATTCGGGCGCTCACAGATGTACAGATGTTCAATGCAATGGTTCTGTGAGAAGATGCATTTAGGATAGAAATGAACATGAATGATGGTTGATGGATGGTTGGTTACAAAATATATGGTGATACTATCTGGTTGAGTTGGGGATGATGACCATTGATGACCAATACTGTAATCAGAATGCCAATGTTCAACTAACCCACCATTATAATGAGATGGATTACCCTCTGGTAAACTAACATAACTATGGAACATCACCATTTTCAATGGGTAAATCCACTATAAATGGTCAATTTCAATAGCTATGTAACAAATTACCAGAGGGTATATGGATTCGGGTATTTGTCATGCCGAAACATGCGGAAAAAACGTGGAGACAATTTTCTTGTAAACCACTGGAGTTTGGGAGGGGAATCATTAATGTTTGAGTAGAGTTGCTGCTGAACCTCAAATGGGTATGGGTCAAAATTAGGTACCCCAATAATTGGATGGTTAATACTAAACTAGACTAACATCTGTGGTCCCCTGGGTCTTCCATTTTGACCCACATCCAAATTTCCTTTTGCCCTCTAATTATCTCTAATTCTCATTGTCCCATTTCCCAATCTGTTTGTGATACTTCCATCATATATTGAGATTATAGCGACCTCACAACGACAATGGCAGCAAGATTTGGTCAAGACTGAAATAAATCCTCTGCAAACAACTTGGCAGTTTTTCGAAGACATACTAAGAACAACCTATCCCAGAAACCTCAGGAAAACTATATAAACCTTCCGTTCTGGTGGATTTGGGGATGTCGGATGCCATCAGAGGGGAAGCCGCACGGACTGTTTGATGCCGAAATGTGGTGCTTCAAGTGCCAAGGTCCACATGTCATGCCCAGAAGCCGTGAAAGCCGTGGAACAACAGAATTCAGTGGTCATGTTTAAGGCACATTTGACGATCTGAGTTTTAACCACCTCGCAATGACCTCACCATTCACAGGGAATCATCTTCGTATAGAAGTGTCCATTCCTGCGGCCAGTCATTTTGGAGCGCCATTTGATTGATATTATCCCGTTGAAGACACAGATCCCGATCCCTCAGTGAAAAGGTACTCATGAAACCAACCGTCCAAAACCCGAAGAAAAAGCAGAGCTGGTCCAGACTTGAACGATCATTGAAAGCAATGTCTAGAAACAAATCTTTGGGTGAATGAAGCCAGGGCCGTTGTATACCGTAGTGAAATCGACTCTAACATGGAACATCATGGAAGCCACTTAAAATTGTCCACGCCAAATATCGCCAAAGTTTGGGTTTCAGCACCTGGATCTCAAGGTTGAAGGAGTTACTTCAACTTCGAGATGGAAGTCTTTCGGCGGTGGGGTTGGGATGGTTGGGCCAGCAAGGCTTGCTGAAAATCCTGCGGGAAATCCAGTTCTTTACCTGGCTTTGCTGAAGATGTGTGTTTTTTTCCTATTCTTGAAGTCACCAGAAATGGGGAATCTACTAGGAATAGGTTCCATTTCTGTGGCCCCGTTGTTGCAAATCCAAGATCATCATTCAAGATTCAAGAGATTGAAACGCGCGCTACGACTTGGCTCAGGAATTCCACAGAAAGGGACAATATTGAGAGTAATCAGAGAACTCGTTGGGAGTTTCAAACATTTATGTGTTTTCAACCATGGTTGGGATGATTGGTTGAGATGAAGATCTTTTTTTGGATAGCTGGCTCAACCACCACCAGGAAAGGTAGATATTGCATATTGCCATTTTTCAATATTGCTGCTATTGCTATGAGAGGGATGCATTTTAGGGATGGAAAAAACTTGGAGATTTCTGTCTGTTCCAAAGGCTCGCTTCTCATGGTAGAGTATGGGACAGATCGGGACACGTCACTCGTTTTGATCAGGAATCCTCGGGTTGATCCCCCATGACTACGTGAGGATCAGAAAAAAAAACCTCTGGTAATTTTAGCCATGGAAAATGGCCAATTTTTTACATATGTAGCTGATTGTCGCTGCAGTTGAAAAAAATTGCTGTTACTAATGGCCATTTTCAATGGCTACCCTCTGGTTATTTCACATAGCCATGAAAAATTGCCTATTTATAGATGGTCTACCTATTAAAAATGGTGATTTTCCATGGCTATGTTAAATAACCAGATGGTATGTGAAACTACCAGAGGGTATATCAGGTATATCTCAAACATATTGATGGGTGCAGAGGTCCCCAAATCCTCCAAGGAGTTCTGCTTTGGAGCCTTCCGGCAGAGGAGTTAGTTCCAGGGCCCAGATGCCAGTGATCGGAGTACGAAAAAGGGTGAAATGACCATGGATCCTTCTGGTGATTTGACCATCCGGGATGGGAATGCCAATGAAGATGGGAACTGAACATGATGTTCACCACGCAAAACGGGATGCTCAACAAGAAAACATGGATTTCTTTCGTCAAATTTTGCGGCACGGGGACCTGCGCATGGACTCAAACAGTGACTCAAAGCTCATGAACCCAGTGATACCCAGTGATAAGAGTGGATGCATATGTATATCTCGCAAGTAACTTTGTGGATATCTGCTTGTCATCCCAAGATCGCATGTGGTTCGGAACGGTGCTGTCACCGATTCTGCCAGAGGGTGACTTCGAACATCTTCGAAGCATCTTAAATTGGAAGATATGGTGTTCCCCTCGCCATGTGGTAAATCATGCGGGTGGTTTCAAACATTGTTTATTTTCCATAATATATGGGATAATCCTTCCCATTGACTAATATTTTTCAAGATGGTTCAAACCACCAACCAGTAAATCATGCTGGTGGCTATGAATCATGAATGATTTATAAACGGGACATGCCGAATCTACAAACATCACGATGAAATCCCCCTGGCGAAGATGATATAGATGGTCCATGCAGAAAAGTGGACTCCAAAATAATGTCCTGCAAAATCCTGGTACCCTCTGGTAAACTAACATAGCTATGGAAAATCACCATTTTCAATGGGAAAATCCACTATAAATCACCATTTTCAATAGCTACGTTAAATTACCAGAGGGTAGATTGCAAAGAGAATCTAAAATCTGTTTTGCTGGCTAAGTACTATACATCGAACATTTATAGATAATAAGTCTGGCGCCAATGTTTACTATGAGTATTTATCCAAATTATACATGATCATTACATACCAAGACGGAAAAAAAGAAGTCGAAATACGAATGTTAACATATTAATGAACGCATTAAGCGTAGGAAACTCATGGAAAATCCTCTCCAGAAATCTGGGTCCTTTCCCCCCAAAAAAAAGGCTGACGTCATGAGCACCTTGGCCACTCTTCTGGTTGACGCCGAGATGCTGGTGCGATGGGATGTGAGTCCGGTTTTGTTGGGGAAAATTTGTGGGGACTTCACCAGGAGAAATAGCCTCTGGTTATGTCAAAATAGCTATTGAAAATGGCCATTTATAGTAAGTTTTCCCATTAAAAATGGTGATTTTCCATAGCTATGTTAAGTTACCAGAGGGTAGAGGATTCAACTGGATAGATGGATAGAAGTGACCAAAAAAATATTACAAACATGGGAATACTGTCATACTGAGTCATACTTTAATAGATTGAAATTGAAAAGTCAAGGATTCAGTGGACAGAAGCTGCAAGGAGAGGATATACTTTTCGCATATCTCAATCCATAGCTGGGATAATATGCCAACAAGCAATTACACTCTTGGGACACGTCCAAGCATATTCCTGATATTTTGTGGGAGGAGTTGATTCCAAATATTGATAACTGATAATGTTATTATATGGTATAAATATTATTGCACATCGTTTGTTCAGTGAATGCCCACCACTTCCAATTGCACACCGGTTTTTGGATCTTTGGACAGGATCCGCAGTTGCGCGCACGTTTGCGCCGTGGATTACAAGAAGGCGCATGAAAAATGTACCACTCCTTGTGGCAGTAGCTGCTGGTTGGTGAAATATGGGGGTCCAACCAGTAAAAAACACGTGTTGTTTCATGTCAGTGTTTTTCCAAAGCAAAAAGATGTTCAGAAACCATCTATGATAATCTATGCCATCTATGGTTGGATAATTATAAGAGGTTATACGGTTGATGGATGTTGATGGTTTATTGGAGATTGTGACGAATGGGAATCCAGGGAATTCTGAGAAATGCCCAGAAATCCCCATGTTGGTTGACAGTATGATTTAGGCCTACACTGATTGGTTTAGCCCAAAGGATAACTACAATCCATGAATGAATTTCTAAGGTGGTTTTTCCGTGCTAGAAATGACTGGCTGATGCGTTTACTATCACTCAATGGGATGACAAGTTAATCCACCAATATCCACCAAACAAATCCATCAACCAGTGGTAAGTGGAGGCTGAAGGGTTGGTCACCTCAGGAATTCGCTGGGGGAAACCTTAAAATGATCATATGGCATCATATGGCTGCGTCTGAAAATGGGGTATACCATTATACCGGTATACCCCTAAATGGTTATTTTAGTAATGATTCTAATCCAATGGATTTGGGAATACACGAGTTTTTTTGACAATTTTTTTAATATCCAGTTGGGAATCATCTTCGCAAGTCAGTTTGGTGAGTTGGTCGGACAGTTTCTCACAAAATCTCATGGTTTTTGATAAATTTCCGCGACGAATTTTTTTCTGGACATGATGCATCCCCGGGGCCCTAGAGGTCCGTTTTCGGAATCTTTGGACTTTTTGGACTGACAGATCTGGGGTGAACTTTAGGAAAGTCAGTGTTGCCCAAAGATGGAGGTCTCCAAAATCATCATGGGGGTACCTCTCAACATCTCTCAACCATCCAGCTATCAAAATGAGAAAGTAAAGATTCAAATCCAGTGGGAATCCCGGTGGGAATCCCATGGAATCCCATAGAATCCCAGTGGTGAACCACCATGAAAAGGTTGGATCTTGAACAACCATTGGGTCTTAGTATGAGATTTCTAAAGTTGTGCTTCAAACATTGGGTCAACTTCTTATTCTAACTCAACTTATGGTGTAAACGTAGCAAACTGGAAAATCACCATGTTCTTAAACGGCAAGTCATTATATGTATCTATTTCTATGGATTCTGGGCCATCTATACCATAGCAAAGTGTCAAATAACCAGGAAGATTCCCCGTTCAGCTCGATTCTGCAAACTAAACCTCCATCATTCAAAAACCATGATTTGATCATTCAAAAACATCACTATAAACCATCTAAAACCACTAAATCACCATGAAATCCCCATTAATTATATAAATCCCTATAAAATCCCCATTAAATCACCATTGATCACTAAAAAAACCTATGGCAGTGGGCCGGCAACCAGGCCCCTTCCTTATCCGTGCAGGACTCCAAAGCCTGGAGGTTGAGGCCAACGGAAGGGCCTTGCCCAAAGGTTGGCAGAGGCGGAGCATGGCGGAGCTGCGGTGTGGCCTTAGTAAATGGCCAGTTGATCATAGTTCATATGGGGATGGGTCAAAACCTTGTACCCCTGGTGAACATCAAAATAGCTGGTAAATGGATGTTCATTCCCCCGTAAAAATTGTATTAATAGGTATTGATCCATAGCCATATCAAAACCATAAAACTGATAGTTGATCATGTGATACTAGATGGCAATGCTTAGTAAATGGCCAGTTGAAGTATGAATCATAGTGTGTACTAATATCATATGACCAATACGATTGTATTTCATAGCCGTACTTGTATTAGCGTATGTCATCTATTAATTATGCATATTAATGTGGACGAATGTGGTAAATCCAATAATATGACCGTCCCCAATATGATCATCATTGAGTGGTGAAAAAAACCGGCCCCAAATGGTAGGTTTACTATCGGGTTTGCCGCATTATGCATGTTGAATAAAATGATGATAACATATGATAACTACGCTGTGCAAGCAATGCATTTTGGGGTACAATGAATCAATGACATATCATCACCATCTCGATGAAAGGATGATCAAGACCATCGCCAAATTGATGACATAGCCACAGAAGTCCCACAAGGGACCCAAATGAATCAAATGAACGAATCCAAGGACCTAAACAAAGCTTTCTAGGGAGGTATTTCATATCAGGGCTTTTGGGATTGTGTTTTTTTTCGCAAAAAATAAGGACCACCAAGACAATGGGATCACGCAGGGGTTTCACCATGTTTCACCAACAATCCCATGTCATCCAGTGTGCTGGTATATTCATACATCGATGCCGTTGGAATGTGTCGTTTGAACATGGGGATGTCTCCATCCACTGAGATGTTGTGGTCCCATTGATTGGATCCATTTACTATCATGTGGTTGGGAAACACTATTCGTAGCCCAACTGGCTGGTTATGGATGTTATGGCCCGTAGGGAATATGGACACCCCAAACCTTCCGAAACGCTCCCTCCATTCGCCACTGGATAGTTGGTTTGATCATAGAACACATCACCATTCAGTTGGAGTTTCCCAGCTATAAACCTCCATTTACCAGCTATAAACCTCCATTTATAGCGGGAATTTCAGGGGATTTTCCAGGAATTGGACCCTGGATCCACCCCAGGCCATTGGAGAAGCGCAGTGGTGGGCCACCCGCTGCAAGGCAGTTCCTAGAGTTGGCTTCCCCAGGTCGAGCTGAAAATCTGCCGGGCAAACCAACATCGAATTTTACCCTCTGGTAAACTAACATAACTATGGAAAATACAAAAGCGTGGAGCTTGCGGAAAGCTTGCGCAATGTGTTGTCGGAATCATATTTGCCAAAATGGCGTGGCCATTTTGACTCAAGCTTGGGTCAACAGACCTGCATTTTGGTCGCCTGGTCAATGATCGACGATGTTTTTTGAATGGGTTTTCCACATCTAGTCTACCCGACCAACTATACTGGGGATACTTTATGGGGAAACTTGAGGCTTTATCCGTCAAAAAGAAGGATTTCTCCCATGAAGTCTGGATAGAAAAGGGGAAACTCCCCTCTGGTGATAGTTTGTTATGGAAGATATGAAAATTGCCTATAAAAAATGGTGATTTTCCGTAGCTACGTTAGACTACCGGATGGTAAAGAGTAGATTGTATTTTGTATTTTGATTGGAGTCCAACAGGAATACAATTGAAAATTATTGTTATGGAGTCATGGTTAGGGGTGTTGTAAATCCAAAATGGCAATGAAAATAGTGGGTTTATTTGAAGTGAGTGTGTATTTTCCCAATACAGTTAGAAATCTAAAGGTAATATGTTTTACTTTTAGAGGTCCCTCAAGCGAATCCAAGTTATGACATGTTATGACAATCTTACCAGCACAGACTGAGGTTCAAATATGTGTTTTGATCATTTGTTTGTCATGTTTATTTCGTTGGGAGGGAGAGAGCTATGGCTAGTATCGAAAAATTGGTTTTGACGGGTTTATCATGAGGATAGATAATAGAATACTGTGCTTATGGTTGCTTGCGGAGATATGGTTGGGGTATATTATATAATCTTTTAATTCTAATGGAGATACACTGGGGGTGTAATCTGGCTGAATTATAGAGACCTCACGACGAGGTCACAACGTAAATTATGTTTGCTAAAGGGATTCGAATCTTGCTTGTCGTCATGCATCGAAAGTCATCGAGCGTAGGGATTCTGTCCATTGATGGTATGCCGTCGTACCGGGTGACGTGTTTCTATTTTTCCGGAATGGTTGTTGACATCATGTGAAGTTGAATGTAGGTGTTTTCGAACAACCACAGATGTGGTACCAACCTGCAATGACGTGATTTTTTCTGGATGGTGAGTTCACCGTTTGCCCCAACTTTGGTTGTCCAAAATATGTTGATTGGTTGATTTATATAGATCATCCTATAGAAAACAATATAAATCCACAAAAAAAATGATAAGGATCATTTAAAATCCTATATTTTACATAATGATATTAGTAAAGCCACTTAAATAGATCATCCTCAATCCCGATGGCGAAGGATCCATGGTGATTGTTGGACTTCCCAGGTGTTTCCCCCTGGAGTTTCCGAGGTTGCTGGCCGGCATGCTTTGGCTTGAACCGTGTCGCCGGCGGTTTTTTTTGGAGGGACCTGGAGATCTGGAGGGCCTGACATGGAAGATGTTTGCCTGAAAAAATGGAGGAGTACCCTCTGGTAAACTAACATAACTATGGAAAATCACAATTTTTCATGGGAAAATCCACTATAAATTGTGATTTTCCATAGTTATGTTAGTTTACCAGAGGGTAATTTGAGAGGGAGTTCTGGATAGAAGATTTTCCCCACTTTGCAGGTGAAGGTCTCTTTTTGTATCAGATGTGTCATGTCAGCTTCTCCACCGGACCCGAACACAGTGTGGGCTTAGCAAGTCTGTTGTCGCTATTGAAACACCTTTTACCCTCCGGTCATCAAACGCGGCAAGTGGAAAATCCACCATTTCTGGATCGAAATCCTAAAAATACCTCCAGTTGCAATCATTTAAAGGGGATTTTCCAGCCAGCCACGTTTGATTACCAGAGGGTATCCTGATTTTTGTGGCAACTTGCTTTCTACTTTCAGGCGGTCAAACCATTGCCGATTCCATGGATTCCGGAGAGTCACCAGACATCGCGCGACCTGACGCGCCACCTGACAGGTGTGAAGCAGAGGTGCACCAAGCCTGAACCTCACTGGCGCCAGTGGCGCATGGGCCTGGAAAAACAGAGAACTCCACAAAAATGGTGGAAATACAGTGGAAATGAATAACAAACTAACCACCTTGTGATTCAATCATCCTTAGTGTACATATATTATATATTCAAATAAATTCAAATATGTACAATACATTCAAACAACCTCACCATATGATGATTGAATAACAAAATATTCACCACCTTTGGCATCTAACAGTTAGATCCCACGAAATGCCACTCATGTTTCCGAAAGATGTTGGCCAGGCCAGTCATCTTCGAAAGTCATCTTCGGTTTTTCGGGCGTTTATTTCAAAGCAGGGATGACTACATTACATAAATATTAATTATATATATAATATATAATATATATATATATATATTTATTTATTTATTTGGCCTAAAACATCCTTGCCACAGTTTGACACACCATTGGTGTTCCCTCAAAAATGACCAGTTGAACAACAGGATTTTTCCACCTTTGGAAAACCCCACTTCGGAGTGGGCCCCTGTCATGCTGAGGCGTGTGTCCAACTGGGCATATCTGTAGCTTGGCTGGGAACGACCTTCATGAAGATTTGGCCATGATGGGGTGCGGGGTTCTGTTTGACGTTGGACTATGTTAGCTCTGGAAGTTCTAGAAATATCTACTGTAACTGATGTTTCAGAAGGGTCAGACGAACATCCTACTTTAACAAACTTAGGCATGATTGAAAAAACAAAAACATGTAGACCCGAGAATGAAATGGGTATGGGTCAATACCTATAGATACATTTTTAGTGGGATGAACATCCATTTACCAGCTATTTTGGGGTTCACTAGGTACCAGGGTTTTGACCCATCCCCAAATGAGATCATTGCCCATGTCATTGACAATGTCATGTCACATGGGGATGATATGATGTACCTCTCCTGCTGCTTGGTAAATTTCCCGGGATAGTGTTGTTTTGTCCTCGATGGCAAAGGTACCCCCTGTTTATCAATTCGCGGGGTCCCCAAAAATAGTACTTGAAATGACCATTTAATGAAAATGTCTATTGAAATTGCTACTCATAGCCGAAGAAAACGATGGGTGCGATGGGTTTGTAGATTTTGGGCTCACATGACTAGGGATCTTCCCTTCACTTTGACCACCGGAACAGAGGCCCAGAAGGTCCTTGAACGGGTGAGTTCTTGGCGAGGCGGAGATGGGTATGGATCAAAGACCCAGAGAACCGGAGTTTTTGGTCACATTTGATTTCAAGACCCTTCTGGTACTTATATAATCTTATATACATCTAGGTACTTGGTACTTACAAATCTATACAAGTTTTAGTTCATTTAAGTGCGGTTGCCTCATGAATTTCCTCACAGTTTGATCTGACTTTGAAGTTCGTGCATAAACCAATGAAGATCCCAAAGTCTTCGAACGCCTGCAACTTGAAGAAATATCGACTTCGGTTGAAATATATGTTCTGATTTGGCACAGATACTCGTACTGAGGAAATGTTATGTTTCAGCCTTCCGAAAATACATTTGAACACTTGAAGCCTCTAGTCCAAGAAGAGGTGTGCGGGTTTGGAGTCTCTTGTCCCATGTTCAATTTGTTTGGTATCCAACCATACTACTTCTACCGTGTTTAGGGTAGAGTATGATTCAGAAGCCAAGCGGCCAAGCGAGTAGGGGATGTTCCCACAGTCCCTGCACCTGGAAAGGCAAAGAATCTTGCCAAGTCTTGATGAAGCGGGATCACCAAAGAGGCGTGCCCGGTGTGCCGCAATTGCAAGAGGTCTCTTCAGAGAGCTGGAGCAAAATAAACAATTGCCTGGTGGTTTCGATTCTAAGATATTCTAAAGTATTTGGGTCTGAAATGTTGGGGTTTTCCCCGCTACATCCATTGATTGATCATAATTTTCCACCAAAAAAAAATTGAACAGTTGTGGGTATCCCATTGACTTCGGAAGCCTCGGCTGTTCAGTGGGGATGATTACGAATTTTCAATCAAGACATTTGAAAGTGTCAGCCCAGTCTCATGAATCATCAACAATCCAGCAAGAAAAGGTTTACTGCAAACAGTTCAGAATGAAGTTGGGAATGACGACTGTTAGTTCTTGGTTTCTGTCGTATGCCAAGTATGCCGTGTGATGTTCCCAGGAACTGGAAGAATGATCCAATAAGTGGAACCACACATGCGCTTGGGTCATCAAGAAAGCTTAGAACGTCCCCTGATGTTTGGAGTAGTGCTGACGCGAGTCTTGCCTTGGGTCCTCGCATACCATGGCTCAAACCTAACACGAATTGGAGAGGAAAGTGCTGGAAAGTGGCTTTCTGTGTTTTTCAGTGGGACCCCCCGTTAATTTCTCCATTAGTGCGGAAGTGCGCGGCCTATTTTGTACAGATGGAAAGGGAACAGGATCAACCAAGAACAGCAACCCTTCAAGACTTCGTCAAGAGATCCCATCGGTGTTTCGCTTTTCTCGAAATGCCCATGTTAAGACCGAAATTTTCTGAAGGCTCCACATAGGAAGAATGCCAACAACACGCACACGGTGCTAGGACAGGTTAAAGATGGTGCATTCTCAACATGTCTCCACTGCATTCTCTGGGAATTGGTTTTCTCGAGATTTCCAGGGAGATGTTTTTTATGACTTTCCATTCAGTTGGGAATGTCGTGACCCCAACTGACGAACTCCATCATTTTTCAGAGGGGTAGGTTGAAACCACCAACCAGCTATTGTTGAGTATTCCACTATGTGTTTCAGTTGACCAACTTTTGAGACCTGCCAACCAGATTTTTTGGGCGCCGCACGAGCCTTGCGATTTTCGCTGCCAATGGATTTGGTGGTGAATCTCGCGGCCAATGGCATCTTGGTGCAGCCAAAAATGAGATATACCATAACTGGTTGGTGGTTTGGAACATGAATTTTATTTTCCCCAATAGTTCGGATGATGATCCAATCTGACGAACTCATATTTTGCAGAGGGGTAGGTATACCACCAACCAGATAATGATGATAATGATGTACCTGGTTGGTAGTTCGGGTATATTTTTTTGAGGTCTTTTTTTTTGGGTTGTCCGTGGCTTATTTTGGATGAACCTCACTTGACCGGCTGGGGGATTTGTCGCAACCACGAAGCAGGGACCCAAATCTTGATGGTTGATCATCAGTTTCCTCATGTTTCCCCATTTTTCATGGCACTTGGGGGTGTACACCAGTTTCAGACCCCATATGTATCAGATTTGTCTCACAGGTTACAAACGCGTTTTTATGGAGTTTAAAAGGTGAGTGCGTGGTAGTTTGACACATGGTATAGATGGATCGGAATTGGGCCAGCTGGCCCTGCAACAGTGATGGTAACATGGTGAGCGAGCTTGGGGCCAGAATCATTTGGGCTTCTTGTGGGGACTTCACAAGGAGGTCACCATAAAATGATGCGGAATCAAGGTAATTATATGGAATCATCCCCAAGACTATGATTTGATTACCCAAATTAAGGGTTCCATATGGACCATCATTAAATCATCCCCAAGATGGTTAATGATGCCCAGAATGATGGTTTATTTCTAAGTTGAGATTTGTAATTCTGTGTGCGGATGACGCATGAGCGTATTGGCAGTAGTTTATGTACATGTTTTCCATTGGATCCCTTGAAAGTGAGATTCAAACAAACACCGCTTCATAGATCACTCCTGAAAGAGATTTCAAACATATCGCACAGTTTCTTTGCAAGTTGGTTGAGTGAAAATAATGCAAAATTGAACTGCAAAAACGCTGATAGTATGTACATACTGAATATTATATATTAATATTACCTACAATTATATACACTTAATATTACTTAATCATGTAATCTTATATGCATATCTACATATCTACATTGATATAAATATCTAAATATATCGCAGGAAGATCCCGGGAAAAAAAAACTCAAAAACTCCAGCCGAGGCAGCCTCTTTTGGGACCTGCCCAGCATTTGTGCTCTGCGAGCAGTCACCAAAGCCCATTTGGAGGCTTGGAATTCTGTGCTTTTGAGTCCCTTGGCAAAGGGGCCCGGCGATGGGGCCAGTGGTTTTTTTTTGCCGTGATTTCATGAGCCCAAGATGTTGCCAAAAAAGGATGATGTTAAAACTGTTAAGATAGCGTAAGGGTGCAATGACTTTTGTTTAGCTCCCTGACTTGATGCTGTTTTTTGCTCGGCTTCTGATAGTGTTCAGCACGTAACTGAAGCACCCAGAGTGGGAATGATCTGGGTGGTTGGACAAATCCCCATTAATAAAAAACCAGTATGCTTGGATAGTCATCCCCAGGAATAAAACCAGAAAGCCTTCACTTTGCAAAATAGGTTTAGACATGTTTAGACTACCCAAATTTCTGGTAAAATCGGAGATAAGTTGTAGTAATCCACAAAAAGATTTTGTAAAATCGCACTAAAATCGCGATGATTGATTCACCGTGCTATCTATTTCAAGATGCTGAAGGGTGGCAGATCACCATAGATAAATGGTGATATGCAATTGAGAGTTCTCAGATACATCACCCTTTATAATTGATAGCTCATCACCTATGTGAGATGCCCTAAATCAATTGACAATTTCACTATAGTATATATTGAGAGTTGATAATTGTCCTAAATTTAGATGGTCTAGGAAATGTATGTTTCGCCTATATGTCTGAAATATGATAAACAGCATCCACCCCAAACCATTGGTGTTCCCATTGACAATAAGCAATAGCTTGGAGTAGCCATGACGCCCATGACTTGGGAAACCTCCATATTTCTCGTTCTTACTGAGAAATTCACTAGTGACATCTAGTGACCTATATGGATCATATCCCACTAAACATTATAGGTCCATATATTGATAATAGTCATGTTATATATAACTATATGTATAATTAACTAACTATAACTATAACATAACTAACTATAATGTTATTTCTATGTTATCTTGATAATTGCCCATGATAATCCCATGACAATCACCATGACAATCACCATCAGCTCACCATGATATGATGTAACTCACCATGACTTTGGACACCTCCAGATGTTTGGAGGATATAGGATCAACATGGATCAACCCATTAACTTGGAGGATAATCACCATTAAATTCTCGCCAGTCATATGGCAATTTCATAGGTAACTTGACCCATCCCAATGATTTTGGAAACCTCCAGATGCTTGCTGCTTGGTGGTTTGGAACATGAATTTTATTTTTCCATTCAGTTGGGAATCATCATTCCAACTGACTAACATTCCAACTGACTTTAACTCCATCGTTTTTCAGAGGGGTAGGGCTCAACCACCAACCAGCTTGGTTTGGAACCATCACTAATAATCATTAACCATCATTAAATCACCATGAATCACCATTAAACCACCAACCATTATAATCCCATTATTCTGTTTAAAAAAAAATGAATCACCATGAACTCACCAGATCGTCTCATGTATAATGAAATATTTGATGGAATATATTAAAGTGGATAATAGTGGATATATTTCATGGAATATCAATGGAATATGTGTTTATCAAATATATACTGGAATATAATGGAATATGTTTTCTGGAATAGAATGGAATAATATTATGATTCCATCAAATCCCCATGAAATCCCCATTAAATCCCCATTAAATCACCCTTTCTCTCAGGATATTTCCGATTTCTTTGCGACCTGAATCGTCCCTGCCGCCTGCTGGCCGCCAAAGAGCGTCTCGATGATCAGGGCGAGCTGGACCCGGAGACGTTGATCGCGTCACAACGCGGGCGGTGCAAACGTGGCTGTCAACGGAAAATCTTCTAGAAAATATGGTAAAATCATGGGAAAATATAGGAAAATATGGTAAAATCCTCCATAAATGGAAGTGTTTTATTGGGAAAATCAGCTATAAATAAGGGACATTCCAGCAAGCCATGTTTGATTACCACAGGGTATTGAAAAAGGCTGATATCATGGGTCAAAGTTGAAGGGCCAGAGAACCACAAGAGTTTGATAGATGGTGGACATGTTTTGCGTATATAATGTGGGTAAAACAATAATAAGATATAATAAGCCATCCCCCAGTCATCACCATGTTTATAGGTGGTATAGTAGGTTTACGCGGTTTACCATTCCCAGTCGAGTGGGTGGTCTATTGTTTTACCCACATGAAGGATGTTGTTAACATGAAGCCTCCATTTTGGATGTTCCAAAGTTGACCAAAATCATCCCAAATCCAAAGGCTTTTGATCCATAGCCAAATGGACTTTTTGTCTGGCATTTGTCAGAAGCAAAATGTAGCAAAATCACCTTCCGAAGTAAAACATGGAGTTCGAAAATGGTGTTTTGAGCGTTTTGGGAACGCAATTGTTGGGACGTGCAGTTTCAGGGATGTTCCGAAACTATCGTGTGCACAAGACCCCAGTTGCACGCCAGAACGTGAATGGCTGTAGATTTTTGCACCACAGATGCCCTTTATGGGGGCCATATGTGCTTTTGTCAACACTAGGGCACTAGGGTTTACATATGCATGGATCATCATACTACAACATGGGGTCCCCCAGTTGTAAGGTTGCTTATGCTCACCCGGCTCACCCATCCACCCGACATCCAACAGGTGTTGTAGCTATCAACAGAAATCCTACAAGTGTCACGGGCTAAATGGCTGGTGTTAAAAACCATCATCTCACTAACGCAGTTGTTCAGTTCTCTTTCTTTGGAACTCCCCTGTTGAAGTACCCTCTGGTAATTTAACATAGCTATGGAAAATGGACCATTTATAGATGTTTTACCTATTAAAATTGTGATTTTCAATAGCTATGTTAAATTACCAGAGTATCCTTTGTTGTGTGGAAGATGTTTTCCAAGAAGCCGTTCCAAAATGCCACCCGTTGCCATCCGTCGCCATCTCACCCAACACTACCCTTCAATCTGCGCGCAGGATTTAGATGCCTTGACGCACTGTCTCTAGCTGAAATTTCGTGTTGTCCATCCGATATATTCAGGATATCTTGGGATCGAGGGATGTTGATTCATATTTTTGGGATGGCAAAAAACCATCAACTTTTTCGTGATGTGCCAGTGGCGGCTTGGTGCCTTGGAGTAGGAATCGCATATGAAGCCACCAATGGACCTTTTTTGAATGTTACTGGATAAATTCAATCACACCTTAGCACGTTCAATGCCTACACGACCTACACGTTGGAAGGGCCTAACAGGGCCTAGCAAAAGCCTAGTCACACACTTGCACACGTGTTTAGCAGTTGTGGGCATGGGTTTACCACCTATCTGAGAAATGGAGGGTTCCTCAAATGCTAAAATGGGGGTACCCCCCATCATCCATTTTTGTTTGGGATTTTCCATGAAATAAACCATCTATTGGGGTACCATGGAAACCCCCATGTTTAGCAGGAGGTTGACCTGGCTAAAGGTCATGCGATCTTTGTCCATACTTGTTATTCCTTGTTTGTCCAATGGGGGGATGCAGCATACACAGTGAATTTCATCTAAGGGAAAATGACAATAAACCATGAGATTTTCGGATGCCCTTCTGTCAGACAAAGCCAAACAGCGGATTGCAAATATATGCAAAGATGATCCCGCACTGGATACCAAGCGAATTTCTGAGGTGAGAAAACAAGACACTATGTGGTCACCCATTTATTTCAACTTATTAAACTCAAACACCGAGCTGGCCCCGCGGAAAGCAAGGAATTCAGTAAAGCTTCAGCCTGACAGCTACAGATTCTTCAGACCACAGCGGCTGTGATGGACTGAGGTATCCACTCCTTAGTCTTGCGTGTAGCCGATTTGGAGAAGCAAGGAGGTCGGGAAGAGATGTCTTTGGTTTGGTGCCTGGACCGGACTTGGCGGGACGCCACTGGGCCTGGGGCATTTGGATGCATTTGGGGCGTAGGGGACTCCAGGTTGAGCAATGTTTACATTGCTCACTCACATACCCAGTCATTGAAGTTTCAGAAGGAATTAAACATGAAAACTGAAAACCCCAGGATTGGTGAAGTTACAATCCCTGAGACAGATTGGGTCAAGTCATGTGTATTAATGTTTTTTCTGGTACAGAAAGTTTTTAGAGACGTCCGTCCAGACTATGAGCAGTTCTGGACCCTTGGATCTTCCAACCGACGATGTGTTTTGATGAAGATCTCAGCAATGGTGGCCTGTAGAACATTGTCCAATAGGGGTACAGCTCGAAATTTGGGTACCAAACCAACCACACATTTGGACATAGTTGCACTTCAGGATCCAGGTTAGGACTTCAAGAATTTTGAGCTATTCCAATGGAGGAACTGCTGATGTCGAAAGTCATTGGTTCAATCATATTTGTTTGGTCAGCTGGTATTCTTCAATGCATCGCATGTTCCAAGTTTCGAACGTGCAATTTCTTGTTGATCCTGATTGTACAGTAGCAAGGCTACCATCTGTAGGGTATAGTAGATCCCTATTGCAGCACGGAGCTACGGAAAAACACAAATGTGGTTTTCGATCACATTGGACTCAATCGATCTATGCTTGGGTCAGGATGCATCCCAATGATGGTTTCATACTCGCATTTTCTGGTTGGTGGTTTGGAACATGAATTTTATGACTTCCCATTCAGTTGGGAATAATAATCCCAACTAACTAATATGTTTCAGAGAAGTAGGTATACCACCAACCAGTTTTGGTTGATAATGTCAATAGCATCCTCATTGCAGGTATCTGAAAACTTGAAAGGGTAACCTTTTAGAGCTTCAGGCCATCCCCTCTTTAAGAAACCTGGGTAGCCAGACACCTACTGAACGTTTACTCATGTTAAATGAATACTTTTCTACTATATCGACATTAAATTGTGTGTGTGTACATATGTATATAATTATGTGTGTATATATATATATACTGTGTGTGTGATATTATATATATATACAGCATACGACTATCATATTATTTATTTGTCTATATATAATTATATGAATATGTACACAATTGCATATACATGCAGATCTCCCAGTGAAAGTTGAACGTCTAGCCGGGTCTCAACTTTTCTGCAAGGTGTAATGGCGCCATTGCAGATCAGTGCGGCGACTGCGGGCCACAAGTTTTCTACGATCTCGTCACCCGTCCGTGTGGACTTCGCGGAGGTGTTGCCGTGGAATTCGCAATGGATTCATTGGCGGTTTTTACCGATGTTGCTGAAAAAAACGACAGGTTTGCTGGGGATGGAATTTGGAGAAAATGGTCCAAAGCCATATGAAGCCATGTTTTCGCTGGTGAATCTCGATTTAATTATGGTCTTTAAAGCGTATTAAACCAAAGATGTTTCTCATGTAGACCGTTATATGGAGAGAGTTTTCCACATGGTGGATGATTGGACATCTTTGTTTGGTAAAGATATGTAGAAAATGTTTCACATCCTCGAAGCAGGTTGGTTGAACCTGTTTTTGGTGCTCTCCTGCGTGCCTCAAGTAGTTAAGCGTGGTGAAATGGGTGAGTCACGGTCTTGAGATTCAGACACCTTCAGGCATTGGCAAATGCTATGTGGTACCCTCTGGTCATTTAACATAACTATGGAAAGATCCACCATTTTTTATGGGAAAATCCACTATTTCTATGGCCATTTTCAATAGCTATGTGGCTGTTTACCAGAGGGTATTATGTATTTAACCATCAAAGTTGCTGGTGGTTTGAAAGACATGAATGTGATCCCGTTTCAACAAAAAACCAGCCTTGATAGTGACGGCAGATCATAAATTGGTTTATAACCCTCTCTCAGCTCTATGTCCACCATAGACCCTACTTGTATCTACTTGTTATAGTTATAATCCGATTTACCTAAGAACCTATGTCATGATGTTTGAAACCCCACATGTTTTTGGTGTCATGCACTCCCGAGGTCTTTGTGAATGAGTTCGCGGCGGAGATCGCTTTTGCATCCGGCGGTGCCGAATGGACGGAGGATCTGACCGGCAAAAGCGAGCGGGTCCGCGTCTATCGATTTCCACCGCCGAATTGGGATGCCTTGACAGACGTTGAGTCGAACGTTTTTTTTTCATGTTCCCATTGGTTGCCATCTGGTAGTGACTAACGTAGCTATTGTATAGATAGCCATAGAAATAGTTGATTTACTTATTAAAAATGGTGATTTTCCAGTTCGCAAACTGTGAATTTTCCATTGGTTAAGCCACCAGAAATTCGGAATCGACTGGGAGATTTTTTGTTGCCACTTGAAGCAGATCCAAGGATCTAGGCTGGAGCAAGAAAAATCAGGTGTCTGAGCCGCAACGAGTTCTGTGTTGGAGGTTGGATGGATCGAGCCACTAGAAATGGTGAGTAAATACTGTAATGATGGGATCCACTAGGTACTGGTTATAAGTTTTACCCTCTGGTAAATTAACATAGACCCTGGCAGATAGGGGTTGGAAGATTAGTTTCAATTACAAATTGGTGATTTCCAAGGTCTATGTTTATTTACTATAGGGTACATAGTTTTACTAGAAGTTAAACTGACTTAGGGAGCAACTGGCAAACCACCAGAGTTGCCAGGCCAACAAACAGAGGTTTCCCAGATTTGGATGTTCAGGAATTTACAGGGAAGCCTTCCTATCTTTACTGGGATATCCATGGTTCTCTGTAGTTTTTACCCTCTGGTAAACGTTCACATAGCTATATGGAAAATCACCATTTTTAATAGGTAAACCATCTATAAATGGCCATCTATACAATAGCTATGTAACAAATTACCAGAGGGCAAATGGGAGGTTTTCTTGTCCCTTCCCAGCTTGGTTTCGCCGAGTCGAGGCTCCATGCTACTGGAAGGGACACGAAGTGTCTGCAGCGTATCCAGCGAAGAAGTCAACGAATGGTCCAGAACAGGACCAATGATGCAGCCGATTACATTTTGGAATTCTAGTCAGGAAAAAACGGGATATCTGAATGGAGAGAAAAAAACCAGAATAATTATCATTGAGTATGAATGGCATGTTAGTGGAATAATAGGGAAGCACGTGTGAATACTTTGAAGATGTTTGGTGCTTCACCTGACTCTTGGAAAATCTGTAGGTCAGGGCGTCTGTGTAAGTCCTGAAGCTGCTGTGAGGAGTACGTTTTTAAGCCTGGACCAGCAGAATCCATTGGCATGTGTTTGACAGAAGACGGCTTCGCGGTTTGAGAGCGCTTTGAACACGCGGAGTTGTGGCCTAATTCGGGGAAATTCCTTCCAAACAAACTGGGCAAAGCTCAAAAAGTGAATAGAAAAGAGGCAGGAAATGGCTTGTGATCCTTGACCTTTTTAGGGATTCATTTTGGGGTGTCAAATGGGGTCGTTGCGACGTTTCTGCGATGGTCAGCCATTTCCCTTAAGTTTTCATCCATCTCCCTTTCGCGGAGGGAACCTCAGGCGAAGAGAAAACTGCCACCAAATGGCGCATAGTATGGTAAGCCCAACAGCGAACTCCAATTGAGTGTGCTGCATACTGACCCCCAAATGGTACTACTTACTGTGAATTCTGTGTCTTTTGATGTCTTTTGTATGATTGGGTTTGCCACATTGATAACATTTCCCAAAGATTTCTGAAGGTCACAACACAGTGCATCAGTGCATTGGGGGTCTAAAGTTTTGGCAACGCCGTACCTGCTTGAAATTGGGTGCCAACTGTTTGTTTTCCATAGGTAATCATCCGCGTATGATTTCGTGATGGCATATCATTTCAGGAAACTAGTTATACTACGTGTATACGTGTAGAATATACAACTATACATATATTATCATCTATTTTGTACTATAATTACTGATTTTTTTTTTAACTGTATCTTTGTATCTCCATCTAAAAAATCCACTCACCCCACAGATCTTTCCAGCCGATTCTCCAATGAAAATGCGGCCAGTGACGTGGCCACGCAGCCGAGGCTTCATCACAGAGGTCATTCCCAAAAGTCAAGCTGCCGCCTACGGCATTTCGCCTCTGTCCTTCGTGCACCGTGTGGGGGGCATTGAGGCACGATCCCAATGGGTCCCAATGGGTCCCATGGGATGCCCGATCTGATGGCTAGCTGAGGAATCCTGATGTCAGCTTTTCCATTGCACTGATTTAAAGATTTTAACCACATTTAACCACTGATATTCCATTGATTTGAAGGTTTAAAGATTTTAAAGCCTGTTTTTTTCACCACTCTTCGTGGCATTTAGGAGATATGCCCCATTTTGTAAACACAGCCCATCAACGGGTGCCATGGGCAACCCCCGTCACCTCACCTCTTCCAGGTGAGTTCTTCACCTCGTTCAGAGACGTCAGTTCCCACCTGTGCTTGGAATTTGGTTCGCAGGCGCGGCCCCGGGCGCCTTTTGCGCGCCTTTTGCGCTGCAGGGTGGTGCCCCAATTCGGAATCGCAACCAGTTTGTGGTCACATAAGTCATCCAATAACTTGGCTTGATGAATGGATGAATGGGGGATAGAACATGATAGAACTCACTCTACTTCACGGAGGTTAACAAAAACGTTCACAGAACTGAGGGGCCACCACCTTGTGGGAAATGGAAGCCCACGGTTTTGAGGCCCCAAAGAAAGAAAGAAATCCACGTGGTGTGGTTCTGAACATGCTTTCACAATGAATTTGTACCCCAGATCCCAGAGAGAAGTAGCCATAAACAGCGGCTGAGCACTTGAAACTGGATCGGAATCGTTGTGAACCCTGCGGATCAGAATCTAAAGCAACCCAATTAAAAGATAGAAAATGTATTTTGCCACTATATCTTAGATTATCTTAGTAGGATGTTAACATGTGTAAATCGATTTTTGGAACATCCCATGGCATGGTTTTTTCCATGGTTTTTTTCCCTTTCAAAAAAACGTCAGTTGTTACGGTCAGGTATCGTCTTGGAGGAGAACCTTTTATCATTTCCATCATTCATCGACCAAGACCCGACCCCGAAGATCTGGGCCTGTCCCGTGGCACCACGAAGCCGTGGCACCACGAATGTGGCCGAAAAAACACGGAGCATTCGACTGTTAAGTGTTACTGTGAAAAGTGGTGATAATTGATGTGTGCCATTGATGTGAGATCCCAATCCCAAGCAGTTTTTTTTGCTATCATCTGACAGAATACTTTGAGAATCTGTCAGATGATGTTTTTCTATCGTTGCAGGGGGTGATGTCTTAAGAAGTCTTGAGAAAACTCAGTGATTTTCGGGTCTCTCTATCCACTGGGAAGCCGAAAATTGGCTTAACGCACGCTGAGGTGTCGACCTGCAGAGGATCGGATGCATTTGCCTCCTGATTGGGTGGAAGTAGTTCCTCCCGGCTGGGGCATGCAGGGAAAGAGCTACTACAAGAACAGCTCCTTGATGACGGGAGGATTGGATGAAACTTCATGCGGCCCGTGCGGAAAAAAAGGAACCAGTAAGTGGGTACCACCTGAAAATCATCTGAAATAAGCCAGTTGTATAATGTTGTATACTCTATGGAGTCTCTTCACTTGGATTCATGGGTTAAAGTTGCCACAGGTTACCTGGGACAGCGGTCCCACCAACCGGGTCCAAGGGGCTTGATGCCGGACGAACCCGGATGAAGAGATCAAAGCTTTGAAGACCCCTAATCCCACCAGATTTACCACGCTCCAGCCATGCGATTAGGGGATGATCACCAATCCATAGTAATTTAGATTACCCTCTGGTAAACAGCCACATAACTATTGAAAATCACCATGTGTTTTATGGGAAAACTCACTATTTCTATGGCCATTTTCAATAGCTATGTAACAAATTACCAGAGGGTAGCTATGTTTGGACTCTGACATGGGGACCCACAAGCCACAAGCCACACCATGAATCCCCAAGGCCCGACGGTCAACTTGACTAAGGTTGGACTGGGCAATGCTGCGAGTTTCAGCCGTTGCCACATCCCTTGTACCCCAGGCATAGTGATGCGAAGGTGGCTGAGCGGACCAAGGCCTTGAAAGCCTTGATGGCATGGGCCAAGGCGGAGAAGCCCTTGGGAAACTCCGAAACTTTGCACCCCGGCTGCCGGGGTTCTGATGATTTTCCTTGGATATTGCCGAGGAGTTGGGGAGATTTTGGGTTAATCCAGCAGAAACGCGAAGATCTGCTGGAGCAGATCCAGGAAAATTGATGAAAATGGCATAGGAAATCAAGAAACTTGAGGAACTTGGGACACATGGCATGAATATCTGGATGGTGGCTTCAAGTATATGATTATATGGAACTTTTCGTCATACTTGTCCCACTTTGTTTGGGATGGGTTGAAACGACTAATTAAGCCGTTTTTTGTTGGGATGTTTGAAGTATCGTAACTGCTGAATCTTGGCCAAAGAAATATATTCTTTGTAGGGGACCATCCTTATCTTGGGAGTCCCTCACTGCAAGAAAACATCCATCAACGCGTAGAATTCTGACGACAAGTAACAGCTTCCCCAACGTGTGCAGATCGTCCGTTCAAATGGTTGGGGCGACCTGATTGTGCACAAGATCTCTCACTGGATGCACGATAACTCATGATAGCCAGACATGACGGAGGAGTTTTAGTAGTTTAAAAGTTGAGCTTTTAACCCGGGGATCAACAAACCAATACAAACCACCAAGCCCGGGAAGTCCTGTTTGTTCCGCGATTTTCAGCTGCTGAAACTCAGGAGACTCTTGAGGGACTATACGTTGCTTGCCTGAAGTTTGGCTCACGAGCTTTGCCACCCGAAATCTTGACAAACATATACAGTACTTTGCCCAGTGGATTCTTTGAAAGATCTTGAAGTTTTGGAGATACAAACCATGAAGATGTATCAAATGGGAAGGTCCAAAAGCCCAATATCCTTCCGATGGATCAAACAATCAAACCAAGCTGGGAAAAAACTTACCTAAGTAACTTTAGAAAGTTGAAAGTTTACCTTTGAATCTGCAAGTTGGCATTTTGCGACATTTTTTTCGTCAATGGCTCAGCAGGGTGACAGATCAAGCCTTGTTGGCTCAAGTGATTGTCCTAGCAACGGGGATGTGATGGATATATGGTGGGGATGTAGTGGGGTAGAGTGGGATATCCAGCAATATCATATTTGGGTGTGTCTCAACATGGGGGATACCCTCTGGTAAACAGCCACATAACTATGGAAAATCACTATGCTATTAATGGGTAAATCCACTATTTCTATGGTCATTTTCAATAGCTATTTTGACATAACCAGAGGGTACCGGGATACCAAAAAAAGAAGCCATGTGGATTTCTGAAGAGGATGATAGACTCTATGGGATTGTGGGGTTCCATCTGGTTCACTTTTGACAAGCCCAAATGAACGTGGGCTCAAGCATAGCCAGTGCTAGTTACTGCGAGTTCCAGCAGTCACACTTACCCTCTGGTAAACTAACATAGCTATGGTATAGATGGCCCATAGAAATAGATGGTTTACCTATTAAAAATGGTGATTTTCTATAGCTATGTTAAATTACCAGAGGGTACATCTTGGCTTCAAAAGATATTCGGCGAAGTAGTTTGCAGCTCTAGGCTACTCCTCTGGGATGAAAACCCTCAGGAAACGGTGGGCTTCTGAATGTTGAGACATCATGGACTTTGAGTCCCTGATTCCTTTTTGGGGTTCCCGCATTAGTCGGTAGCTCACAGAACCCATTGGTGACCGGTTTCGGTCCTTTCTTGCACGCGCATCCCAGTTGGTAAGTGGGCAGCAACCATGACTATAAAACCGCTGTTGATCGAAAATTTTTGGAGTGTCATCATCCATCACGGAAATCCCCATTTGCCAACCAGTACATAATGGTCCTCAACTTTATGGTCGATTTCTCCGGTGATCAAGCATAGCAATGGAAAATCGAATGAAAAAAAATGTAGATGTTCATTTATAATATCTATATCTATATATATATGTATATGTATATATCATATAGAAAAATATGTCCATGGGAAATGGCGCATTTATAGATGGTTTACCTATTAATAGCATGGTGATGTTCCATGGGAACAAAACCCAATCTCCACGGGATGATCGAGCGACGCGAGGCATGACATGCACGAGCCCCTACGACAAAGCGCCATCCAGAACCTGGGCGAGTTATCCAAGGCCAAAACCTTTGGAGTCTCTGAGATCCTCACATGTTGCTTGGAGCATGGGCATGTCATACGGTATGTTTATACATATATATATAATATATACATACAATACATACAATACAGACAATACAGACAATACAGAAAAAACAGACAATACAGTTACATACAATACAGACAATACAGACAATACATACGATACACACAATACAGACAATACAATACATACAATACAGACAATACAGACAATACAGACAATACATACGATACACACAATACAGACAATACAGACAATACAATACAATACAGACAATACAGACAATACAGACAATACCGACAATACGGACAATACATACAATACACACAATATATACAATACAGACAATACATACAATACATACAATACAGACAATACACACAATACTCACAATACTCACAATACTCACAATACTCACAATACAATACACACAATACATACAATACATACAATACACACAATATATGCAATGCTTGCAATACATGCAATACATGCAATACATGCAATACAATGCAATACAATACTATACAATGCAATACAATACAATGCAATACAATGCACTGCAATGCAATGCAATACAATGCAATACTATACAATACAATGCAATGCAGTACAATACAATGCAATACAATACAAGACAATGCAATACAATGCAATGCAATACAATACAATACTATATATATACATACAATATGTATATACATATATAAGGGATGATTATTATTATTTTTGCATTTATATATATATATATATGAATATATGAATATATCCCAGTTGATATCTGCATGACCGAAATTTCATTGACCCGCCATTTTGGGGATGATTCAAGGCTCACAAAGACAGACGACGAAGTGATCATGTTGGTAAAATCAATTTGAGCACCACATGGGCACGACAAGAAAAGGCCAAGTTGAATGGGGGATGAGATAAAAAGCATGGGAATATAATGGGAATACCATGGGAATACCATGGGAATACAAAACTACATAAAACTACAAGGGTTTATCAACATGTCATTCCAATAAAACCTGCTTGGTCAGGAACGGGATTCCCAGTGAAAACGGACGACCATCCCCAATAAATGATAGTATCATCCCAAAGAAATCATGAACCAACAAGGGTTTGGATATTTTCACATTTTGAAACATACCTAATCTGGCATAATATTTCATAGTAATTACAATTCCCACAAAAAGTTCGACGCTTCAGTTTGTTGTCTTCAATTGCCCGACCGCCAGCTGCCCCAATAAATGCTGGAAAATTTAGTTTCTGCCCGCATTTGGAATTTGAGTGCCGAACAGGGAGAGGCAGGCATGGAATCAAGATGAATCAAGTATCAAGGCACCCTCAAAGATTGGGGGTATGATTAATGGGTGTTTACGAAGGTCACAAGCTCTGATTTCAATACAGAACCGGGATGGACCGGGTAGAAAATCAATAAAGATACTGGTTTTGGCCAATCGAGATAGCTGTTTATTCTTGTCTTCTTCGCCTGTTTTATCGATTCACTCTTGGATGTGCATCCCAGGTATTGCAAGTGGTTTCTACATGTTTATTGCCTATACTCACATAGCAAACCAATCTATCGAATGATATTCGTTAATATTCCATATAGAACTGGATTATCATACGGGTCTGTCTGAAAATGGTGTACCCCCAAGCCAGCGTTTTCTCAATATTTCCCATGGCAAAAGTTGAAGAGATTGGTTAAATATTTGGGGGGTTACATCACCATAAATCACCTGTTTTCAGACGCAGCTAAATATACCCTCATTAGTTATTTAACAGTTAGCCATGGTATAGATGGCCCTAATCGAAATAGATGATTTTCCCAGCTAACTAAACCTCCATTTATGGTTGGGATTGTCCATGGCGAACTGTTAGTCATAACCAGATGGTAAAATGATGAGTTATATATTTGGCGTCCCGTGGTATCCACGTTCTAGTTGGTAAAGGTCCATTACGAATATGGGGATAGAAACCATTGGTGATGTATTTATTAAACGAATAGTGGGATTCTAGTTGTTTATATATGTTTATATAATATGATTTAGTTATCCATCCCAATGCTTATCTTTATATCAACCAACTCTCAATCCATTGGTTATATATTGCCATTAGCTATTATATAATTCTATCCCCATTCTAGTTGCTTATCAACCAGTTGGTTTTATAAATTCAATATATCCCCCATGATGACCCATTACCCTCTGGCAAACAGCCACATAACCATGGAAAATCACCATGCTATTCATGGGTAAATCGACCAACTCAATGGCCATGTTCAATAGCAAACTATGAGTTTACCAGAGGCTAGTTTCGACCCCCTGGTTGAATCCCATTACGATACCACTGAGGCTTGGCAAGTCGAGCCTTTGACGACAGCCCAGTGCTTTGGCAACCTGTTGGTTTTAGATGGATCAAGCTTGAAAAAGTGTGCTTTGAACCCCCAAGAATATAAATTTCACCGGATTTAACATGATTGAATTAGGAAAATGTGGGGATTACACTGATGCAACCAGCAAGCATGTGTAAATATCTGGGTTAAACTTGGATGAATACCCGAGTACGACTAAACACTGGTGGCCTTCGGCTTATCAGACCCTAAAGTTCACATGGAATTGATCCAAGATGAAAATCGTCCTCCGACCCCATACATATACGGTTCTCCATTGAACACATGAGGGCTGTGTTGCCCCAATTTTTGGTGGGATGATCCATGAATCTAGTGTTTGGTTGGTAACCGGAGTATAAATCATTTAATTCAATTACGTATTCACGAGTCTGGATAAATTACAAGGGCCTCACATCGCGACATCACATGATGATCGGATTGGGGTAACTATATATCCCCAAATGTTCAAATTTTTCAAATAGATCTAGGTGAAAAATTCTGATTTATCTAGTTAAGAGGAATGCCTCCAGGGATACACACACATACACCCGACTTCAGCCAGTAATTGTCGGGAGCATACCAGTATGGGCTATGGGGCAAAGTGATCAACCTCCCAAAATGCACAGGTTCTCTATGGTACAACGAGAAAAGAACCCAATTTTCTAGGTCGATTGGCCCGTTGAAATCCCTAGAGTATTGAAAAAGAAAACTATATATCTCTAGAATGGTGTGATAGGGTAGTTGAACATGTTCAGAGCAACAAGTTGGAACCCAGCATTTTTCATCATGGAATTATATGGCAGACTGTGGCAGACCCAATAACAAGCCATCCTGGCCATCACTCCCGGCCTGTTGGCCTGTTGGCCCGGCTAAAAAATTGGCCCAAAAAAACATCCCCTGGGATCACTCCACGACTGTTGGCGGAAATGGCGAGACGCCGAGCAGTTGCTTCATGTTCATCAGTATTGAACCATGAAACTCTTGGACAATTCAGAATTTCAACTTCTACAACTTGTGAATGGGTGGTTCAAACCTCGATGCATATCGCAAAAATCTATCATTTGCTGGAGGCAAACATGTGTATGATTCAGAGTGAAGGTTTCTTAAAGTGGAGGTACCCCCAAACCATCCAAACTTCGACAATTTCCATGTTGAAACCATATGAAGCCATGTGATTTTTTTTCGGATGTCCATTCTTTTTGGCAGAAACCTCCAAGTGATCTCCTGCAAAACTGGGCGATCTTTCACAACCAACCTGAGCCATTAAAAAATATCCTGGTTAATTGATTGCGAAAAAGGGGATTTGCAGCTACCTGGTTTACTCGGGATTATGATAGCCCATAGTAGGGAAGCCTATCAACCAACTAGTATAATGAGATGGGATACCCTCTGGTGAACTAACATAGCAATTGAAAATGGCCATTTATAGTGGATTTTCCCATTAAAAATGGTGATTTTCCATTGCTATGTTAGTTCACCAGAGGGTAGAGGTATTTTTCATGGCTCACCTCACCATCCGTCGGGACGCAGGTGGTCCTTGGAGCGTTGATTGACGCCTTGGAGCAGTGCCAGGAAGCGGCGACCTCCGAGGCCGATGCTGCAGCTGCCGCAGCGCTCATCAAGCAGCACAAGGAGACCCTCGAGGCGCCGCAAAAAGTGGGAGAATCGCCTTGGAAATGACCATACCCTCTGGTAAACATACAAAAAACTATGGAAAATCACCATTTTTAGTGGGAAAATCCACTATAAATGGCCATTTTCAATAGCTACGTTAAATTGCCAGAGGGTAGTTATTTTGGACATGATCATGAAGATGATTGAAATATATTGAAGATGATTAGAAAAAAATCCCAACTTTGTCAATTCATCATAGATCAAAGATATAACATGATATAACGGTTGATGGTCATATCTTCATGATCTCAGCAGGTGAAAGGCCGTGGATTTTCACATCGGAACCATCAGCCGGTGGTGATTTTTTTGGGGGATGGGAGTACTGGGCCAAAAATCCCAGAAAGATTGCCATAGTGCCATAGATCTGGATGAATTGTGATTTTATGTGATGAATTGTGAAAGAATTGCCAAATCGGGACCATTCATATTTCTGCAAATGATCTGGATGAACTATAGTGACCTCACGTCGTGACGTCGCTGGAACGATGGTTAGGATTCACCGACTTTCAGCTATGTTCAGGTTAGTGATTTATTATCATGCAGCCAGATATATTACTGGGGTAATGTCCCATGTGTGCAAAAAATATATACCTAAAAATGTTGGGAAAACCACAACAAATGATGGTTGATAACGATTTTCCCTCGGGGTGTCTCCTTTTTGCGACACACCCAGATGTGATTGTTTGGCTTAATATTTAAAGAAACCACTTTCTTTGGTTGAGAAATGATGTTCTTTTTGACATGAACATAAGCTGGTGTCTCCCACAATTATTGAACAATCTTATGCGATTTTGCGTCCAAACCTTGTCTCCCCAAAAACGGGAGTCACTATGGAGCATACCCCTTGGTTTATGATGGAATTATGAGGACTGAAAGTGACTGCGGATCTGTTAAAATGTAATGCACGAGCTGGTCGGTGGTTTCAGATGTTAAGAAATGGAGACCCACCAACAATAGTGGGGATACAATAAAGACTTCTGGGGATATGGCTGGTTCGTTGATGCTCAGAGTGTGATACTGCAGGAGGTGTTACAATCTCCAAATGGTGTATAAACAGCTCCAAGTGCGGAGAATGTTTTTACAGCCCCCAGTGGTAACAGGTGCAGCTTCCATACCCGCTAGGAATGTGAAGCCAGATGGGTCAATCAACCAGCTAGGATTGGGATTTGCAGTTGCAGCATCAAAAAAGGGGATGGGTATCATACCATACGCGTAGATTGTTAGTGGGTATAATACATGGACCCAGTGCAATGCTTGAGGTGGTTCGCAGCTGTTTGAATCCTTCGTTTTTGGGAGAGCCATTGGAATTGGCTCTGGTTCCTTTGAGTTGCCTTCAACCATCTTGAGGTTTGAATGGGCGAATGTCAAAGTAGACCACTACATTGTCTGGTTGGTGGTGACTGGAACCATGGAATTTTATGACTTTCCATATATAGGGAATGTCATAACCCCAACTGACGAACTCCATCATTTTTCAGAGGGGTAGGGCTCAACCACCAACCAGTTGTTTTCATGTGACAAGAATCACTGGGAATCCCTGCCCAGAATTTCATGGGTTTAGGGTTTTTTCCCCAACACCCATCCATATAGAAAATGGTGAAAACATGGTACCCCAGAATTGGTTTAAGGGCTACCAGATTTCATGAAACAAACATATGAAACCCAGGGGAAACCCTGCAGATGTTCCCCTTGTAAAACAATCCCATGGTTTCAACTTCGTCGATTTTCCCAATCCACATCTTCCACTTTGCTTGGTGCAGGCACACCAGCAAAAATTCCCAGATGGCTATGGCTTCCGAATGGACGTTAATGAGTTCTTGCGGGGGCTCACCACAGAAGGAAGTCTCTTTGACGACGCATTTATCGATGGCGGGGTTGGAACAGGGCGGTTGGATGTGGGCAAAAACCCACCATTGATCCATTGTATGGCTACGAGATCTGGGAGGCGTGAGTACGAATTAATCCTTGGGAGTAAATGGGAATACATACTAAGTAGGAATATATGTTGATATAGTTTGCAGATTTTTGCAGTGGATCTAGGATTGGCCACGATTTAATGGTTTGTTTCAGAAGCAGAACACCCCAATTCTTAGACTAGAGGGTCTGGCCGGGTTCTCTAAATGATAAATGTGCAGATTGACTCTAGACGTTTTGAAGATGTGCTTGAACCATCCTAAGGCAAACGAAAGCCATGCTGGAGCATTTCAAGTGGAGTTTGCGCTTTGTAGAGCCATATGCAGTTGGAGAGTCCAGTTCAACCCCCAAAGTGGCAAACTTGACATCACAGGATGATGGGCCCGTAGTATCTTCGTCCTCGGATGAGGGAATCTGGATGATCACAGATGCTTCAGAATTCTGCTTTTTTGCTATTGAAACCCACAGCTTGAGTGCATCACGTGGCATCCCGGGAATGTTGGCACTGTTGGAAACATGAAATGCTTGTTGGCAGAGGAAGGTGGTGAGGTGCCCCAGTAGATGTTCTTGATTATTCAAAAAGACAAGATAAAGACTCGAGTCTGTCCCAAAATGGGGCAGCATATCCTATATATGGCCATTTTAATAGAGAAGATGATGATCAACCATGAAATTCCTCGGCTGCTTTCCCAACATGTTCAGACAAAGCTCGACATTAAACCACTTCAGACTCCCCGCATTTGGACTACGACCATGGTGCAGCATTTCGATGTCAGAGCCGGATTCCAGCATGAATGTCCACTTCCCACTGGTTGATCTGGTTGGTTGATTATATATATATATATTATATATATATAATTATATATATATATTGTTTCTTTAGAAGATTCCCTCCATTAAACACCAAATAAAATGGGTAAGTAAAAGATCATGAACTTTACCAAACAGTGGATAATTGTTGTTATTGTTCATGTTCTAGATATTACATGATATTACCAAAGATAGGGAACTAACATAACAATTACCGAACTGGCTCCTTTGTGTGTTTCTGAGGTGATGAAGAGACACAGACTTCTGGGAGTGAGGAATGACGGCCGCGGCAACAGCCGCGGCCAGAAATTCAGTGAGATTCTCTGACTTGCTGGCGGAAAGAATTAAATCACATGATCGTCACCCCAAAAGATTTGAAACAAAGTAACATCCCACTAAAAGAGTGATAAGTAACCGTTCTATCTTTTTTGGGGTGGTTACTATAAACCCCTATCATAGCGGATACAACAAGAATTGTGATGGAAAATATCAGAAACATTAGTGGTACAAGGAAATGTTGAATTGAGGCTGCGCATGCACAAATACAGTGGTACCGTTACCAGTCGACTGGGACAGGACGAAATGATTTGAAGAGGTGGTGCAATGATCTCCGGCAGCATGATGGAGATATGGCAGAAGGGGTCGTGATGTGCAATAGTTGCTATTTGGGATTTTTCACCTCAGATCTAATCTTCACATTCCAAGAGGAGATTCTTGGCATGAAAAATTGGACACTGGCAAATGAAAAATCCGGTCAGAGTCATAGCTACGTTCTCAATTTGGGATGATGATTGACAATATTGGGTGTGTTATTGAACAGTGCTCTATACCTGGTTTTTTTGTTCGTAATTCATCCAGAATAGGAATATGGTGAACCAACCAGTAGAATGGGATTTATGATAAGGGTGTGTTTCGTGTCTCATTTGGACAATAAATTAGTGGGATCTGGTCCATTTGAAAGAACCCAGTTCCGTGTGGAAATCTTCCCAGTTGGATGGATAAACCACAAAATAAAAAGAAGGTGCAACGCCTGCACATCCAAGTATTGCCCCCAGGCCTACGGTCATACGGTGCCATGATACATGTACAGACCGTGCGAGAGGTTTGAGATGGTCTGAGTGCGGGTCAAAATCAGGGGTCTAAAACATTCTAAAACTGGGTTGGGCCTCCAACTACTTGGGCTATTTTAGGGTACTGTACCTAGGGTACCAGGTTTTGACCCATAGCCACTTGAAAGAGTGATCAACGTCTATCAACATGTGTTCTTTGCCTTCACAAAATTGACCTGCAAATGCAAGATTAGTGGATCTCGTTCTTCGTCAGCGCACAGGATTTGACGGAGGTTTTTTTGTGGTGCGGATAGACCAAGACCATATGTACGCAATAACGCAGCATGAAGATGAAAGAATGCTATGAAATCAGGTCGTCAGATTCTCCAAAGATCTTTGCCAAAAGCAGTCATGAGAAAACGGCCAAGGATCTGACAGTTTTGCTTTGGAAGCGGCTTGTTGAAGACAGCGCCTGCAACCGGAGATGTTTCACCGGAGAAAAGGGAGCATGGTGATCCTCGGGATTCTGTTGCCATTGGGAAGTCACAAACTTGGTGGACTGGAAGGGTTTTTTTTAAAGGTCGACTGTTAGGAACAAAGGGCCTTTAGAGGTCCCCATGCTGCTCACATTTACGGCGCTTGGGCTCGAAGATGTAGGCTGCAGCCATTTGATCTGGAGGTAGGGATTAAAGCAGTGAACAACTTTGTGAACTCTTAGATTTCTGAAATCAGTTTTCAACAGCTTGAAACTAAAGATCTAGCATCAAGATGATCAGACACCATCATGTGGACATATCAAACATGACTTGCAAGTGGCCGCAAGTGATTAATGGACTTGGAACCTTTACAACCTATCCTGGCAATGCTTTTTTTTGGTCTAGTGAATCATGCGCTTTGGTGCTGTGCAAGTCAGTTCCTTGGCTTTGGGCGTGTGCTGTGGGCATGCACAGGACTTCAGCTGGAGTTTTCAAACTGGAACCAGCGGAAATGACCAAAGCAATTGTGTTTGGAGTGATGCCGATGGCAATATTTATGTCGCTGGTGAAAGCTATGGAAGCTTGCATGGAAACTCAAACGCTGGCCAGTATGACATTTTCATCATGCAGTTGGACCGTCAAGGGTCCCATCAGTGGACCTTCCAGAAGGGAGATTCCGCTTCGGAATTCGTGAATTCCTGTTATGTGGATGCTTCGGGCAGCATGTTTCTGACAGGTCACACGTACAGCGGGCTGGATGGCAACTCAAACGTTGGCAGTGCCGACATTTATGCCATGAAAATCAATGGTGCTGTCTCATGGCAATGGACCTTCCAAATCGGAAGCTCCAGCAATGATGTTGCGCGTGCAGTGCAGGTGGATGCGTCTGGCAATGTTATCCTGGCCGGGGAGACCATGGGAGGATTGGATGGCTTTTCTAATGCTGGGGGCTGGGACATGTTTGTTATCAACTTGGACACATCAGGAGTTCTGCAGTGGACTTATCAGACAGGAACCAGCAGCAACGATGAAGTGGGTGGGCTTCAGATTGATGCTGCAGGTGATATTTTCATTGCAGGGGACACTCAGGGAGGGTTTAGTGGCCTGACGAATGCGGGACTCTACATAGTGCTTAGTCATACATTTCTTGGATTTTCTTGGGATCTTTGCGTTGACGCCAAGAATATCCTGGAATGATTTGGAATGGCTTAGACGGGTTTACTAAGTTATATACTATGTTTACTGTTTACTGGCATGTCTCACCAAACTTTCGACTTTCACCGGGTGATCAGTGATCGCCACTCAGGACTCTATGACATGTTCATCATGAAGCTGGACAGCGCAGGAACCCCGCAGTGGACAGTGCAGACAGGAGGTTCGGGTTCTGAAGTGGTGCATGCATTCCACATCGATGCTTCAGGTAACATGTTTCTGACAGGCTACACGGACGGCCAGCTGCATGGAAATTCGCATGCTGGAGGCAGGGACATCTTTGCCATGAAGTTAAACGCTGCAGTCTCGTGGCAATGGACCTTCCAAACAGGAAGTGCTTCTCATGATGTCGTACGTGCTATGCAAATTGATGCACTTGGAAATGTAGTCTTGGCTGGTGAAACCTATGGAGGCTTGCAGGGTAGCAATGCGGGTTTCAGCACACGCGACATTTTTGCAATGGAGTTGGACAGTGCTGGATCACACCTGTGGACCTTCCAATCAGGAAGCAGTAGTGACGATGAAGCCCGAGGCTTGCGGGTTGAGGGCACTGATATCCTTCTGGCGGGGCGCACGAAAGGCAGCTTGGGCGGAGCCAACAGCGGTTCCTACGACATTTTTGTCATGGGACCAGCGCGACCCACCACATCCACAAGAAGCAGCACTACAACGACCACCAGCAGCACAAGCAGGACCAGTACAAGAACTACAATCACCTGGACCTCTACTTCTTCAACAACCTCTCGGAGTTTGACATTTACTGAGACTCAAATTACCAGTACCACAAGCATTACCATCACCACCACAGGCACAACAAGCTCTTCGAGAACCACAGACACAGCCACAGAAAGCACAAGCAGAACTAGTGGCACAGCAACTTTCACGACATCAGCAACATCTCAAACTGGTTCGTCCACTGAAAGCCATACCGCCAGCACCACAACCAGTGCATCCATGACTTCCAGCGGCGTATCAACGACTTCCAGCACATCAATGGGCTCAAGCTTCACAACAACAACATCTCAGAGCATCACTGCCACTTCGAGCCAAACCAGAACCGGATTTGTCAGTACCACATCTCGCCTAGCCACAGGCAATACTTGGATTTGGACAACCACACATACAGCCATGGTGCCACCAAGTGTCACCATGACAACAACTTTTGAGACAGCAACTTCATCCGCATTCAGCCAGGCTACATTGACTTCCACAGCGACCACCACCAGCGTCTCCAGCACTGTTGCCCTGACGTGGAGTAGTGCGGAAGGGCTCGAGGCTGGGGCACTGGTGGCATCCATCCTGATTCTGCTGGCCTTCTGCCTTGGGACCTGTACAGCCTGCCTGCTGAGGCTTAAGGCCAAGGGTCAGAAGGGTGAAACCAAGCGCAATGAAAAGGATGAAGCTGGGCTGCCACTGGAAGAGTTGCGGATCAGCACTGAGACATGGCAAGAAGACAGGACGATTGAAGCAAGCGCGAAGATGCCTCTAGAAAGCACCGATGAAAACGCCGAAGGAGGTTCAATGGAAAAGGTCCAACAAGTGGAAGAGATGGGAAGAATAGATCCCAATCAAGAGGCCGCGCAGAAGGCAGGGGCTTCATCACCTCATGTCTCCAAAGCCGTGGAGGTTTCTCATTCCGTCATGAAGCCTGAAGAAAACCAGGCCGACTCGCAAGCTTTGACGAATGTGTACATAGGAAGGCCAGAGGGTGCAAACAACCCGAGCCCCAAAAAGGGAAGCAGATTTCGTTCCCATTGGACCTGCTGTGTGCAGAATACCTTGGAACCGGACACTTGGCTGCAAGATCCCTTGGCCGAGCTTCCTGTTCAGGATGGTGCCCAAAGCATTGAGCATCAGCTGGCCACGGACCTTGCAGGTACATTTGCTACGGCTACTGACATTAAAAGCATTTGAACTTCCAGGGTTTTGGAGCGCCTCCATAGGAGCTGCGCACTCAAACCCTTCCACAACCTTCGGAAAAAGACGCAGCAGCAGCAGCAGAGTAGGGCAGTTGTTGTGTGTATGCTGGTGTGAAGGCAAGCTCAAGCTGGCAAACAAACACAATGGCATGCGGTGATGGCTGTGATATGCTGTGATGGTTGTTTGCTTTGCCGCAGCAGGTGGAAATTGTTCTTTTCCCGACAAGGCTGAGATGGAAAAATAGAACCGCTTCACATTGTAAAATTGAACCTGTCCTTTTCAGATTTTGAAGAGATTTGAAGATTTTATTATATTTTACTATTGAAATCTATTGAAATGAAAATTACACCACCAAGAGACCCCAAACAGTGTGGGGAAGGGAAAGTAAGTACAATGTATGTAGGGTGGACGAAGGATGATGGAAACATACGAAAGCGACACATGTGGTCCACTACAAAAAATTCTTACAAGATTTATGGGTCATTAAATGTCCCCATTGAACATCACCCAACCATTGGGTATATGGTCAATGCCATGGCTACTTTTTCAGGTGATGTCCAATATTCCCAAAATGGGACAGGCAAACCAACCCCTGAGATTGTCAGAGAAGGACCTTGCAGAGAACTCAAAGGATCACACTTGCAGAGAAGCTAAAGGGATTCTTCCTAGGATCTCAAAGAATTACACCTAATCTCTTCTCCCTATCACTGAAATTCCCTTAATTAAAAATATGAATGGCTTGGCGTTTTCGAGTATTTTTGATAATTTAATTATCCCTTATTAATAAAAAATTATATATATATATATTTATTTTATTTATTTTTTTCATTTGATATAATATTTATATTTTATTATTAATATTTTATATTGAAAAAAAAAATAGGAAAATCGATTGAATATTAGGAAAAAAATCGAAATATAAAAAAGATATTAAATATATATATATATAATTTATTTTTGAAATTATGGTTTTTATTATTATATAAAAAATAAGTAATATTGGAAAAAAAAAATAATAATAAATTAAAAATAATTAAATAATAAAAATATATTAAATATTAATTTTATTATAAATAAATATTTGAAATTTAATATAATTGATATTAACAAATATTGTTTTTTTATTTTAA